GCATTGAAAAGATCTGCTGTGGTAGGGAAAATGTTGCACCCTTGGGAACGAACACGCTGTGCAAGATAACGGCGATAAGACCGCGACGTTGAGTGGTAAGGAAGGAGGCGACATAACTTAGCCTCCCTCCTGCTCATCCTACTTCCTCTCTACTCATGCCTTAAGGTAACAAAACGGCAGCCATTGACAGGCTAGAGGCATTCTGCCTTCAGAATCAGACACGTCCTACTTCGAAACGAAGTGGATGTTGTGCATTCAAAATGACACAAATTTAACCACTTGCATATTCACTGTCTGCAGAAGCAACTGATTTTGAGGGTTTTAAGGTATGTCGATCGGGAAAACCATTGAGACAATCTTCAATGTCACCCTTTAGGCCAGTTGTCATCCTACACAGCATCTCTTCAGCAATTTTTACATTCGCATCCAACATCTGAAATGGAAACAAGACTGAAGATGAGAACAAATGCAATAGCAGTGTATTCTTAACACTTGACTACCATTGATCGAATGGAGTTTTCAACTTGACGATCAAGCAATCGAGATAGGGGTTCTAGAGAGCTGTCGGAGGTTGATGGAGTGAATTTTGCAATCGAAACGAACGATTGTAAGGATTTGGCGTTGACAACGTCCTTCAGACGCTGGCAACTTTCTTCCTGGAAGGCTTGTAGGGCTTTCTAAAAGGCAAAGAAGGGATTGAGGGATAATGTAAAAATTTTTGGTGGAAATATGGCTGAATGAGATGAACATGTAATTATTTAAAATATCAAGGAGACAATTCCAAGGTGAGGATACTTGAATTGCGGCTTTGATGTTGCTCATTGCCTGTTCAACCGCACGGTTGCACGCCTCGGAATCCAGAGCAGCATCCAAAAGGTCAACTTGCATGGAAGGTAGTTTGGAGCACTCGTCTAGAGCTATCTTTGCCTGATGAATCTTTGGATAGTGGGGCTCCAATTTTTCCACATTTTCTGTGGGCATTTGCCGTTGGAGTTGAATTGCCAAACGTGTTAATTCCTACAGGCATGTAAGCCGATTGCATAGTGAGGTAAAAATATCAACACACAACAAGCATAATCAAAGAAGGAACGGAAAATTGTAGAAATTCCAGTCCTTTTATGCTAATAACATCAGCTAGTTCATCATGAGAGAGGATGTGTTGAAGCGAATTGCTAACGGATTGTCATTAAAAAAAATGGTTTTAAAATGAGACACTGACCGCAATCCAGACGATAGGTGATGAACTTACAAGGTCAGCATCACAAAGTTTCGGTGATGGTGTTATGATGGCATCGTTGAATTTGGACACCTCCAGCAAAGCCTTCACCTCACCTTCCCGCTGTAAAATAGAGAACTTCTTTGATAAAATTTGTATGCAATGAGTGGAATGATGGGATATTTCACAGGCTAAACATTCCCTCAAAGTACCCATTAGCGATACTTTCGTTTCATTCAACTTTTAAGAGAGCGATTATGTGCTTAAACGCTGTTAAATGGGAGGAGCATTTTCGTACCTTTTGTAGAGTGATGACAGGCTTATTGCACTGATTGATCGAGAAGTGCTTGCTCTTTGCTAGGTCCTTTAAAACTGTCCATGTCTACAGCAAAACAACACAGCTTTTGATTAGAAACAAAACCAGGTCTTTTAAGAGAGTATTAAAGTGCCATTTTTTCCGTCCTTACCCTTTTCTATCACGAACAGGTAATGCTGATGAGAAGCGATTTAAGAGTTCCATATGCAAATGGATGGGAAACAAGGTGTGCATAAAACTGGGTGCTAAAACATAACTGACACTACCTTTTACATTTATTTTAGTTTCTAAAACAGAGACACGTAGGCAAATGATTCAGATAATGGTAATTGGGGATCAGTGTCCCACAAGGCGGAGGGCTACGACAGGATTATGTGAAGAGACAATGGAACAGATGACCTTCAGGCAATTACGGTGGCCCCCAATCTATCCTCACGCCGGTATTATGTGGAATACTCGCTTGTTGCTCATTGAAATGGCTCCAGATGCTACAGTGGTTGAAGGCGGATCCGATCCCCATGGAATAACAACCTTGCTTTCCTCCTCTAAATGCAAATTCTTAATGGGCTGAAAAAGGGGCATAGGATGGAGATGGGAGAAACTGACTAGTAATTAACATGGAAACGTTTGTAATGCAACTGTCCACGGTACCAGTTTGAAGGTTTCGATGATTTTAATGCAAAATACTTCTTTCACCCCTCTACCATTAAGGAATAACCTAAATATATAAGCAACTGAGTAACACTGGAGGGAAACGCACTGCGTCCTATCCCACAAAGCTTTAAAGCCTCCTCTTTTATGTCAGGGTCCTTGCAACCAGTGATAAACGCATGAATTGCTAACGCATTCGCTCTCCTCTCAATGCAATATGCGGACTGAACGAGACTTTCAGAACCTGTAAGTGACAAAGCAGCTCGAAGTCCTCTTATGGATGCTTCCTGTCCTACAGCATCAACTACATTACGATGGCCGAAGTTGGACATTGACTAAGATAAGCGGTGAAGACGACACTCAAAAGGTCGAGGAGCTGCACAAGGTCACCGACGGCAGTTTTCACAGCGGTAAAAAATTTTGTACTGACGGCTGGGTGCCCACAACTCCGAAGGGAAGATGAAATGTAAAATCAAAACAAGAAAATGGCCTCAAGGAGTTCTTGCCATTGTACTACGAGGGTAGTTATTACTTTCTTTGCAACATCCTGAAGAGGAACTTACGTGATCACTGAAATTTGAGTCGTTGAATTTGAGAGTGAAGGGAATCCTGGAGTCGCTACATTGAATCAACCTCAATATGTACTTCGAGTCCTCATCTTTAAGCGTACAATCGGCAATGTCTAGGTAGGCCAATTTCGTGCCATGGTTTGCAAGGCATTTCAAGAACTCGCACATCTCCTTGTTGCTTCCCAGTGTGCCCAAGGTCACTTTTTCCACTGTCTAGAGATGTAAAGTTATAATGAAAGTTAGGACTACTTATTCAGTTACCAGAAAAATTAGGAAACTCCAAGTCCGCCGTGGTTCATCTACACAACATTCGAGGCCGGTGCGTGTGGCCCTGAGGAGGTCTCCTCAGTCTATCACATGACTCGTTAAGTGATGCAGTAAAAATAACAGTAAGTTTAGCTAAAAATTTAAACCCTAATTAAAATGTAGGATTGATTTAGATGTCAGCACCCACAGTGCATCATTTTGACAGGAACATTGCATGCTCAAATGCTGGAATACGCCCAGTCGACTTGATATGCCTTTTGGGCAAAGCGGAAGCTAACTAAATCACTAAGTATTTGCTTTTTTACCACCAATCACACCAAATACCTCGTTTTTGAGGTGTGTCATTATTAGAAGACGAGATTTGAGGACTGTTGGATCCAACAAACCACTTTGTGTCAAGAGAACGACAGTATTCTCGAAAAATTTCAATCAACCTTACCATCTCTTCAAAGTGTGCATTGTGCAAAAGACTGATTAATGCATTCCTCTACAGCAGTAGGGTGTGGATGGGTGTAAGTGGTGTTGGATATTTTTAGGCTCAAGGCAGACCTCGCATCTGGCACACATTTTGATTGTCGTCTCTACGAAAGAGCAAATTAATTGGCTTCCTTGAACTCCGCCAAACAGACCTCATCGGCAGGAAGGATGTGCAGTAAATAGTGATTTTTTTACTCAAATTTGAAAAGGAAACAGTGCTGTCAATTAATGAAAGTCATTTTGACAGCACTAAGCGTTATCCCTAATGCCAGCAACAGACCTCAGAGAAAAGACATGACAACAGATTTTAGTATGGTGTAATAAACTTACACAGTCAGGGTTCAAAAGCGCTTCTGACAATTTCTTTAGAATGCCAGTTCCTCTGAGAAAGGGAAGTACAAAATGTGTATTAGTATAATGAGTAGTATAGTAAAGATAGATTTCAACAACTACCTTTCCCACTCTAGAAAGTGTACACTGGCGAACTAAAAACTCACAGTAACACTGCTTTTAGTAGCACTGAATCAACAACGTACATTTCCTACTTGAACGTTCACATCAGTGGGGTCGTCACCATTTGGGCGATCTTCCTCCAAGTCGCACAAGTGACATTATGAGCTAACTCATTCCTTAAGCTTAACAAGCCAAGACAACTGGAACTTCTCAGTGCAATGGGCACAAGCTGGATTCTTCAAGAGAGCAGCCTGCAACCATAGACTCTACCACATTTTTATTTATCTCGCGGTGGCTGTATCAGAGTCGCGTTGATGAAGTATAATTCGTATGAATGAATAAGTAAAGAGGAATTTTGCGCTTACAGAGGCCTCCCTTTGTGGCCCAACGCGATATGCTGGAGACATGGACATTTGGGTAAGCATTTGATGATGTCACCGGCTTTGTCCTTAAAGGCTGAATAAAATTCAAAAAAATTATGAGAAAATAGACTAAAATGAAGTTATCATTAAGCATTTAGTGTGACAGTCTTGAAGGTGCTGTTAAAAATTGAAGTCCTGCAATACACAATTGTTTCAGTGCGTCATTTAGACTGGAGACGGCTAGTAAAACGAAGCGGCTACCATCAAGGTCTCGAGGAGAAGACAACCTCAAAATTCACCAGCCTTGGTAACCGCGCCCATTTAGTCATCAACTCATCAACTCCTTACGAAGAGGAGAGAAACACCAATCTGGGCACAGTGTCAAACAATCAAAGTCATTTCGTCCTACTGCGTTGGATCAAACTGCCGAAAGTGTAACACAGCAACAAATCGTCTTGCTTAGCACCAGCACATGTATTTCAACTCTTGTGCATGTGATAGATGTAAATAGGCAGAGAGAACGGGCACAGCAGCGGCACGTGCTTGTAACTTGAGTACTTTCCGATCTCTCTGTTGTATTACCAAAAAAAAAAGACATTTGAATTAGCCTGCAGAATGTCTAAAGTACTTGTAGATGATGGCCCTAGTTCTATTGCTCAGGCAACCGGCCATTCTAACTGGTGACACTAAGAAAGTGCGCATCAGCTGTCAGAGGCGGCAGGGAAAAATCAGCCTTCTCTTATAATGGTAGTAATGACACTAAAACACGGACCTCTAAGTTGAGAGTTCTTTCCATTTTAGGTGTAAACATCGCAACGAATTGCCACTCACAAACCTCACCGACCACTTTCACTAAGAATAGATTATATACTTTCATTAAATTGGGAGGAAAATCACCATTTTTATCAAGGAAGACTTTTGTAAGGTGCTCCACTTGTGGCATGTATTTAGCAATTACTTCTGCCGCCTTGACATCCAGTTTGCAATCACTTAAGTCCAGAGACAATCGCTTGTAGACGGGATTTTCGATTTGGCGTAGACCTTTGAAGATCATCTACAAGATACAGAGACCACAGGTCAGAGAGGGAATCATCATCACCACTGGATGGCTGATTTGTGGTGCTATCAGTAGGAGGAGGGTCGATGTTGTTTACCATCATTTAACAGAATGAACGATACTTCACAAATAGGATGCCTTCTTGAACTCACAGACAGGTGAATGCAATCCAGTGGTCAATATTAGGACAAATATTTTCCCCATCACTCGTCATTACCACCCTCGACTCACGTTCAGACAACTCTAGCATTGACATCAATAGTTGTTGGCATGGCAAGCCGAATGAGTGCCGTGAGTGAAGTCAACGAAATAGCAAGATGAAGTGGCACCTCTGTTAACGCCCTTACAATGATATTCCTTCCATAATTTTGCATTGGAAAAGTTTATGAAAGTGCAATACTGCCTCACCCAATCATAAATTACTGAAGCTTGAAAGAGCGGCATATTCTCATCACCCCACCTTAAACCGCCTTCATGTTGTCTACAGGTAAATCATGCCAGTATACTTCACAAGTCATAAAGAGTTGCCACTTCAGTTCGTAGGGGCGGACTTTCAGCCCCGGTTATGATCTGCTTGTTGACAGTTGGGAAGCGCGAACTTCCATTGCAAGTTCAAAATCCATTTTAATTTTTACAGATTAAACTGGTGGGTGGGGACTGATTGTATCACTCATTCTATCCAAGACGATGCGGTTGCAATATGCCGAGCTAGTTGCGAATGCGATCGAACAGCTCGTTGTTACGAGGATTTCATCACCCCATAAGGCATGAAGAAACTTTATTAGGAGTCCTTGGGTATGAACGACTGGTGCCTTGTGAAAATGCTTCACATAGGATTATTTTAGAGTCAAAATGGAGCTTATGCACGGTGCGAATTAATCCTTAAACTATCCAACTACAGAAAGCCTTTAAAGCAGTCCTTCTCACAGTCATAGTTAAGTTCTTTTCTCCATGCTAAGCAATCAGACAGAGGATAGTCACAGCAATTGAGTGCCAAGAGAGGGTTGGAATTAACACAGCTCTCCTTCCATAAGTTTGTAAAAGCCACCTTTGAGTATGTTAAATGACAATCGGGAAACCACAGGGGAGTTAAGAAGGGAAACGATCGTAAAAACGTTTGATCGGTCTCAACGAACGAACACAGTCCTCTAAAGTCTGGTAACAATCTCCAATTCCCATTTTTGCCGTTCCTAGGTGGAGTGTATCTAAAAGTTCTACTCAGGCTACATGGGATCTATCTCAAAGATTGAATTACTCGGAAAATTCGGCTAAAAAGAATTATTTGACTCAATATTTGCACTACGTCTACTAAAAATGGCAGATTTTTACCTTTAACACCTCACTGGCTTTTTCACCAGAAGATCCATTCGACGAAAACAGTTGTAGGAACCGCAAGGAAGCAAAATAGACCTTTATAATTGGGTCAGATTTGGTGAACTTGTTTCCATCCAGACTCAAGATTTCCAGTCGCGTGCAGTTCGATAGTTTCAACGCAGAGCAGACCTTAAAATAAAAGACATCCATTCAACACGCTTTGTGTTAAGGATTATTATAACTCTCACATCTAAGTGATGACAACCTCAAGTCAAATAAATGAACAGAAACTTACTTCGGAAACATCTAAGTCACATCGATTTAATGTGAGCATGCGAAGTTGGGGCGTCAAACAAGTGAGTTCACTCAGAGCCTTAAAGTGAAAATAAACGATCAACATCAAAACTTCAATGCATGAGGTAGATAAACTGATCGGTTAGACTTAGTGCATTAGTAAGGCGGTTGTAGGGCCCAGTGAAGAGCGCTGACCGCACACAAGAGAGCGGAAGGACAACACGGTCAATTACCGGGGGAGGAATGCAAGTGCCTGATAAAACGATTCGTCGCAGCGGAAGTTTTTCAAAAGACTTGGATGTGATGTGCGTGATGGTTCTGGTAAATGTGTCGTAATCGACTTTATTAGGACCAATACGAAGATCAATTAACTGCTGGTAGATTTTCGGCTTTAAAGATCCAAAGACTTCCGAAAAATCGACTTCTCTAGAGGTTATATCGAGGCATCGTAGCTTTGAACTGTTAGGTAGGCTTCGCAGAAGATATCCGAGGCTTTCACTAAAAAAGTTGTCAGTCATATTCGAAGGGGTCCGAAATCAAAGATTAAAGACTCTGTTAGGAACCAAAATGAAAATAATTTAGAAATCTTTCAATTATTTTCAATGGGTGAGTAAAATAAATGCACCTCTAATACTATACGTCACTGAACTACGCAATTACCTGTCAATTTGAGAATCCCGGAAAATCAATGCTCGAAGTGCCTTGTTCGTTCTCAAACCGATTGAACAAAGATGAATGAAGTCTTCGTCCTGCAATATTTCAAGTACTATCACTAATACCCTACATTTTTCGGAACAAAGGTCAACATACAATAGATCTCGCCTTTACCACTACGCATACTACCAGGAAGTTAAGTTATACGAATGAAAAACCCTTTACTGATGTAGAAATTAAACACATCATTAAGAGCTAAGTCATTGTTAAAATTGACATACCATCTTCACATAACCCAAATCAAGAGTGGTAAAAAATGATGGTGCGAGAAGCGGACAAATTGTAGAACTGGGTACATCATCCAAAGAATGGGAAACATCATCAGGGAACCTCAAAAATTTGCTTTCCTTGCATGCGAACCATTCTAGAATCTAGAAAATTAGATAACAAATAGTTCACCTTATTGTATTCGTAATCTTTTTCCATAGAATCTTGCAAGTAAAGGCAACTCTGTTTGACTGCCACTTCGATGTCGGGAATCTCGCATGGATTTTCAAAAGCAAGCAGTTGAAGTGTGTCATCGCCATCAACAACAATTGCTTCACCACTAAAGATAAAATATTATTTTACCCCTACCAAAAGTCATAAGGCGAGAAATACACTCTCCATGCATTTGAAATGTCTTTTATCATGTCAGTAAGTTTTGATTCCTTCCAATCTTCAAGTGGCAAAGAGAAAGAAATAGTTGAGCCATCCACAATATTCAGCGCCAACTAAAAATAAGTGCTAATTTAGGGCGTACCTTGTTTTGACAGTATGTTATGCTAAGAATATCCAGCAACTTAACTCTCCTTGTTTTGGATCTCCCTGTTTCGAGATCGATCCATACTCCACTAAAACTTCCCTGGGACTCAGCCTTGGAATCCGAGCACAAAAGCTTGCATTTTTGAGAAGGATCCCCGTTTCTTCTCTGCAAATAGCACTCAAGATGTTTTGATGCTTCTATCGAGGTACGATGTCGCATGACGCCCAAGGCAATCTGGCAATAGGTAAGCTGTTTCAGAATGCTCTTCAAGGCCACATCAGGGCGGTAATGCAAAATAGAAAATAGATCAATAAAACATTCAAATAAATCATAAATTGCAAATTCTAAAAATTGCATAAAGGTAATTATTATTACTAACTATAGGGATCCACTAATTACTTTTGTTAAATAGTTAATGCAATAGCATTAAATACTGACGCCAATATATGTAAGGAAGTAACCAATGCAAAATAACTCACGTAAACTAAACGTGCAGATATTCTCTACGATTTTGATTGTGCGAGTCATAACTCTGATGCTTTGTTTACGTGACTGCCTGACTTTTAATGGTTACCTTGGGATCTGTCTGGTTCCTGTGCTCGTGGGTTAGCTTTCGGTTTATGCTCAAGCCTATTTGCTCTGTTCTCTTCGGAATGCATGTATCCAGCCTCACTTACTGCCTTTTTCCAAGCTATGGAAAGTCTTTGGACGCTACATCAACAATCCTTGTCATTTAATCCCACTAGAGTTGCAGTGTTCTTCTGACCATGCTGCAAATCAAATCTTTTTCCTTTTTGATTGATTGGTACTAGCAAGCCAAAGTTTATGCCCTATAATGTCCATTGAGTGAGTTGATTCTGCTATAATACTAGCAGTACGAATAATTTGGCGTTTTAAGTCTTCATTGCTAGTTGGGGCTGTAATTTTCATTAGATTGTTTAAGTCGACTTTTATAGGAGATAGGCGGGAGCCAATTGGGGACGCGCACCACATGCGCGAGAACGATGAGGAGTCTCTGTCCAGTTGATGTCTCATCTGCAACCAACTCTCTTAAAGTCTGAGGTTCAAGGACCAGAGGGTAGGCAGGCGATTCCAACACTGGTGGCAGCGCCAATCGAAATTCCTTCTCTCAAAGAAGGCACTGATTTCGATGACTGAGCTTTCTTTACAAAGGTAGAGCTCGAATTCTACGAACCTGCACAGAGCGTGTCACTGCTACTCCGCACCTTGTCTACGACCTATGCCGGGAAGCAGTGGATGCGGGTGTCATGCTTTCCTCGGATGTAGAAGAGTGCCGTGAGGTTCTTGTCAAATTGATATCCCTCCAGAAGGAAGACTTTTTGACTTCAATCTTCTTCCACCGGTTACAGAAACCGGGTGAGAGTGATGAGGATTTCGCGAGGAATCTCCATTCATTAGCCAAACAGGCATTCAAGGACTGTTGTCCTTTGTGGGTAGCCTCATGGATTGCGACCCAGTTCAGAAGGAGTGTACGTTTACCTGCCAACAGTTGCAACTCTCACTCAAGTCTAATGCCCGCATTCGCTCGTGGCTCCCCAACAGACGGCTTACTGGCGGGCAAAGGCGTGCACTCCGAAGCGGCCCCCCAACGCAAAGTATGACAATTTCCTTTGTCTTGCCTAAATCCCTCACGATGTTCTACCTTTATGGGTGTACAGGGCAAGCCAGAAGGTCGCACATGCTCTTTTCGTTTGGACTCGGGGGCATCCCGTTCCCTACTAAGTCCACAAGCCTTCCCCATGGTCTGCAGCAAGGCTAATATTACCCCACCGGCTACTAGACTACGCTCTGCAGGAGGAAAAGAAATCTCGGTAATAGGAGAAGCTCCTATCAGACTTTCAATCGGAAATGACAGCTGGAGGTAAATTTCGTGCTTTGTCCAGACCTAGCCTGGGACGTACTGTTATGAGCCGACTTTTTACGCCAGTCCCGAGCAGTTATGGACTTTGATACAGGCACGCTCACAACCCATCGAAGCTCCAAGGAGATGCGTTCGATCCCTAAGCCAGAGAAAGCCGCAGATGTTATAGGCAAACCCCTTTTCGTCGTTCTTGCCGTCCCCGGGACCAATGCAAACGACCTCTGCGCTCACTCCTGAAGAACTACTCACAAATGCTTTCCTGGGAGGGAGCGATTCTGGGACGAACGAACATAGTCAAACACAGGATCGATACTGGTGAGGCCAAACTGGCCTAGCAGCCCCCTAGACGCATACCACCACCCCTCCAAAAAGAAGCACATGGATTGATTGACGAGAACCTATGCGACAACGCTATAAGGCCCTCCCAATCGCGCAGGTGTCTCTTGGTGCAGACACCGCTCTTGGAATTGCATGAGCAACTTGGACATGTGGAGGCGGGAAGATGTTCGACGCCACAAGGAAGAGGTATCGATGGTCCTCGCTGACAATGGATGTCTCCAATTTTTGTTGCGCATGCGTCACGTGTGCAAACCTGAAGAACTCAACTCGCATGCCGATAGCCCCTCTACATCCGATGCCCACGGGCTTTCCAGGGAAGCGAGTAGGCATAGACATCATAGGTCCGCTTCCCACGACTCCGAGAGGGAACCGTTATATTTTGGTGATGGTAGACTATTTCATCAAGGTCGCGGAAGCCGAGTCACCACAGATTCAGGAAGCTGAGGCAATAGCAACCGCAGTAATTAATCGCTGGACCTACCAAAATGGCGTGCTTGATTCCGTACATAGCGGCCAAGGGACGAACTTCGAAAGTTGCCTCTTCAAAGAGCTGTGCAAAGCCTTTGGAATCCATAAGACGCGTACGACGTCGGGTCACCCTCAGGGCAGTGGGCAAGTAGAGAGAACGAATCGTACCCTTGTCGACTTACTGAAGGCCTTTACCAAAGAAGTGCAGCCCGAGGATTGGGATCTATACCTAGGACAGGACACCTTGCCTGCCGAGCCTCCGCTCACACCTCTACTGGAGTCTCACCATTCAAGATGCTCACAGGTACAGCTGAGTCGAATAGAAGATATCACTCGGAGAGAAGCCCGCCTTTCTCCTATGAAGATTCCCTTATACACTAGTATATATTACAGTCCCCTCTGGATTGCTTCATGGATAGTGACCGAGTTCACAAGGGACGTGTATCCACCTGCCTTGGCGGGACACCTGGTTCATATGAGAACAAGCAAATTGAGCCGCAATTCTCAACGGAGTTCAACATCTCTTTTCATCCATGGACTGCCAACAGACGTTCGATTACCGACAAGCATTGGCTTTAGGTTACGACGACTCCGAGATCTAATCGCTATATATTGTTGATGGTAGCCTACTTCACCAAAGATCGCAGAAGTTGAACCATCGCGAGTACACGATGTTGAGACAATGTCAGTCACATTCTTCATTCGTTGGATCTGCCAACCTAGTGTGCCCGATTTCGCACAAGGCAACGAAGAGGCGTACTTTGAAAGTCTTATTTTCAAAAAACTATGCGAAATTTATGTAATTCGTAAAACACGTACGACGCCATGTCATTCCCAGAGCAATGGGAAGTAATATTGTAACATTTTGTTTTTGTAGTCACTTGATCTGGCGCTGACATTAAGATTCGTCTGGTCCTTGTAGAGGTGAGAGCGGGAGGGTTTCGGAATCCTTCACAGCAAAATGGGTAGAAATGATGAATGCGTTTTACCTCACCTTGTGCCTGTGTTCTACAGACAAGCAATCAACAACTGAAGCGAAGTCAATCTGTCAAAGTTTCGCTTCGGGACTTTTCTACTGCGTCCACCGTCTAGTCCTGATGTTTAGCATATTTATGCGGCTCCGACTCCGGCCGAACATTACTCTATGTCCAGTTGAAACAGCTGAGAAGACCAGGTACGGTTGCTTGGTTTCATAGTAGCTGTTCACTGGCACGGCTGGCTCGTGGGCGCTGTCTTGCAGTGTCGAATATGTTCTGATGGATGTCGCGGGAGATATACCAAGGGCGGCGTCGAGGACGTCTCTTAAATGAAAAGAGGGGAGGTGTAATACTCTATTTGTATGTATATCTGATGATTACTTTAAGATCTGCCTACATCTGTTGACCATCAGTTGCTTCCAGGACAAGACGGTAGAACTCTGGTCTAAAACAGATGTGGTACAGGGTAAACGGGGTCAGACGCTCTCGTAAGTAAGAAGTGTATTGCTTCATTTATGTGGGTGACTGGTACTCAGCGATCACTTGTATGTGTGGACTAGACTTCGAGCCATGCTTTAGAATAGTTGCTTTGTTTTCTTTGGAGTGCATGTGTCCAGCTTCATTTACTGCCTTTTTCCACTCGTTGAGAAGTGTCATTCTCGACACCTATACACGGATTTACTGGGAAAATTTCTGATACGAAACTTTTTAGATAGCTCACGGCGATGTAACTTCAGCTGTTGGTAGATTATCTGTGCAACACGTAGATGACCACGGGTGACTACGTGACGTTTAACGGTCACTCTTAGGGTTTGTGGGTTCTTGTACTCGTGGGCTGGCCTTCGGATCAAGATCGGGCCCATTTGCTCTGTTCTGTTCAGGATACATGCATCCAGCCTCACTTACCGCTTTCTTCACCCTATGGGAAGCCTTGGGACGCTACAACCAATCTCAAGTCTTTTGTCTTAAAAAAATTCAGAGATTCTCCTCTGTGGCGTAGATACATGTAACAAACGAAACATATTAGGATGGAAGTTGTTAAGGGTCTTGGGTCCGCATTCCGGTGTCCAAGGTCCCGAGACTTAATATCGAGTAGATCAAGGCAGTACGTGGGGCTGAATACATGTATACCAGGTTGAACAAAAGAATTAAGTCTGAGATTTTCTGAGGTCTAACCTACGAGCGCGAGAACCAGACGTATCGTTGAGTGATCATCAGATGTCTGTTGGCCACATACATAAATCACCACACATTGAAACAGCTAAAAGTAATTTTAATCATTTTCAGGCAGTATCTTGAGTATTTTCGTTAATCTTGTTTTAATAAACGACCTCCCCTGACCTTTTCTTAGTGCAAGCATTAATTGTGAGGCCACCATATACTTTGATGGCTCCGCGTGTGTTAGTTGGAATATACAATGATTTAGGAACTACTGCCCAAAGCGTTGACCAACTTCGGAACTGCATAAAACGAAATATTCCAGGCGCGGATACTCTTCTCTTAGATGCCACAGAATCTGTTGAGAAACTGAGTTGCAAAATTTTGGATCTTTTTTGTGTTGGAGGTGGATTTGCTCGTGGTGTTATCAGCAAGCTAGGTTCTGTGGGCCTTGCTCACCTTAGATCTTTTGTATTATCTGGTGGTTCTTACCTTGGGATATGTTCTGGTGCATATCTCGCATCATCGCTAACTAAATTTGACGTCGGTGGACCGCTAGAAGCAATCGATGCAGGATCGTTGGACTTCTTCCCTGGTAAGTCAGAATTTAGTTTTTTGCCATGCTTTTTGTCAGACGTCATTGAGTTTTGTTGCTTTTATTCAGAAAACTGCCTTAACAGTCGCTGCTTTTGGTTCATTTTTCATTTATATCTAAATTTATTGTGAATCCTCTAAGTGGTTATGTCGTTCCGAACAGAAATCAGTCGCTGCACATATGCACTTTATTAACGCTAAAATATACCATATCTTTAGAATCCTCTTTGCATGATCGTCTCTTTTCCATGCACCAGGCACGGCCGAGGGACCGCTGTTTAACCCTTTTTCGTACACTTCGAAATCTGGTGCCTGTGCACCGGTCTTGGATGCTTGCTCTACCCTAAGTTCCGACCTTCCCACATCCTTGTCAGTGTATTTCAACGGGGGTTGTCATTTCCTTAACCACTTTGATGAACATACAAGTGTACTTTACTCATAGTGAGTTGCAGTTGTTTTCTTTGTTGGCCGAATTTTCTTGCAGAATATTTCAATGATGTTGGATTACTTAGTGCTTCGGCCTCATAAACCTTTAAGAAAGGCATGTTGCTTGCTTTGCTTTTTATGCGATTTATCTTTTTCTCTACTTTTAAGTCGTGAATTGGGAACTCCAGCCATTCTGAAAAGAAAATGTGGAAGGGGCACAGTATTACTGGCTGGACCGCATTTCGAGTTTGATCCTACAAGCTTGGACAGTTCGGATCTGCACATTCAACGAATCCTACCTCTTTTACTTGAGCACGAAGCTAGTCGCTTGAAATTATGCAAGACTATTCTCTCCGACTTTGTTAAGCCAAGCGCTGATTCATGACATCAAAAGAAATATTAGGCATCTGTATTTTGCTCCTATAAATTTCATTTTATTGGATTTTTTCCTACAATTTGTTGTGAATATTCTGCATTCCTAGCGTGTTACAAAACCTGAAAAAATGAAAAGCTGAGAGAGTCAATAGGATTTTGAGGCTTTTTTGTTACTAAGTTTAGAATTTATGAGGAAGTTTCTGAAATTACACTTCGAAAAGGGCCTGTGACATTCATTTTGGTTTTCAATTTCCGCTCTTGATTCATGGTTGACAAATAAAAGTATAGAGCTGGACGAGTGTTGCTATGAGAGGTACTTGAAAGAGGGCTATGCGGTGATTCGACATGGTGCACAGTAGTGGGCTCGAATAAACCTGCTCCTTGGCAGTCCCATAATGTAGTCTCAAACGGAGAAGATTTTGCTGTTATTCAAGTAGCCCCCGACTCCTCTTCTTGGTGGAGCTTGCAAAAATAAGTGAAAGCTTCAGAGTGCAGTGATTGCCACATTGTTAAAAGTACGGAACCGAAATTACCTAGGTGTTGGTTGCCTTGAAGGGCCATTCTGTAATGTAACGCCTCTAGTTGACTGGAACTTTGATGGTGATAGCAGAAAGGGAATCCAAAGGGATTGTGACATTTTCCAACTGCTTATGTCTTACTATAACTACTTCGGTTCTGCTTCAAGTGAAAAATAGAATCTTTAAATTGAATAAAGGGTATCAGGCATTTGTTGGTGAGGAACAACTTAATGGGCTGAACACTAACTATTCCGCTATTAAATTTGTGTATTAATGCAGCGATCTAATATTTCAATCGACTGTGCGACCTCATGGAGCCAAGGACTCTAAGCTCTGTTTCGGTAGCGGGTCGTTGGTTGTCATTGCAATTACAAGCATTTCGTATGCAAATAGCAAATATACTTGCGCCTTGGTATGGTATAACGCGGATTCGGTAGAGGCTCAGGTACCGTAATTAATGGAGAACTGAGAGGCTCTCGATCCCACCACCCGATTCAAAGCATTAGTGAGGAAAAGAGCAAGAGTGGATGGGTCCAAGGAGTGTTAAAAGGACATGCCCTCAATGCAACGTTTCTATTTTTCTCTAACTAGCTAGAAACAATGATAAACCAGTTGCTGATCTGTTTGATGATTTTATGTGACTAACAGATAAAAATCTATCCTGAACTAGTACAATAGCAGAATGACAAGAATGGACAGATATCCTCTGTTGTCCTTGTGGAATTGTTTAGGCCTTAAGGGTACAATGACAGCAAACGTGTCCTTTAAAAATTTGAGTGCGGGGCTAAACTAGAACCTAAAGTTGAGGTCAATTTTAACTGTTATTTGAATAAAATGAAGTTTTCAATTTCCGCTCTTTACTCATGGTTGACAAATAAGAAGTATAGAGCTGGACGAGTGTTGCTATGAGAGGTACTTGAAAGAGGGCTATGCGGTGATTCGACATGGTGCACAGTAGTGGGCTCGAATAAACCTGCTCCTTGGCAGTCCCATAATGTAGTCTCAAACGGAGAAGATTTTGCTGTTATTCAAGTAGCCCCCGACTCCTCTTCTTGGTGGAGCTTGCAAAAATAAGTGAAAGCTTCAGAGTGCAGTGATTGCCACATTGTTAAAAGTACGGAACCGAAATTACCTAGGTGTTGGTTGCCTTGAAGGGCCATTCTGTAATGTAATGCCTCTAGTTGGCTGGAACGTTAATGGTGATAACAGAAGGATAATACATTCTTACAGGATTTGTGCCTCTTCTTTTCACCCTGAAGAATAGGCTCAGGCGGAAGAAATGAAATGAGACATCGATGGGAGGATTTGTGTCAACCCCAACCGTCGTGATACTATCCCATTATTGTGTTCTGCATGGGATTGTTAAGCATCGAAAGGAACTCTAGCTGCACCCCAATTTGAAAATTCTTCGTAATTTGAAGTCAGTGTTCCATCGTGAGCAAACCCCAGAAAGCTCGACCTACAGAAAGTGCATTAAAGCTCCTCATCTCCTGCGTAAATTTTAAACTAAATCAGTGCAGTTAAGTTTCCAACAAACTAACGTCCTTGATATAGTAGTATGTATGACCGACGAGCATTGCTACCTGTTTTTTGCTCCTGTTTGCATTGGCTGGCGTGTGGGTAAATTCCAATAACCGTATCACTCCTCTCAGCTTAAAACGTATGTATTTGAGCTCTATTTAGTGCAACCATATATCAAATGTAAGGTCTCAGCATGTTACGCTTAAACTTAGTATAAGGAATACCGAAAGTCCGTGCCAATTGGGATTGTAATGGGTGCTCAATGACAATACGATCAGAGGAAAACACATAGACAGGCAATGTTTGACATGAAAATGCTTATGGACGGTGCCACTTAAAGCGTAATAATGGGTGTAATATTTAGTTTATTTGGCCGCCAGATGTCTGGCGGTTACTTTAAGATTCGTCTGGTCCTTGTATGTGTGGGCTAGACTTCGAGACAAACTCAGGCTTCATCTTTTGATTTCCTTAGAATATACGCATTCAGGACGCTAAAATGGAAGTGCATTAAGCCCAGCTCATAAAGAATGTGGGGAGTCAGATGCTTATTTGCTCTGTGCAGTAATGGCGGTACCTTTGGTAGGAGAAATAGTTTCTAAGCCTGCAAATTAACCGTTCCTAAGTGCATGCCTGAATGCACACATCTGGACTTGGTGTAACGTCCTCATTATTAAAATGATGCGGATTGAGTGTAGTAAATGGTTTATAAGGCATATGCAGCGAAGTTCTTTTTGTCAGCACTGATATAAATGAACAGTGCATCAATGCTGACAGTGTTTTGTTAGACCAATGGCGATAGCCAAATTTGCTTTTTTGTTTGTATAATTTTAAAAACTACTTGGCAGAATACAAGCGAACTGGAGGTTGCTGAGCTAAACGCCCTTGCTAAATTGCCAAGTATGGCTAAATAGCCACATTTTTAGAACCTGCAGGATCATTGGTTGAATGGGCTTTTCGACTGACCTGGATTTCACTTCTAGCCCGTGTCCATCATGAGTAACATATATATTACCGAACCGGCAACAAACGGGAAGGTCATCCTCACCACTACAGTTGGTGATATTGAAGTCGAGCTTTGGTCTAAGGAGACACCACTGGCGTGTCGAAATTTTGTACAACTATGTATGGAGGGCTACTACGACGACACAGCCTTCCATAGGCTTGTAAAAGGCTTTATCGTTCAGGGTGGTGATCCCACAGGCACAGGCGATGGTGGAGAAAGCATTTACGATGGTCCTTTTAAGGTAATTCTATAGGTTAACCTGCTTTTTAATTCACCAGACAGAAAGTCACTCCCGTTTATCATTCAATCGTCGAGGTCTTTTGGGTATGGCATGCCCCGAACCAAACTGTAACGGAAGTCAGTTTTTCTTCACACTCGGAGAAGCCCTCGAATTGAACGGCAAACACACCCTCTTTGGCCGTGTAGTCGGTAACACTCTTTTCAACATGCTGCGACTAGCAGATGTTGATGTTGTAAATGGCGATCAGCCAGTTCGACTACATCGAATTTTAAAAACTACCGTAAGGTGTGATTTGTAATCGATTTCAGGTTATCTTAAATCCTTACGATGACATCGTTCCTCGTCAAATTAAGCCCAAAAAGTATGCAGAAGCTGATGAGAAGATTCAACCAACTGCAAAGGCTACCAAGTACAGTATATTTTTTCGCTTTAATTATTTCAGAAATTTCTCTTTGTTGTCATTTGGCAGCGAGGCAGAAGAAGAAGAGGAAATTTCTTCCAGAGTGGAGGAGGTTGGTCTTGGTTTGCATTTACTCACTTTTTGAGCTCAGAAGTTCCGCTCTCGTGGAAAGAGTGCTCATGATCTTGTAAACGATGAGAGTCTTTCCAAAGAGGCAGTAGTAATCACCGAGGAGGACGCCGAGATCACTGCCAAGGTGTCTGCCGTTTTGGAAGCTGAAGCAGAGGCTCGCAGACGGAGGCGTGATTTGGCTTCTCGTCTCGAAACCGAGGAGGAACTAAGACAAAAGCAGAAACGACTGTGAGTAATTGCTAATGTTTAACTTCGACTGAATTAGGTAAACTTTGTGCATTTAATTTACATACTGTTCGGTACAATAGCAGTGGTAATCTTACTCTGTTTTCGAGAATTTAACACTTTTAAAGGTATTTTGGATTATAGCGCTTTTTAGCTTTCGGAATTCGCGAATTGTTGATGTGGTCTGCTGGCGTTTTTTTTTTATCTTTTCGTTTTCGCAGTAGTTTTTCATCTGGCTCCTCCAATAAGGGGATTATCTTAGGCGCCTGGAGATTGATTGACACCCTTAGTCAATGTTTTTGCCCGACCTTAGGCGCTGAGGTCCTTATAATTGATTCGTCCTTGTTGAACTCCTTAGTGTTTGAGCCAGTCATTTCCATTTGGGGACAAACTTAACGACTGTGCTTAGTTATTTAGGCGGATCCAAGTCAATTCCGCAAAGGGCGAAACTCTAAGTGATATTGGGCATCTAATGTTTCCCCTTGGTTGCTTTTTTGCCTTTTAGAATTGAATAATACTTTGTGTCTATCCTCCTTTTACCATATCTACTTTTGGAAAGCTTACCCGATCCTGAAATCTTTTACTTTGAACTTAAATAGGTCTGATCGACTTTTGTCGATGATCATATATCGATGTATCATCAACCAAGATTTTTGCAATTTTAAAATCCAGTTTGAGAATGACTTTATGGTGGGAAAGAGGTAGTTTCATTTTTTTCCAAATGAACCTCGGTTTGAGATATCTTAGCTCAGCTGACTATATACTTCATTTTCTGGTTATTATTTTCTTCTTTTTTCTCTTCAACTTGGCAGTCTCTAAATTTGTTTCCTCCAATACAGAAAGTAAACATTTTTGGCATATTTTTTAGTTAAACCTGTTCCTTAGGGCACTTTTATGAGTGCTAGAGCACAGCTTTTGTCTCTGCTTTACATAAAACGGCATTGGTCGAATAAGGGTGCTGAGGGAAAGATAAGGGCAATGTCCTTCATGATTCTGGCGACCGGCAATGAGGAGAAGTTCTCCTCAGATGATGATATTCGGCATTTTCTCGATAATATTTCTCACAAAATACTAAATTGCAGGCTAGCTCTGTTTATTAGTTGCGTAACTTGCTACTCGGATGTATTCCTATAGTGAGGATCTGCGTGCTGAAGCGGACGCGGTACGTCGTGACATCGCGCGTACTATGCGGTCGGCAAAAGAGCGCGCTACAGCTGCTGAAGCGGCGCGGCAGGCAGCAGAGATGCGGGCACAGCGCGAGGCAGATGAGTTGCGGCGCGCCGAAGCTTGGGAAGCAGAGCAGCGCAAGAACGCTGCCGCAGGCATCTCTAAACCCTCAGCGCAGCCAATGGTTGACAACTTTGCTGACGAGGTAGCCAGTTACAGATCGAGGGCAAAGAAGAACAGAGAGGTTATCCTTCTTGCACTATGTCTTCTTCTTTTTGAGAACTTGATTCTATGCTTTCCCTACTAGTTTGTGATTACTGGCTGTGTCAGATTTTGTCGTGAGACTCTTAAATGTGTAATTTGCTGCCGGCCTGAAGTGTCTTTTGAGCTCTGGCTGATCCTGTCAAGAAATTTTACATATGCATCAATATCGGCATTCTTTTAAGCGCTACTATTCTGATAATAAATGAAGACTCTTCTATTCATCCTTAGCGCAAAGACCGAGAGGAGCAAACCATGAATCTTTTAAGTCGTTTCAAATCGCGACTCCTAAGTGCCTTGGAAAAGTCTGAAAATGATGGCTCGTTGGAAGCCACTGCTGTCAATGACAATGAGGAAAGGGACGAGAACAAAACACTATCTGCGGATCCAACTGCTTGGTACATCAGATTTCTGCAAATCTTTAGTTGAATCTCCTTTTTCACTCACTGTATTCATAAAATTAGCCAATTTTTACTTTAAACTTTTTTCTCCTTGAATTTGCATCCAACTTTATAGCTAACTAGTTTTTGGAATAGCTTTCAGTTCCTTCTGTGCTTTTATTGGCTTATGTTTATTTATTTAGCATTGAATCCTGATTCTATGGAATGCCTTTAGTTTGAGCTCTGAAACTCCCATTCGTCATGTGACCTTATGGAGCACTATCCTTGATTTATTTGAATTAGAAACCATCTCCGTTTTATTGTACCAAACTTACTTGTATAAGGTGCTCTGGTTTATAGGGTTCGTTGCAAGTTGGTGTCAGAAGAGCCAGCGCCGGCTCGAAGAGTCATGGACCCGTCTCTGGATGATCCGGATCGTCATGACCTCTATGACCCTCGGAATCCTCTAAATTTAAGGAAACGCGGTGCCGTTACTGACGAAAGCGGCGGAGATGACAAAGGTCGTCACAAACGAAGTCGGAAATAACTCAATCCATCATATTTGTACAGATTTTATATGCTAACGTCTTGCGCAAAAATAGTACACTACTTGGGATAGACACAACAGAGTGGAACAGCAGCTAGTATACAGTAAGGATAGTGCTTAAGTGGATTCTCTAGCCTAGGCTTTGCTATGGGGTTCTTTATTCACAATCTCGGTTGGGCCGATTTACTGCCCGGACAGTCCTTAATAAGATCAAGGCCGTCTTTATTGTTTCATCAAGTTGGTCTGATTCCTAAGGTTTGCTTTTGAGTAGTTACAAAACTCTATTGAGAATGCAGAAGACACACGTTAATAATATGGCAGAGGGTCTGGAGGCTGTATTTTTGCCCTGTGAAGATTCCACTAGTCCTATTAAATACCCAGAAAGGTCAAGTACATGCAAGAGTCAGGGGTAGTCTTAGATCACTAGTAACTGACATAACGTCAACGTAGGTCAGAATTATATGTAATTCGTAAGAACACGATGGGAAGTATGTTTTACCATGTAGCGACTTCATAACGAATGTGTACAACTAGTACGAGTTTAGATCCCATCGATCATTAAAAGCCTCTTCAGTAATCTCGGTTTTGAACTTTCTGTTTGCCTAGCATCGTTCAGTACACAAATCGGTATAAAGTGACTTGCAAACATGACTTAGTCACATAACAGTTGCCGGAGGTTTGTGTTCAAGGGCAATGATTTTTATGATGCTGCAACAACTTTAACGATCCGAGACTTCCTACTGACTGGAAGCAGAAGGCGAAGTCTCAACCTCGTTATCGCTTACTTCCTTCCCTGACTTTTTCAGAGAATGTGGTTTGCTTACAGACATTTTACCTGACATTTCAGGAAAATGGGAATAACAGTTCGCAAGCGGAGAAGCGATTCGAGCAAGGCAGGAGTCAAATAGTGGCATCCAGTCCTTCCAGCATGACGTTCGATTTTAAACTCTGACTTGGACCCACGAGGTCGACTATAGCAGCTTTAGTGCGTTTCGAATGCACTGCAATACACATAGCTCATTCAAACTGTGTAGAAGAGGGGCTGGAATTCTGGCAAAACTCCCGTGTTGAGGAGTGTACGAAGTATTCCAGAGGAACACAGACGCCTGTTTCGCTGTACCCAAAATACTCTACAGCGCTGTGCCTCGTAGGAATGCCTAATAAACCTTCTCCCAGCAATCCTTTATTTATGAATACTGAGGGGATGGGTCACGAAGGTGGGGTGGTGGTTGACACATTAACTTTGGCTTGTATCGGAAGTCGCCTCACTCGACGCATAAATGTCGGAAATAACACTGCTACAGATGCATACGAAAAGTGTGCTTGACCCCGTCTTCGCCCTAAAGCACTTGTTTTACACCAGCAAACCAACGTTTAGTCTTGGATATCATTGCTGGTTAACAATAATTCCTCATAATTGTACCTATCCTCAGATCGAAAGCAAGTCTTGGCTTATTTGGAACTACTGAGGAAATTAAATACAGTTTGTAGAGTCTGCCTGCTAACCCTCAAGCTCCTCGACCTTGGAGTTCAGGAGAAGGTCAATTGAGGAAACTTTATTAGGTATCACATATAGAAGGAAAAGAAATAGGAGAGAGTTGATGAGGCGAAGATTCGATGTTACCGTGGAAACATATCTTCCCACCCCTCACGCATTAGAATCGTTACCGAACTCCTTTCCATGCCTCTTCCCTATAAAAGCAAACTTAAAAATCGATGTCAGAGGGCTGGTGCTGCTGGCTAGTAAGTGTTTCAATGTGGCACCGGTTGTTTTGATGGCTAGATAGGAAAGTGCAGCAGTGAAAGAAGAGCATAATGTATTGTTTGCGCGACCACACGGTGTTTGGCGATCACTTTGGAATTTGTTTGGCTCTTATGCACATGGACTGGCCTTCGAGTCATGCCCAGGCCTATTAACCCTGTCGTCTCGGGAATACATGTATCCAGCTGCACTTAATGACTTCTTATACAGGCTGGGAAGTCTCTGGACGCTACTGTAAGTGCTGTCTACCTACTATCTAGACCTTGAATCTCAGACTTCAAGAGAGTTGGTTGCAGGTGATTCATTTGGCAATTGTTATAGGAAGAATGGGAAATGGGATGCGGACGAGCCGAATAAGAGATATCGATTGCAAAAAGACTCCTCACCATTTTCGCGCATGTGAGCGCGTTCCAATTTGGTTTCTGCTTCACAACTATAAAAGTCCACTTAACCAAACTAGTAAATGTTACAGCTACAAAGAGGACAGCGAAGTACTTTGTATATGTGACACCCGATATCTGACGACGGTTTTGGTAATCCTTTTGACCTTGTACTGCTGATCTGACCTTCGACGGCTCCAGGGCCCTTCGCCTTCACGGCTTAAAATACATGCATTCCGTTAAAGGCACTTTTTTCGACATGGCGCCAAACTTACAACAAATATAAAATTCACAAGTTTAAATATTTGAATTTCTGCAAGTCTTCCCTTAAATTTTATCACTGAAAAGGGCGCTGTCATTGCAAAATTACGAAGTTCGGATTCTACAGCTTGTGCATAACACTTTTTTAAATTTCCATTGCTCATTTTAAACCAGCCCTAATTGTTTTATACATTCACAGCTCTGACAAATGGGTCAAGGTTACTTTCACAATCGCAACTGTGTTTTTATTGGCCTGCTTTGGAATGCTTTTCCCATTAATATTATGATGCGCTACGTGGCGGCCACGCTACTTACCTTCCTCATCTTTACAGCGCTCACGAATGACTCAATGGGCGACCATATTCATTACGGCGAAGCTTCTGAAAGGTAACATTCAGCAAAACATTCTATGTTGCTTCTCATTATCGTCCTTACCTTCTCTAGTTTGTGAATCACTTGCTGTGGAGTTGATTATCTTTTATGTCATACCTTGTTCCAGCTTTTGAGACACATATCAACTCAATTATAATGTTACCTCACAGCATTACGTACACATGAATCTAGCTCAATTTGTATCCTAAGAAGATTTGCTCGTTTCCCAGCCATTCACATGCCCACGGCAACTCTTATGGGCAGCATCAGGACCATCTACGCAACCATGGCCATCTTCATGCGCATTACGACATAAAGCCTCGTTCCAGCCAAATATGGGTAGACACAATTGGTGCGGTTGTGGGCATCAGTGTGGCGCCATTCATTCTTCTCTTTCTCGTTCCTGATCTCAATAAACGTCGCGAGTTGCTCAAAATTCTTCTCGGATTCGCAGCAGGTGGTCTTCTAGGTGATGCCTTTCTTCATCTCATTCCTCATGCTCTCGCTCACATGCATGGTCAAGACCATCGCGAAAACGGTCACGATGCTCATGGGCATTCACACTCCCTGAAGGATGGTAACACTTGCGTCTTCCTCTGTGTCATCGGTGGAATCTTTGTTTTCTTGTGCATCGACAAGTGTCTGCGTTTCGTACGGAGTGGTCACAACCATTCCCATGGCTCTCTTATTAATGAAAATGGTGATAAGAAACAAAAAAACGCGAAAGCAGGGGATAGTAAAGGGAGTGTCTCGAATTCTAATGGTCCAAACAAGAGCAAAACTAAGAACAAACTTGGTTTGTCTTCGATTTTGCAACTAGTTTTGTCACCAACTTGTTTTTAGGCATGAACATAACTGGATATCTGAATCTTGCTGCTGATTTCACGCATAATGTCACTGATGGCATCGCGATTGGTAGGTCCATCGTGTCGTTTGTTTCACCAAGTTCTCTGTTTATCGCTATCCCGATCAATTGATTATGGTCTTTTTATTGGTATTCTTGCGTGAATTGTCTGCCTTAGACGCATTTTAACTACTTTTCCAACATCGTTGTGCCTTGCGAAGCACTTTGATTGCCTCTTCTCTTTTTATTTTTTTAGGTGAAGTATATTTGAGTTTTAAGAGCTTCTTCGATGCATTATAGTCCTTTTTGCTGCGTAGGTCATATTTGCCCTAGGCATATCGCTGTTGATTACTATTCCAGCTGGGTCCTTCCTGATAAGCCGCAACGTAGGTTACGTCACCACCCTGACTGTGCTTGTTCACGAACTGCCTCATGAAATCGGTGACTACGCAATTCTTATTAAGTCTGGCTGCGGAACACATCGGGTGTGTTTCAACTGCAGTTCCTGCTTCTTTTGTTATGCATTACATTGTACTCCCTTTTAATCTACTATGTTTATTCATGCAGGGGTAGACGATGTACTGTTTTATTTCGGTTAGCTCCCTCTTTTGCATGCTTTCCATTCGTGAACTGGTCTTTACATTATCTTAGTCGTGAGGCCTGTTTAGGTGTTAAAAAACTTCTTATTTTTGCTGTTTTATTTGGCGTTTGTGATCTCAGTGCAACTTGCCTTTTATGAGGCCTTTTTTTCTAACCTGCACTGAAATCGTAAATATGCGTTGCCAGGTGTAAGCACTAATAAGTTTCTTTGAAATATCAGAATCATGTAGTGGAGCTACTGAAGAACTCATTCCCAGCCAGTATAGGTTGTGATTAGTTCATGCTAAATGTAATAGAGGGACGTGTGTATTAGTTGATTCGAACAAATGGTGGTCGAAGAGTTGTTAATTAGACACATGGCATTTTTCATAATAAAACAGATGCAGACGGCATCTTACGAAGCGTCGAGCTGGCATCCAATGCATTCAAGATACGCAGGCCATGCTGTACATTACTGGACGGTGCTGACCTTACTGAGTTATTTTTACTTGCCGCTTACTTGAATACTAAGTCGACAACGTAAATTCTTTTGGTTCAAAATCTGGTCTAACCTTCCTAGTTCTTGATGAGTACCACTTAATTCTTTCAGGCTATGCTACTACAACTTGTCACAGCTCTGGGTGCAGTCCTTGGCGCTTGTTTGAGTCTCCTCGCTGCTGGCGTTGGGATGGACAGCAAGGAGTCTGGCGTCAGTTCTGGTCTTTCGCCAGAGCTCATTACTACCTGTTTGTTACCCTTCACGGCGGGTGGGTTTATCTACATTGCATTGGCCTCAGTATTGCCTGATCTGCTCGTTGATTATCAGGCGGGTGACCGTCGGTCCGCCAACAAGATATCGCGACGAATAGGGCAGGCAGCAGCGGAACTCACAGCAGTGATTCTTGGTATTGCATTGATGGCAGTGATTGGTCTGTTTGAATGAGGACTTGACCCCTCCATCTTCCACATAAGTGCCAAGCATTTAGTTTAAGCTTGTATCATTTCGATATTCTTCAGTATGTTAGGCGGTGGTTTTGGTTGTGCCTTCTGTGTGACAGCGATCACTCTTAATGTATTAAGACAAGCGGGTCGATTGGTCTATAGGAAGTGCCTTCCCCTTTGATAAGGAAGAAAGGTGCATTGAATGCTGGCAAAAAGTGGAAGCGTTGGGCTTAGCCTGAACACGTCTACCTGCTGTTATTTGTCACCAGGTTATGGTTGTTTTACTTGTTTTAATTATTTTTGCACGCTCAAAGGGAGTTTAAAAGGCCTTCAAGGGTTACCCAAGCGCTACGTGGCTGTAATATGTCCGGACATGATGGCACTCTCTAGTCGCAGTTACATCTCGCATGTCTTTGACATACCAATCAACTAGAAGTCGGCGGAGTCAAGCCTTGATCTGACTTTCTAAGTTGTAACAGAGCTACTTGTACGCTAAACTAGTTTTGGACGCTTAATTGCTTATTTAGCCAACACAAAGATTAAAATGTCGTAGTGTCGCCAGACCAAATCAGTCTGCATTTAGTTCTCTGTACCGTAATACTTCCTTCGCATGACTACTTGAGGTCTGGCGATTACTATCTTATTCCTCTGGTCCTTTGTCTAGGCTGGCTTACAGGATGGGACGAGGCCTGATACCATATTCTCCTAGAATGCCTATAGGTTGGATGCTTTCTACCTGAAGGGAGGTCTCGAGGGTCACACAGTATCACGAGACTTACCATTATGTCCAAGACATTGGGCATGACCGAGTACTTGATTTTAGGCAAGGGGATCGAAGCGTGGCTTTGTCATTATCCGATGATCAGCTCACCCCACCAAAGCCGGAAGGGCACCAATGTGGTTTTCAGTCATTAGGGTTGTCTAAGAAACGGGTCGTTGCGAAAGCGATTTTACAGTCGTCGTTTCGAATGCATTGCCGTGACGGTGCGATTTGAGCTTCTAGTAGCCACTATGATGATTGATATTTAACAATTATTGAGAGATGCCATAGATATGCGTTGCTAGTAAGTTTAGCAGAAAGGGGGTCCAACAGTAACCTGATGGTTTTTCGAATGTATATAGTACTAAATATCTATATATAATTTAAGATCTGAAAGGTGACTATGCTCCGCAATAAGATATACCTAAAATTAAATTAAAAGTCATTGATTTGAAAAAATGCAATCACATTTATTTAAAAATCGTAGGTTACTTTGCTTGTTGTGGTGTACATACTTCTAGCGCGCGTTGTAAATATTGTGCAGATGAAGCTGGTGTGACAGGATCTTTTGACATTTCTTGAGGGTTGGGGAGTTCACGTACGCAGTGGGGATTAAAGTCGGTTGCTTATGGAGCTTGTGACAGGATTCCCACCGGTTGGGTGCGCAGATGTTAAACTAGGTGCTGTATTTACCATCATCTTTGTGGTTCTCGCGTACTGCTCAATTTCGGCCCTTTTCCCACACTCCTCGGTCTGGTCAGGAGGTTAGTCAGTAAGATATACGCCAAATCTTTGGAGGAAATGGCTGTATAGCTGCAATCTTTTTACGCGAAATGCAAACTCGTAAGCGAACACGAGATCAGTATAGCCTACTAGTTTACTTGATTTAATAGTCCCTTTAAACTTTACAAACGGAAGGGTGGTGCAACGATTCAGTATTCAGTGTACACTTAGTCAAACAATCGCATATTAAAAAGATGAGTGAATATTTCCAAGGAGGTGTAGGAACTGTCTGCCCACTCTCATGCCCTTTAACCGCGGACTCCAAGAGAGGGTCTGTAGCAGTAGGTTCATTAGGCATTGAAAACAGGAAGAATGGGGATGGGGTACAGATGAGCCGAGTAGAACATGTCGTCCGGAGAGAGGTTCCTCACAGTCCTTGGCGCAGGACTAGCGTCCCATTTCAGTTCCCGCCTCTCTTCTATATAGGTCAACTCCAACACTAGTGTATATTACAGAAGATAGGGGTACTATCAGTATTTGAGCAGTAGAACATTTTATTGAACAACAAAAAGTACATGGACAAGTAGTAAAAACGAGATTTTTTGGGGGAATTAAAGCGTCGTCAATTTAAACACACAACAATTGAGTGATTTTAAAGTATTTTTAAACGACAAAGTTGAATAACTAATGTATGGTCAGAATCCTAATTCGGTGAAATGGGAGAAGGATAAGGAAAGAATTGACAGACTTGGAGGTAACTAAAATGATAATATATGAGCTATATGAAATTCGAGTTAATTGTAAGGGTGGGTGATTTATGGGATCAGACTCCAACTTTCATTCCTTCTTCTTCTACATCCTCAAATCCCTATTCTCCCATCGTCTGCTTTACCACCTTCCCGTCTTCTGCAACAGAAACATCCTCGGCTAGCCCAATGGTTGTATCAATGGGGTATAGGTTGAAGCCAGGCGCTTGCTGTTCAGCTGGGGACGGGGCGAAGAAGGCCACAAGGACTGAACCCACTAATACCGCCACTTTAGCTACCACCGCGCAAGCAAATAGGAAGAGGAGGAAGCGATACAGTTCCCACTTTGTTTCGCACGTTGAGTACTGCCAACAGGTACTGTTTACGTTCACCTAATGAATTAAAAAATTCCTTGCATTATTACTATTTTCATGATGTTGGGCTTTGAAGTTGTTGCTAACACAATGCATAATAACTTATACCGTTACTTAATTCGCCTCTGATGTGCTAAAAGCTTGATATTGAGTGTGACTGTGGGTACATGGATTTGTGATTCACTTTGAGCGTCGTCCACAGTCAGTAAAATTCCTTTGCATGATCCCTGCGTTACGCAACCTATTTATGCACCAAGACTGAATAAAGACCCAATAGATCCTCCTTTGGTCGCTCTTTCTTGTTCAAAGAATTCACTAATGACGCTAAATACACGGTTCTTAGACGACTACGTCTGAAGTCCAAAATTTTCAACAATGCTATGTAAGTATAATGCTAGTCCGCTTTGGCTTCTATGCCGCACGGCGCCTCACCTCTAACGGTGAAGTGCATGTTTATGCTTCCAAGCAGAATTTGTGATCATCAAACTACAGTGTCGGTACGACCAGAGAATCCGGTAAAGGAAGCTACTTAATGAAGTATGAAAGTTATTATGATTGCCACGAATGAGGATGGTAGGACAAGGTTCAGAACATTTCGATTTTGCCACCATAAAAACCATTTTAACTCCATAATATTAAATGGGTGAATTTATTGAACGTGCAGAAGATGCAACCTGTAAGTCATATAGAATCGCATCTATCCCAAATTTTGGATCATTAGGATCCTGATTTTCACAAATACGTCTACGAATTTAGGACCCCGTTTTTTTACTAACTGCATGATCGGCGGTCACTTTGGCATTTATTTTGCTCTTGTCTGTTTTAGCCGGTCTTAGAGCCAAGTCAAAGCTTAATCTCGGCCTTCTCTTAAAATACGAGTAAGAAGCCTCATCTTATGTCTTCTTCTACTTAGTTGGAAGTCTCAGGACGTCGCAATAACTTTTCTGGAGCAAGTCCTGGCGTTATTGGCAACGTCCCGAGACTTCTTACTGGATAGAAGAAGGCATTAAGATGGAGGCGAACACTTGTAGTCAGGACGAAAAGGGAAGAGGTTGGGCTTTAGTGTGGTCCCGGTGTCAGCCCACGGCACAAGAACAGGAAAAGTACTAAGGCAATCGCCATATTTACAGGCGATCATGTAAGTAAGGTATTAAATTATAAACAGAACAATATAAAGAAGTTCAGTTGTGATGAAGTGTTTTAGTAAGTGTATGTACTATGAAAGGTAACAGAATGCTTTAATTCACTGCATAAAAGCGAGTTGTCTTACAGGCCAAGGCTTAGAAGTCACGCTAAGACACATTCGTCTATGGTATCTTTTAGTTGTGATTTATTTCTAAAATTTAGGGATTCTCATGCTACCAACATGACGGCAGATATTAAGCATTTAAATTCCATGTGCGAGTGTTTTAATAAGTGAGTTTGGCTTTCGGCCTTGGTCGATATTCTGACCTAGGGAGTCTTGCCATCTCGATAACATGTTGTGGCTCCAGCATTACGTGCTGTGATAGGGTTTAACTATTTTTTGTTACAAGCAAGAATTAAGGGGCATATATGCATTCACATAATTAAGCCAATCTTTCGCATTCCATAGGGTTGGAGTTTCGGGTAGATCTTTGTACACAAAAGTAATCAATATTCAGAACGGCTTGTAAAGGCCTTAATGCTTTAAAATGCTTCTTAGTTTAGCTTTGGAAACCCACTAACATATGCAAGATATATTTGCGAAATTGCTGGGTAATCAGTGCATACTCATTCAGAGTTACTTGTTATTACCTTTACTTATTCAACTGTAATTTTCGTCGAAGCACATGAATTTTAAATTAGTCACCACTGTCTCAGCAGCTGCTGTTCCGAGAAGAACGGTTTCACCAACGAGGCAATGCATCCTATCGCAGTTGATTGCGCCTAATCTCCATCATGCACTGCTTAGCAAGTCCTCGTAAAATGTTGCTGATAAAAAAATTCATAAACCTCAAATTTTGTCCAGTGCACCCAGTCCCTTCGTCCGGCACGTATGATTTCGAGAATTCTACACTCCTTAAAGGTTGATTCTCATCGGCACCAAATGACAAGAATGTGGCATTATATGCGAATTTTTAACTAGTAAGTGAAATGCATCTGTTGATATTTTCCATCGCTTAACATTTACAATGAACTTAAAGAAACTCACCTGAGAATAGGTGCCATCTTGAAGGTCACACTTGCAAATCCTCGATCGATTTCGATGCACTGGGTTTCCATGGAACGCGAAGGTACAAGTAACACTCCAGTGTGACCAATGCTGGCATCCGCTGAAGCATTCTTCAAGCGTACATGCGCTTAAACAGTTGCCAAGTTTTACACAGGTGCAAGTGAATCCTTCCAGACATGTGTCTGATGATGCTATGCTTCCAGCGGTGCTATTTTCGCATCCCGGCGTGTACCTCCATCGGCAGATTCGCGCCATTTTTTAGCTGAATGGTCTGAAAACGTTGCAACAATTGATGGATATTGCGTGTGATTTCTGAGTAGAACGAATGAGTGAATGGAGGAAATAGGGGACAAATAATTAGAAGCAAAATTAAGAAATAAATTCATTAATAAAGCAAAAATTGATTTAGATTTGGTAATTACTGTCGAGCTCAAAAAAACTCCTAGAATTCCAAAATGGCCTGTGACGTTTCAGGTATAGAGTCCGTAATGTGTACCAATGTGTTTAAGTTGCCGGGTAAGTTGAGTTCAAGGACCTTTCCAAGAATTTGCTTCTGCAGCTTAGTTGTGCTCTAATCCCTGCAGACCGAACTTATATGACTGTGTCTATTAGATCCTCCTGTAATCATCTCCCTTTCAAGAGGTCTGCGGTTAAGGACGGGGATAGTGGAGTGGAAGGTGCTACCGTGTCGGTTCGAATAAAAATTTCATTGCTGAAGTGTTGGTGGAAAAAATATAAACTTTAAATCAATTTGGCGTTGGAAAACACAGAAATTTACCATACCATTGGCGAACTCAGATAAACTTAACACACACCTTACCAAGTAACTTTTGTAGATGTACTTTGTCCTAGTTTAAGATGAATTTTATGGTACTTCCAGCCTCACTTCTCGTCCAATCGTGTTAGTCTTTTGGATGACCCGAATTTCAGAACTTATAATCGTCAGTGTTGAGCTTCGTGTACTTTGTATGTGTTTTATCAGACCACTGAGAAGAACAACTCGTGAGTGTTTAGGTGGTGGACTTTCAGATCATCTTGCCTCCTCAATGTGCATCTAGTAAGATGGTCGTTTAAAGAGGTGGACGTGACAAACCTGTGCGCTGAAGTCCTCATAGAGAGTGAGCTGAAAAGTATCGAAGTGATGTAAGTCCCCCAAAACTTTGATCCCTTTCTTACCCCATTTCCACAGGAGTCTGTGTGATGTGGGTAATGCCTCCCAAACATTGCAATCGGTTTTGCTGACTGCCACTGTCAACTAAATGCAAATCCAAACTGCATTGACAAGCCTCTATGCAAGTCTGTAGGTTAGAGTTGGTACCAAAACATCAAAGCTAGGGATATTGCAGAAGGAGACAGTTAAGGGTTTGATTGAGAAAATAATCTAAACTAAATGTTTGATTTGCTGAACTAGCTGTTGGAAGCGTCAATGTTTAATGTACTGCACTCAGTTGCGACAGCGATGACTATCGCTTTGAACACTGGCTTCAAAAGGCTCACTTCAAAACCTTATAGTTTGTGGAGGTATGACTATAGGAAGTGAAGGTCTTGATCGCAACCAGTTGATGGTCAAATGTAGGCGACAGTCTCATAAGACAAAGAGCACTTCTTCCCCTTCGATGGCAAAAGCTTTTCTAAAAAGAGTTTCATGGTTGAGATACAGGCCTTAGAATTGATGAGTAACGGTGCAAGTTGTTGCTCAGATCTCGGTGACAATTTCATGATCAGAATTTGGGTTTTGAAGTGCATTTATGATGTCGTTTGGTCAGCGTTAATTTTGTACATTCTACTGAATTCCCAATAAAGTCCTGCCTCCCAAATGGAGCATGAAGATTAGAATCGGGGTCTTTCATCGGAATTAGAGGCGGTCTGACCTCTCGTAAAGAGGCTTTGCGAATGCCAGTAGGGAACTGACACTCACATGATAACAAGTCTACAAATCATATTCTATTTCTTACTGATATTAAATTGCCTTCAATTTGTGTGACATAGACAACTTGGACGAAGGTCCTGACTAACTCTTCAGCGGAACTTCGCTTCATTCAGAAGGATTTCCCTAAGACAATCACTTCATGGTGCACTTATGAATCCAGTTGTCCTGTCTCAAAATTGCAAGTCGTTTTGAAAAGCTATGGAAAGTAGAAATAAGGTAGTTAATCCAATCGCAAAATTCACCTCCACCGAGCACTGGGAAGCCTCGTTGTGCATAGTTTAGTGAGTACGTGCGATAAAAGAGCTTGCATTAGGTGCAGCGTTTGTTTCAAAAGCGGTTTCAGTTTTGTCCTTTTCCTTACTCAATGTTCAAGGACTGCACAACCTTATTTTTTTTTTCTAAGTAGGTCCCGCACATGGCTCTTTAAAGTGCCGATATAGTAATAAAACTTTACTATAATTAGTGATTTGCATTTTCACTTTCAATAATGAAAAGGTGGAAGGATATAATTTTAGCTATAATAATTAATTTCAACCTGTAATGGGTGATTTTGCATCTAGCTCGGTGCTTTGAGGACTCAACTTCAATACCTAGCCAACACGTGGACCCACGCCCAAGCTGATTTCTTCTCATTCACTCAGTATACCTTCGATTCGTAATTCGACTATCTCACTACCTTGGAGCTAAGTATCTGCATAGTGTACTTCCGAGTTTGGTACATAACACCAGTTCGGGTAGCAATAGGGTGCTTTTGAAGATGCTGTATTGACTAGCTTCACTTAGTTTCATTGTTTACCACCTACTTGACATGTCTACTTGCCACGTGGGAAAAAGATATGTTTCAACCCACAACGACTTTACATTGGGGACCTCACTTGAAACTCAAACTGATGTGGTGCATACTACTTTTATTGCCTCAGTAGTTGTAGGGTTTAGAGGCATTGTAAATGATATCGTTCATTGCGGACATGCAGTTGCCACAGGATCCCGCAAATTCCATCCACGTATCTCATGGGTCGAATACGGTACTAATGCAGGTTGTACTAAGCCCAGTTCAGAAAACCGAAAACCATTGTGCACCTCTGACCTTTTACCCGTCTTCCCTATGGCAAATGTCGCAGCATTGCCGGTAACTCGTTGCCATTATGAATTAGACTTTTGTTGGGTTAAAGTGCTTCTACATCACTCTACGACTAAAATTTTTAAAATATAAAAAAACATTCTACTTTCTTGCTATGATCACCTTCATCAATTTTTGCTCATTTTTCTCCCTTTTCTTAACATTTCACCACTTTTTAGCGGACTTAGAGGAACTCCAACACCTTTATTGTGCCTACTTATAAATTGGCACTGGTTAACCATTTCCTTGGAATTATTGCGATTCCATTCATGTGAATGCGACAGTGCCAAAGGGGTGACTAAACACGCTGGTTAGAGAGAAATAAATTTAAAATAACCGAAAAATGTGACTGCCAGTTTGAGTTACAAGTTCATCGCGCACCGAGTGGGCATCAACGAGTCCAAAATATGGCAGAATAGGGAGTGTTTTGAGTCCAACAAAGGCCTTAAAGAGGCCTTAGCAAGAGGCACCCATTGTCTGTCTTGTGCGCGTTCACTTTGCATATTGGCAGCGCACTTACCTCTCGCCAAGGCGCCTCACAGTTACTGCAACATTTTTACCTTAAAGTTGAGTAGACGATTGGTTGAGGTGTCATGCCGTGATGCGGATTTCAAGCTACTAGTTCAGAAGGCGCCTGTTGACTAATGCCTAGTCTTTTGTGCCTATGCAAAATAAAACGCGCCTTTATGAACTACTTTGCATAATTTTGTTTGATTGAATTAAGCAAAACTTCCTAACCACTTACACCTAAACAATTTCCAACCGGAAGAGAAAAAAATACTAAGTAAAATTGCCAATAGAGTGAATTTATTTCTAACTTTTTAACACAATTGAGGAGACGCATGCCTGAACTCACATGACTTTTACATTCTCCGTAGACTTACAAACGAGGAAGGAGACGTTATCGACTGTGAAAAAGGCAAAATTTTCCGGAAGGTAGGGAATTTCACTAAAATGCATTAAAATGGCGACAGTATTAGAAGAGGTGGGTGAATGAGAGGAAGCTGCATCAAACACTGCAAAACGCATCGAGTAGAATGCAGGAGAACTGCTAACGTGCTTTTAGGTGGCAACGCTGTACAGAGACGAATGCCACATGACTAGAAAATGCCTACCTTCCAAAGTCAAGACCAGTTACACAGCTCCAAGCAGGTCCATATTTGTTGTCCATGGCCTGGCGCACATAAGTGGCGCGCTCCTGATTTGACTTTGTCCTGCTAATCGCCTCGGTAGCTGCGTCAATGGCCGTCTGTAGCTTGGATTTGTCGCATTCCACTTGAAGTTGTTTGACTTTTGGTTCCGACATGATGCGATGGTGAGGCGAAACACTACTGCGTGTGGTTACTGCACCTACAGAGGGTATTTAATACTTGGCGCACAGCCAATTGTATGTCACTGCAACTATCAAGGCTTGTATTAGCCACACACTGCACGCTGTGCTGTGCTGTGCTGCTGTGCTGTATTGTGTTGTGTTGTGTGTGTTGTGCCTTTCCTTTGTCATGCTGATTGACGTACGCTGCATTGCTTCTTATTCTTCTCCTTCTCCCACAACCTCCTCCCATTGCCTTGGGAGTAGACTGCAATAAAAAGTGCCTCAAATCTTAACAAATGATCTGCAAGCACGCCGATAAATTCTCAATATTTGGAGCCACCTAGATAGAATGAGGGAGTTGCTTACGAGCGTTTTGAAGTGCTACTTAAGCACCTAAACAAAGGTCCGAATGATAGGCATCTCATTAACTAAAATTGTATTCACTATTGTCGATGGGAGTATGTAAAACGTTTTCTGTGGTGGCTGTGTGGTGGGTATAGGTAGTGGGTTTCATTAGGAGAGGTGTCTAGTTTCTGTGTCTAGTGTGGGCGTGAAATACTCCCCTCAGGTGCGCCTTTGTGCACTGCGACCTCCAAATATGCCCCCAAGTAGGGCATCGAGCGGTTTTGCAAATAAGCGCTAAAAGTTCGACGACCTTTGCAACCCATATAAACAACCGAGAGAACCAATTTATAGTGTTAGAGAAGTAGTTAGAAAGTAAAAAGTTTGATTTGACTAACACATTTGTAATTGGTGTCAACGCCAAGTTTTATAGGTATTAAATATCCATCGCTATGTTGAAACATTCTGCGAGGTTTTGCAGACAAGGAATGAGACATTGTCCACAGAAAAGAAGGCAAAGTGATTGGGGAGATAAGGTAACTCGCTGAAAAGGAAATAGCAGGCATTACACCACCGTCCAAAACGAAAAGCCCACCTTCCAAAATCTCTGCCCGCTACACAACACCAGGCCTCGCCATACTTCTCGTCCATAACACGTCGAACGAAGGACGCTCTTGTCCTATTCGAGTCCGACTGACTCAAAGCCTTCTTTGCGGCATCGACTGCGGTGTCGAGTTCATTCTCATCGCAGTCAATTTTATGTTTCTGGAGACTCATAATGCCTTAATCGTAGCCAGGATGAAAAGAGAGTGATTTTTTTTAATGCACACATAAACAAACACACCCATGGTGTGTGTTTTCAACGTTATACCTGTGCACATACGTGTCTGTGTGTTAGAGATTGGCTTACTTTTCACATCACCCCTTAGAAATATTCGCAACCTCTTGAGTTATCCACTACAAGTGTATTGATTGTGTGTGAACAGTTAACTCCATTTGCTTAAAGATGACTTGAAGCCATTCACACATAAAATAACCTCTATCAATGTACACACATTCTGCTAAGTGTCTTTCTGCCCCTATCTGGTGTACACTTTTCTCTGCAAAGGCACCCAGTACAGAAGTTATTCATTCACTATGTTCGGTTGCTCCTTTTGGCATCGATTGACACAATGACTGGCTCAGAATCAGTCACTGAAAGGGGGACTGGTATGCATGTGCGTGATAGTGTGCTGTCACAAGCACGGGAACGGCGCATAGCTAAGTTACATGACCTGCGTGAGATCAGGCTAGGCCCAAGCCTTCTGTTGGCTCGATGATTGTTGCTGCCTTAGTGATGCAAATGTGAATGGAGTAGTTGTGAGTAATGGCGGACTGCATCCAAAGCTATTTGCATCAGCGTATTTGCACATTTGATTAATTACAAGCGGAACGGGTACTTGTTGTAGTGCCTTAAATTTTTACTCAAGGATTAAAATCCTTTTGCAGCTATATTGTCAAAGCAAACAATAGCCATGCCTGATTTGGTGAATTGGTGTTTGCTAATGTGCATGCAAATACTGTACTTTGTCTTGACCAACGACGTCAATATCACAGTCATGCCGATAGATTATTAATATTAAAGAATCCCGTACGAGAGTCATGACGATTGCATGGTAAACCTGTATAATCCATTAAAGTGCTGTTCCCATCCCTTCTTTGCTAAAATTTTCAAGCAAATTAGTTAAAATCCGACATTTTGAGCCAACGCGAGAGATAATTTCAAGATGTCTTGCTGATTGGTTGCGTGCACACTTGACCTTAGATGCAATATTTTACACAATTTCATTCTACTCGTAAAAATTAAGTAGCCTTTAAAGATTGGAAATGGCAAAGCATTGGTTTAAATCACTCGCTGCATCAGCCAACCGCAAATTTTTGGCATAAACAACCAATCCAATTACAATTAGTTTCTAATTCATAGCAGTTGTTTAAGAATGGGAAGTGGGACACTTCCAATGGCTGAAGTGCAGGAACATTGATTGCGAAATTACCCACTAATGATATCGAAGTTGTATTAAACACGGAAGATAATTCCATGCACGAGATTTTGAAAAAAGTATTTAAGAACACCATAATTTCTTCTCGGACCTTTATAAGCTTTGTGGGAAGGTTGATCTGCAGTAAAAGTAAGAGTCAGCATTACGTTGAACTACTTTGGCTACATACACGAATCCTCTCCGTTGTATCTTAGTGAATGAAGAGGCCGCACCTGTAGTTCTCTACGCCAACTTGGTTCTAACTTTTACACTAGCATCTCTTAACACTATTTTTCATCAGCGTTCCCACTTTTTGGCAGAAAAGTGTTATTTAAGTTTGTGACTAAAGTAACCGCATGAAGATGATGACTTTTGTTCTCCGCGACTATTGATAGACGTATAGCATTCTTGTCCTCGTACTACCTTCAAAGAGGATAAATTCTGGATGTTGCATAATTGTCATGAGAAATGGATACAGTAGCAGCTCAACCTCCTCTAATTTGCACTCAAGTTTAACAGGTAGCGCTGCTGATTTGTTTCCCCAATCACATCACCAAACACGTTGCGGTGATCGACAAGGGAAGTTGACTCTCTAAAAGGCGGGCAGACTATTTGGCACCAAATGTGCTTTTTAAAGTGAGCAATTGGGGTCTCATCACCGCACTTCCACCAGGCGGCATGATCTCAACATCCAATTTGAGCAGCCTTTGAACACAATCTCAAATGCAAAACGTAAAGTCGGCAAAGTAATGCATTTGTTAAAGAAATGATCCGGTGCAATGCAAACATTGCACTTGTATGTAAATTTAAACCAAAGTTTTGCACTATTTTCTTGAAGGATTTTCGACCTTTTCAGGAATTCGATAGGTGGGAATGGCCAACTTCATGCCCGCTACTGCGTAGTCATGTTCGGGTCCCGATACTACCTCAAAAATGGCGTGTAGCTCATCAGTGAGGTCGTTCAGGTGGATATTCCTCTTCTGTTCATAGACAATGCGATCACCGACTTCCTTGTATTGCTCCAACCACTGGTTGCAGAGGTTGAATAGATCGTGTGCATAGAAGGCTAATTCGGGACCGATGCTAGTCACCACTAGGGCCAGTTCCTTTAGCATCTTCATTAAACGTCGCGCTGTTACTTCATTATCTACAAGAAGGGTTTAAGAATTGTCAGCCATTTCTCCATGTTTTAGCCTAACCCCGTTTGAGTAGGTCGACACAGGCCATTCACAAGACGTATGAGCCATGACGTTATTAAAATCTTGACTCACTTCTTCGCATCATCTTTCGAAATTCAATGGAGAAGGAAGGCAGGGCACCAGCTAATTTCACGGGAGGCAAGTGCTTAAGCAAGTCCATAAAGACCAAATGTCCCACGTGTGCCCAGTGCGAATCATCCGACTGTGCTTCAAGTGTGTCTTTCAGCAGATCTGCAATATCATATTGCTCAATGTCAACGCACCAGTTGATCCTTTCGATGAATACGTCCGCTGAGTAGTCGAGGTGGAAGGGATAGAGGCCTCTTTCATATCTCACACGAAATCGTGATCGGCGCAGGGGTAATTGAACTCTACTTGACAGAGGTATTCCAATATCCCAGATGCCTTGCTCTGCTTGCATTCCGAAGGCCCGTTTGGACTTCTCCGATGCAGGATCTTCTGTGCCTAGCAATGGGATACGGCGCGGTTGAGGTCCACACTTATTCTCCTTGCATTCGCAAGGGTCGGAATGGCGCCGTGCTTCTTCTGCCTCTCGAAGAGTCTCGCAGAAAGACAGAGGTAGTCGCTTAGGTGAGCATGTCACCCTCCGACAAATTCGACCAGTAGAGGTGGTACACCTCATTCTCCTCCTAGTTGGAGGTTTGTACATTCATCTTCTTTCTCCCCGATTCAAAACATCGATTAAAACACTGCCCTCACGTGATCTTTGAGACGTGAAGAGCGAATTTATGGGTTGTGTAGATAAGCTGTTTGAGAATCCGATCCGCTTTTGATCAAAGTTTTGGATTTTAGATTGGCTTGAGTATATTTTAGTTATATGATTTTAGTAAAGTCACAACACATTTGGTAAAAGCTTTGAAGCACATGCAAATACAAAAAAGGTTCATGTGACCTTTGAACACATTGAAAAGTTATATTGTAAAAAATGCACTAAATCTTACGCAAACCCATACACCCAATACAGCACTGGATTGCCATTGTAAATGTTTATAAAGCTGGATGCCTGTCACTCTTCAAATATAACTTATTGACGTATGCTAAGTAAACCTTTAGGCAACATGCATGCATACAAGTCTCCTAACACTGTAACATACCGGTGATGTAAATCGTGCTTTGTAAGAGGTATGCACAGGTTCAATTTGAACGCTGTGCAAGTGGCGTGCGAGGATCCTTCTTAGAACTAGTTTATGTATGTTTGGTGTACCCCTACCTCTGCTGACTGTACCTACGTATCAATGCCCAACAAATCATCATTTAATTTCCTTATTATGAAGACTAATTTAAGGGCAGAAAGAGTGGGGATAAGGGTGCAACAGACACTGAACTACTTTGCTTATGATCACCCAATGTTTAACGATTATTTTGGTATCCGCCTTATCCTTATGGATGTGGTCTGACAATTTGGCAAAGCCAAAGCTACATCCCGTCTTATCTTTCTCAAAAACATACAATCTATCCAACTTAATGCCTTCTTGTACCCAACGGAATGTCCCGGGTCGGCACACTGGTAGCAGCGGATGGCAAACTCAACTTACTTAATGACTTCTCTCCTAGCAGTCACTTCTCGGTATCACTTACAACAGAAGTGATGAGAATGATGTTTCATTTGGTCTCAACTCGTCCTTGTGTTCTCTAAACTGTTACCAACCGAAGCGACACCACACTGAACCGTCTGAAGAAGTTTTGCATCGGATTTCACCTGCCTCAATCTACGCGAAAGTAGCGAAACTGACACTACTCCGCATGCCCTTGCCTACTGGTCTGTGATCTGTCTGTCAACTGTTAAAAATAATCAGAATTATCTTGCATCATTTTCTGTCTTCATTGCGTGGTTCGCATGCATTTAAATAAAAACTATCTTGATGAAGTGTATGCCAACTTATGTGACGCGGAAAGGTATTCTGTAATAAAGGGCTGGAAAGATTTTGGCAAAACTTTTGCTGCCGAGGCAAACTTATATATTTTTTTAAGATGTAACAATTTATGGAATCTAAATAATGATCAAAATATACCGATTACATAACTTTAAGCTGGTCATATCTCTTACCGTATTCAAATTTTGATTAAGTTGCAAATAATTTATTTGTTTTTCCTAACCATTTACCGCCATGCGCAATCTCACGGTGGTGTCGTTTTCCTCTTGTGAAATAATAGCAGATGTCAAAAACGAAAAAGTTTCTAAAGTGGTTTGAAGAATTGAACCATGGGGCCAATGATTCAGAAACTCTAGGGTTAGAAATATCTGACTCAGTAGAGATAGGCGGTCGAGGCTTGATTGCACTCAATACTCTTCCATTTTCTGACGGCAGTCTTCTTTCCATCAAAGTAGATGATCCACGCTTAGTCCTCACACCTGTTCGTTCTCATTACCTCGTCAATCAGTGTTCTTGTGATTTCAACGAGTGCTGGAGACCGGCTATTAATGTAACACCACAGGAGCCGCAGGATATTCTAGTTTTATTCTTTTTCCATCTCAAGCTTGCAAATCAAAATCCGAAATGCGTCCTTCATGGCATGTGGCAAGCATATTTCGAGATACTTCCCAAGTCCTTCACAGATGTTGCCTACGTTTCTGTCGAAGACCCTAAAATAATGAGCGCACTCAAACCTCTCTTGCCCGTACCGCTAGTGCTTGCTTTTGAATCTCGGATAGAGAGAATGCGAAGGTCGTATCGACGCCTCTTTTCTAATCCCATGCCTTCGGAACCACCAATAGGTTTTGCGTGGGCATGGTCGGTTGTTAATTCGCGCTGTGTTTACGTCAACCTTCGCCATTGGGGTGGTAACAAGTCTATAGTTCCCCATCTTTGCGATTGCCGACCAATATTCCTTCCTCAAAGCAATAGAAATATCGCTATCATTCCCCTCTTTGATTTTTTTAATCATTCACCGAACGTATCCGTTGCCATTGAAGTCACTGATGGTCTACTTAAAGTGAAGACAGACTCGTCTTATCAAAAAGGTCAACAGGTAGAAGAGTTGCCGCGGGGTTACTTTTGGGATTTTAATCTGCCTCATCTGGTGCATGTGTCTGTTATAGGTTTTTATCAACTATGGAAACCATGACAACATCTTCCTTCTGTGTGAATACGGTTTCTGTATTCCTGATGGCAAGAATCCATGTGAAGTGATTTATCCTACTTCCGGAAATTTGTTAGCTATTGGTGGATCTGCTCAAAGGCTAAATCTTGTTCTTTCAACCCTTGAACTACGATCGAGTGGCGATGATACAACATGGGAACTGGTCTACCTGACGGTAGAAGGACCATCTTACTACCTTATTCTGATTCTCTTCGCTCTCTTCACGCCTGATGAAGTGATTCCGCCTTTAAACGTCCTTTACAGCCTTGACGAAGATGATCGTTCCCCCTCAATTCAGCATGGCCTTCGGCTACTCTTGAACTGTCTTCTAGAAGAGACCGAAAAAGCCCTCGGGTCTGTGACCGCACTGGAATGTCATCATGCATTCATTGATATCTTGATCACGTTGTTCGCCTCAAGACGTATTCTCCTTAAGTCAGTAAGATGAACTGCCGAGTTTAGGAGCTGGGGCGGCTCAGTCTTTATGAAAAGTGAAGATCAAGAGCAGAATGTGACTAACTCACTGTATTCATCTGTTCTACTTCCTCGATAGCAACATGTTCCCTCAGTTATTTGTTTTGAAGAAAAGCACTAATACTTATTACATTCATGTTCTATTCAGATCCGTAATTCGTGTCTTATGAAGCACCTTCCGGCAGGTCGGTATTCTCCGTTGCTATTGGTAAGGGGAGGTTTAATGTCGCTTTGAATCGTCTTTATATGATCTTAATTTTTCGCAATTCGGCCCCAGCTGTATTACCAAGCCGAGTATCAGCTGCCATCATCTGCAAATTTGGGTGGAATCGATCATGCAGAAGCACATGGATAGGTGAGAGTGACTCGTTTACCCCTAACTTCCCATCGGATCATTGATGACATGCAGTTTTCTTTGCCTTCATAAAATTGACACTATGAGAGGTTCTGAATGCTCGTTTCTACGACAGACACTCGGTTTGGGCTGACAAAAAAGGCCACAATAGGATCAGTAAAATCGTTTTACCAGTTTGTTTATTGAGGTAGAATCGTACCATCATGAAAAGCTGCAAGCAGCAAGTAGGAACAACATTCGTGGGTCGTGAAACCACTTTGAATAGGTGAGATCGATGAAATAGAAAGATCAAGAGAAGTTAAGAAAAGAACAATTATTTAGTTCGATGCTTGAACTTGGCTGCCATTTGTCCTGACTGGGCTTGAAGTAGAATGGTACGATGAAGCGGCCGCCGCCTGCACCACATCTTCGTTACCGGGCTGAAAGACATAACCCTCATCCACCAGGCGCGCAATGGTGTTTACGTAATTATTGAACTCCTCTGCATACTCCGCGTAAGCATGGTGACCGCCGTCCTCGATTACCTGCATCGTCAGTGAGGCGGGATAAAGTAGCTTAAGCACGACTCTGACTACAGGCGTTAATAATTAGAACACACTTCTGTGCTTAACCGAGAAGATCCTCAGATCCTCCGTCACCCGAGTACCACACTAGGTCTACGTTGCCGTATTTCCGTCTTCAGAGATTAAACGAACACTTCATTGGAGCAAGTTACTCCAAAAATCACAATCTTGACTTCGTTCGCTGGATATTATACCAGTCTATGGTTGTGTGCGGAACCAAAAACGAGTTTGGATCTTGATAATTATCCATGGGGTTGTAAATATAAAAACTACTTATTCATGGAAAATTCCGATTTTGAAATGCTATTTTATACTGTATTCTCCATTAAACAATCGTGCTTTGTACAATTATCTCACTGAATATCAGCTCCGATACGAATGAGCCCATGTATCCCAGTATCTGGGCTTAGACAGTGCAGCATAAATAAACCCCTCAAGGTACAATATGTAGCGTACTACTGCCTTCGGAATCGGATGCGTGTCTATTCCGTGGTGACAATAAAGGATCATGATTACTACAGTCTCCAGGGAAGCAGCCAAGAGGGAAGAACTACTGGCCGAATGATAACTGTTTGGATCACATATTCTAAAATAAGGAATCTCGTCCTCCCATAAATCGAGTACAACACTAGCTTTAATAATATTCTGTTCATTTATGGGAGTAGTCCCTCGGCTGCTTCTGGTTTAGTGTCCTTACTGTTACTAACCTAATCCCTTGCCAGTGGATGCACAGTATGATACCCATATCTAAAGTGATTCCGTCCTACAAAGGAGTCCGAAACGCAGAGAATTTCAGCATAATTAGAGACGACGATTTCAAGCCTGTATGCATTCAGATGCCTCATTTAGAATTCAGCCAAGAAGCACCAACAAAAACCTGACGGTGCAAAAATACACTTGGACTGAAAATAACAACCCACCTCCAAACTGATAAGCTTGTCGATCTCTTCGCCTTTATGCAGTGGGTAAAAAACTTTGTGGTAGGTTCCAAAGTTGTTTACCAAGCGGCACCAGCCGTGAGGCTTGTATCAACATTTGAGAGGGTTCGTTTAAACAGCGTATATGCAAGGGGTGGCGCCAAAAATAATTTGGCAGGAAAATGTCGCACGACAACGACGCATGGAGTTAACCGAAAGGCAACACCTTCACACCAGGTTCGCAAAACAAGTAGTATCGAAGCTGGAGAAGTATCAGAGGGCAGTCACGTAGCTAGTGAATAGTACACTCCAAATTCAAAGTCCAAAAAACAACTTTTGCTTATTATAAGGCTCACAGTACATTCCTAAATGACTAAATCGAACTGCATTGGTTCTTCATGATCTTAAGGGTGAGTTAACGGTTTTAGAATCCCCAAAGACATTTCCTCCAAAGTGGCAACATGGTGATGGAGAAATGTTCTCAAAGTAACGAGCATATTGCAATGTAAGAGGGAGGAAATGGCGTTTAATGGACAACAGAACACTGTTGCATGAATGATTGACGTCAAAGGACTCAACCAACCGGAGGAGCGAAATCGTCCCATCATGAAAACCTAAAGATCTCATTCTCCTGGACATTACAGAAATGTGCTTATTGACAGCTTGAAGTGTAATTAACCAGCACTTACAAATAATTACTGCCTAAAAGAATCACTTTTAAAGAAACACCTCAAAGGGCTCCCACGAAAATGCCTTTAAAATGCGTCTTCAATGCCACGATTTCCCACACTTTTCTCCATGACTTAGGATGTTTCACATGTTTTTGATTAGAAAGAAACCCATAGACTGATTCCACATTAGCGTGGGGATTCATACTCCATAATCAAACTTCTATCTTAGACATGCACATGGAAAGCACATGAATTATCAACAATTGACTAGGTTAAGAGTACGATGGAAGAGAACGATTTCGCACATACTACAAAGGTCAATGTAAGAAGCAAAAAACTGCAGAACGAACACATTTTGTGTTTTCGTTTACCTTAACCCTAACTATGCAATAATATGTGCTAGGCAACCATAAATGACGATCGAAGGCCAAAACAAGGGGACAAAAGGACGCACCATAACATCGACGTAAGAATTTGGACGAAGATCATGAGTGGTAAAACCCGAGGAGAAATCGACCCAAGAGCGTCCACCGTAGATAAAAGTAATGGGCACGTCGACCTTCAGCGCCTGTATCCGAGGCAGCATTGGCCGCACCGCCCAGCCTAGCACTGACATACTTTTGAAGGCGTCTTCTCCACTGTAAAGATGCGTTTTGTTTCATCTTGTAAATATTTCCTTTCAAGAGCGGTTCAATGACCCCTCATTCTACTTTCAATTTAACATCTTGCTAACCAGTGAGCTTGGAAAACGGTGCGATCACTTGACGAGAGTTCATAAACTTGTTGTGTACTATTACGACCGCTGGCAAGGAAGTCTAGAGGTCAAGCAAACTTCTGAACAATTAGGCTTCTTGTAAATACCGAATTTGGTCACAGTTATATGGGATGACCAAACGGTATTATAACAAGTTGGGGACGCAATCGAATCTACTGGCGTAGTCGATGCAGTGGGAAGCTTGAGTGACACTTCAGTTGGAAATTCTTCCTGGGAATTGAACCAAAAATTCTCAAGAGTTCTTACCGATAGAGCAAGAATTAAATTTCTAATAGTGGCTCAAACTGAAAAAGATGAAGCCATCTGCAAACGAATAGGGATGACAGAATGGCATTCGTTAAATCTATGCCGAAATCGTCAATGTCCCAGTTCAAGCAAATTTTAGATTTATTTAAAGTACATAGCGGGTGACTGCTTAAATACTTAAAAAATAGACGAAAGTGGCTAGGTACTAGCCTCGTAGTTGTACTAATGCTACTACAAAATTGGCACGAGGAAAGAAGTTGTCCCACAGAAATGCAATTGTGTGAATACGCGAAGTGATATGTGATATTTATAACGGGTTCTCCTAGCTTTTTCTCCAACTTTCAGCTCCTTTATTGGTTGGAAGTCAAACTCGGAAAGGCTGCTCATGACAAATTATAAGCCCTCACAAAGCAAGGTACATATCTCGAGCACTGTAAATTCAATAAAAAAAACAATATCTAAAGACATTTAACTATTTGAATTGACCAAAACAAGAAAATCAAGGCACACACGTACGTGGGATTACGAACATTGATGTGGTATATGTAATTATAGACAACAGACGAATCGTAGGGGGAGAGAGAGTCAAACCGAGAGGCCTTTGACACAATCAGTCTTGATGCTGTGTTTTGCTTTTTGTCAGGAGGCCAAGAGTCTCCCCTTTCAAAATTGTGATGTTCGTCGTCGACTTCGCAAGGTCCCTACAAAGCCACCAAAAAAGCAATTAAAACTTTTGAATTACTATAGAAAAAGCAAATGAGTAAACACAATGTGATATAAGATCGACTCTCCCCAAAGCGATGCGCAACCGAAACAACAAATGCTAAAAGAATAAATTTGCCTAATTTTTCACCAAAATATAACATAATTCAATGTTAATTATTAGGACGAACTCACGTTTGTTGAAGCGGATGTTTGAAAATAAACGTGTCCAAAGTCTTGTCGGACCTTACGCATGGCATTGAGACCGAATGGTCCAATCATTCGCATGGTGGTTAAAGCTCGAAAAGAAGCCAGTTTTCTGGCTACCCAACCACGAACACCACTTGGGTACGCACTATTACTTTCTTCCTGTCCGGTAAATCCCCACGGGTCTATAAGTACCAGGTGCACAACCCTAAGACAAACAAATATATCGTATATAATATAGACAAGTATCACAAAAAAGTCCAGAAAAATTTGAATCTTACCTCTCAGGGTGGCTGAGGGCATAGGATGAGGCAATGAACCCCCCCATACTGTGACCGAGAAGAATGAACTTTTCTAAATTTATATTCTTTCTCCACTCTTCGATGATTTCGACAAATTTATCCTCCACTTCCTCCGCAGTATCCGGAAAGGGAGGTCGGGAACTCCGACCAAAACCAAGCAGATCAAAAGCGTAAACACGACGAGAGGCAGAAAGAGTATCAAAATTTTTGCACCAGAGTCCAACACCAGAGGCAAATCCATGAATGAGAACTAAAGGCACTCGATGGTCGCACTCTTTCTGAACCGATTCTGATTTAGGAAAGTTCCGTGCAATTACGGTTCGCAAGTACAGGGATGAATCATAAATAGGGAGGAAAAATTTCTCGAATTCGCATTCACATCCTAAAAACACTCAGTTAAAGTGCTCCTGACAAACTTTGTAGGATTTTATCTTCCGCCTGTATTAGTTTAGCATTTGATGTTGGGATCCATTTACACCATTGCAACCAAGAATCGCCGGATTTGTCATAAAGGTCACTATCTTTATAAAATCGATTCCTCAATCAAGACTCACTTGTCCGTTACAGAAGTGGGTATCGTCATGGCAGACCATAAGTCTAGAAGACCTTTGACTACGCTCAAATGTGAGCACACCACGCCGAAATGCGGACCAGATAACCTTGAGCCTTGAATATTAGGTTAAATAATCCTTTAAACAAAAATTGCTTCAACTACATCTTCTTTTCTTTCCTTAAAGTAAAACTGTAATGCTTTTAGCTTTATTAATTAAACTTATTAAGTTTTTATAAAAACAAAGGTAATAACAATTTGTATAGCTCAGCATTTGCCATTACATTTGTGTAAAAGTTAAATTCTTGTAAGACCAGCGACATAAGTCGATGGCCAAAAATCACGCTGGATAGTATCTAGTGCATATGGCAAGGTAAAATTTACACTTTTGAATGATTTGCAGTGTTGCGCCCATGACCATTTAATCGACGGCGTTTTATTTAAATGTAGGGTAAGGGGAGCCTATAGCGTTGTCAAAAGGTCAGCTTATAACCGGGAGACAATATGTTCACTTAACTGCCTGTTCTACCACCGGCATTCAAAGAGTGCTACCTTTGCTCTGTAGTTCATTCCCGTGAGCATTGTGGAGGTGAACAAACAGATTAGTCTACAATATACTTGTAGCGTCCCAAGACTTTCCATAGGGTGGAAGAAGGCATTAGTAAGGTTGGATATATGCATTCCGAAGAGGACAGAGTAAATGGGCCGGCTCACAAGCACAAGGGCCATATAACTCTTAAATTGACCGCCAAACCTCAGGTAGTCATATAAACAGAGCATGATGTTGCTCCTATCTTCTTTTAAGCGATTTTCTCGGGCACTCTCCTTGGTAGCCTCCCGCGTCAGCCATCACGACATATTCGGTACTACTTGAGAGCACCCAAGAGCCAACCGCGACGGTCGACAGCTACCACGAAAGTGAGGAAACGTGCTTGATCTCCTCGGTAGGTTCAACTGGATCTGGAATTATGTTCGGTCTGCCAATCAGATTTGAGGCGGCATACGCCTGTTGACCATCAATTGCTTCCAGGACAAGACGGTGGAACTCTGGTCTAAAACAGATACGTTACAGGGAAGACGTGATGAGTCACTGCTCTGTATGTAAGGAGAACCGTAGTACCATTTCCGACATCTAAACACGGACTTCGTATGGGAAATTCCGAAACGAAACTTTTCTAGATAGTTCACGACGGTGTCGCCTCAGTTGTTAATAGCTTGTCTGTGGAACACGATAATAAGATGAAGCCAAATGAAGAGTTCGCTCTCGACCCTTTCGTTGCGAAGGGTTCCGAGAGTCTACGCTACCGGTGGAAATGCGTCTCTCGCGTACCGTAGGTTTATGCAGCCAACGGTACGTGCTAGGAGAGAAGTCGTTGAAAAAATATCGGCTTCGCTTTCTGCTGCCATTAGCGCAACGTTCGGAAGCTTCCCATAGGATGGAAGAAGGCAGTAAGTGGAGTCGTACACGTGCATTCCTAAGGGGACAAAGCAACTGGCCTGAGCATGGCCCGAAGGCCAGGCACGTGTACAAGGGTCAGTAGCCGCCAAACGTCAGGTAGTCACATAAACAAAGCATTACAATGCTTATTACATTCAATACGAATTCAAAGCAAACAAAATGTAGGTCCTTGTTTCTCCTATGCCCACAAAAGTCAGGCTGTGCGGCACCTCGGAGTGTAATCTGTGTCCTAGCCTCGTATATTTATTTCTTCTTTTAATGCCGATTTTCCGCTGTAATTTTTGCTACAAAACCATTTTTTTCAACCAGAATTTTGAATGTATTTCTTTGTTTGTGACCATATGACGTTTGGCGGTTACTTCAGGATTTGTCTGGCCGTCGTATTTGTGAGCTGGCCTTCGAGTCACGCTCAGGACCATCTGCTCTGACCTCTTCGGAATAAATGTATCCAACCTCACTTACTGCCTTCTTCCATCCTACGGGAAGTCTCGAGACACTACAACGTGATGCTATATCTTTAATTGCAAAATGCATTCTCGGGGCGAAAATTGTTGTTGAATTGGTTTCTTAGTTTAATGAATGCTGCCTTTAGGTTCCTAGATCATTGTACTAACTTGCTTGCTGTTTGAGTTTTAGGACGTGCCAATGGTTCTGTCTCGTCCTTAAAAAAATTTAGACCAAACGATTCCCCGTTAGAAGCATAAATAACGGAACGAAAATGTCAACAGGCATGGAATTCGAGGCAAATGGCACAGTTTAACACCATTTATGTTTATTTTTGTCGTAGGTGCTTCACGCAAATCGCTTTCCTGCAATACTATCTTTTCGTGTCGGATCCCTGATAGCATCTCAGCTAAGACATAAAGAAGTAGTAATCGTATAGATTCTCAGATTTTGTCTAAACACAATGCACCCATCCGCTTAGAAGACAAATTGGGATCACCTTGATGTCTTTGGCTCAAATATAATTCGTCCCAACTGTGATACCTTCTCCCTTGCTATCCTCATCCTTAATCGCAGACTTCTTGGAAGGAAGATGCTTGTATGGAGATTTGATGGACATAGACAAATAGGTGTAGTTTGTAGGGATCAGAGCACAATTAAAATGCAGGAGCTAGTTCTCGGAAGGATCCTTGCACCCCACTTACTCATCGTTCAACTGGACTGACCTTTCCTCCCTCGTAAGGACTTAAGTTGTTAAGCATATTAGTATATAGTGCAACAACGTCATTGAGTACGGAAAGTTCTTTTCTGGTAGACCTTATTCGACTTGGAATTTTATACCATTTACTCCGACTCTTTGTTTGTTTGACCGCCTGCATCGGTTGCGGTCACTTGAGTAGCCATAATGCCTCTTCTTCGAACTCCTTTCCAACTGCTATAAAAATCTGTGCCTTCTTCTGAAGTACCATTCCTTTCCTTATTATTAAAGAGATGTCGAGACTTGTCTGTTGCTCGCTGTAATCTGTCAGTGTTTGCATGCATCCAACGTTTTGAACTCGGGATGCTTTCAAACATGATTAATCGCCATTTATAACTCCTTTTCAGATTGCAGTGCTAATTTTAACCACATTTTTATAGTATTACTGTAGAGTTACTGTTTGGATAATTTGAGCGGAACAAATTGCGAAAGTACAAGTTCTCCAAATGCCATAACTTCAACAACCAGGCGAAAAAAAAGCAAATGTTTTTGCAGAACAAGTTTTGGAGTGATTTAACCTGAGTAAAAGCAATAAGTAAAACGTCAAGCTAACAACAATGGGAGTCTTTTAACTACGTTAATAGCTTTCTTAAGCATTAAGCTCCCGGATTTTCCCCAAATTCGTGCAATCAACGTGAAGCATTTACCAACCCTCGGTCATGAATTGGCAGCATAGTTACAGTCGAGCAGTCTGTACACCACTCAAATGCCCTCCCAATGAGCCACTGCGCACAAAATTGGGCTGAGATCAGACCAACAGTCTGTCCTACTCTGCAAAGTCGTCTCTTCCATGTCTTAATCTATCACTTGCACTTCCAAGTGCTTTGTTTTACAACCATCACATTCAAGTACTTTTGTTTAATAATAAAAAAATACAATCGACACAGACTCATAAACTTAAGTGCGGGGAATTGTGTAAACACAAGACAGCGTTTAATATCCCACACCCGGCGGAGGACTGCAACTCTCGATGTCTGTTTATGTGTGGTGAACATGAAGACGCGATCCATCCCCGGCTTGTTTATGTGTATGCACTTCCTATATAAGGTTGAACTTCAGGATCACCCCTAGGAATTGCTAAAATTCTTAGGTCACTGGAACCACTCTAAAATGCTGTTGCACGCACTTGTGGTTCTGATTGCCGTCGCTCCATGTGCTGTGATTTCCGGTGAGTTTTTTTGCAATTAATTCAACTAATCATCAGGCATAAAACCAGACTTCACTGTTTGGCGATGATGAATTTTTTTTAATGCAAATGGAGTCTACTTTATTGACACCTTACTGATTTTGATGTTTTAGCATTGTCGGGAAAACAAACCGAAAAGTTCCAGTGTCCTGCTGTTTGCAGTGGTATGTTTCTTAGGTTGTTCTTGTGACTAATCTGTCCTCTTAGTCAAATTGACTTTAGATTACGAGTCTGCTTCCATTTTCTTGAAACTATCAACTTGATATTCGTCCTAGTCAATTCTGGTTCTTATAATTTAGCTTAGTTGTTATAACATGCAACTCATTATAATTTATGGAGGCTCAAATCTACCCAATGGACTTCATTTTATGGGAAAACCCTTCACTTGGGGATCTCCAGGTTCGTCAGTGATTGACAAATCCATTTTCTTGGAATGTATTAGCATTGACAATCTTAAAAAGAAATTTGGCTTAGCAAATATGCAGCAGGAGCCTACGTTTTCAACACTTAAGTGGTCATAATTCTTGGAAAGGCTTTTACTGACGTTTCTACAGTGTCTTGATGTAAAGTGTTCTTTGTATGGTAGGGCTACGTTGTTTTCCGTCCTTTTAAGCATCTTTGCCATCTCGACACATTCCTGCGCACTGAAATAGGCTAAAATTCAAAAATAAGGAGAAAGAATTACATTGAAACGAATAAAACCATACATCCAGTTGGAGAAAAGCAATATATTTGCCTACTGTTCAGAGAACAATTATTAGGGTGGTAAATGCTTTTACTAATTCGTCCGGTCCTCTATCTTTGCATTTTAATTACCGTGTATCACTGTTTTTTTAAATCCTTGCATGCACAACCAGTGTAAGTATATTAAACATCCAACCCTTCCCTATACCAGTTGATTTGTCAGCAGTCTCAGTTTAATGTCAGATTTTGAATGAATATGATATAAACCATCAGTTTTACAGAACCTTCCTCTCAACTTGATATATTCAGTGTCTAGACAATCGGTATTGTACCCGCATGCATACCTACACACAGGGCAACAATCAAATTCACTGTTTTCATCTGTCATTTCTGGGCACGCCGAATGCACGCGTGTGCACGCAAAAAAGCGCGATTTTTGTTTATTGCGTTTTAGATAACAATCCACTCGTAAACTTGGGCGTGTTACGGTGTCATAAGTACGAATTCGAGCTTGTACATCGCATCAGCAGTACTGCTCACGAAGCTTCACAAAGTGGTCTCACCATTCGTGGCAAAGCAGTTATTTCTGGCGGTACTGACTGCACCTATGAGCTCAAGGTTTGGTAGCCTGCCCATATGAATTTTATTGTAGCACTTTGGGTGTACGTTAACCGCTTTAAATGTCAGGCGGCCTTAAGGGGGGCTTATTCTCCTCGTTTAAACACTTCATTGGTTGTATGTCCTTCAAAAACTTAAAGGCGAACGAGGCTTTAATTTCATTGGTTAACCGCTGTTTGCCGCATCAATCAAAAATCTGATTGGAGATCCTCGTCGAAATTAAAGTGAATGGCTTTGGATTCTTGAGTCATTTATATGCAATGTTTTGGCAAGGGCCACTTGGAAGAAATTCCGTTTTCTAAAGGAGGCTAATGCTTACACTTTAAATCAAGCTGTTTACTGTTCAGCAAAGCAGTTCTTTAATAGTCCATCCCAATTTTTAAGAACTCAATATTTTTCATTTATTATATGTAAATGGAGCCAACGAAAAACGGTTGGTGCTTAGTGTTGTCTTCAATCATGTGTTGGTTTCCTTTTGTTGAGAAGGTTTCTCAAGAAGTAGAGAAAGCCATACGCTATACATTCCTTGTTCCTAAAGGGTTCCGTATTTGTTCATTTGGTTTAGTTGGAAAATGTTGAAGCTTATGAGGTGGCGTCCGACGGCTTTCAAATTGCCAAACCGACCACAGCTGCTGTGCTGCAAGCAAAAATAGCCTACTTCGGCTTCGAAGGGGGTAAAGTGACTGGATTCTGTCCGGCAGAGACAGAGGACCTTTTCGCGTGGAATGTGAAGGCAGCCATTCTCTCACACCTCCAAGCAGATCTAGAATCTTTAAAACTACCTTTGGAATCAGTTGAGGTATGTTAAAATCGCTAAGCCTAAACGTAAAGTAATTATTGCTTAGTTCGATGCCAAGAATAATTAGCTTATGATCCTTCAGGTGGATATTTCTTTGAAAGACTAAAGTAGATGGACAAAATGATAGAACAGGGAGAACCTGATTAGTTGGTTGATTTGAAACGCTCACAATATTCCCGCCACCGTTTATGCTTTCTCGCCTCAGTTGAAAGGTCGACTTGTGTAGTGGCATGTAAACACAAGATCACCATAATCCATATGACTGGCGCATCACTCCGGATGTTCAATCTGTAATGTAGTTTTCGACTTCGTAAACATGCTGGTTCAAGGGTTCTGGTGTTTCAATCAGTGTCAGTCGATCAGTAGATGAACATAAAAGGTATTTTGAGTAGGAATGCCTTTTACAATCGAGTCTTTTCAAACGTTACAGCATTTGCATTTGTTTATTTTTTACCAATTAAAGGAAGACATTTCAGGAAGTTGTCTGACGCGCTATGATATTATAAGGCGCGACGAAGAGGGGATCACTTTTGAAAAACGCAAGCCCACTGCTGGATGCGCCGACAAGTACGACCTTATTACCCGCCTTGGCGGTGTTTCTGATGAAACGCCTTCTGTAGGTTGTTGTTTTACACAAATTTAGTGAATTTTGTGCGTGACTGACTAATTTCTACCTATCCTTTAAGGAGTTATCGAGAAATGAGATGCTGAGTGGAGAACAGATATGCCGAGTGTCTTTAAAGTACAACAAACCGATCTCTGAGGTCTCTTGCAGGGAGAGCATTGTTGTAAGTGGTCCCCTCGACTCTCAGTGGAAGAAATTGAATGAAATCGAGGTGATGACAAAGATGAAATTGATTTCTTCAAAGTCCTCTGGGTCTCTTACTTTTGGTGCGTCGTTTTCTACCTTCTTTATGAAAAACATTATATACACAAGCACACTTCATTTCAGTTGTTCCAGTGGTTTCAAAGATTTCACTTTGCCCCTCTACTGACTCACTTCTGGTACTTTTGTGTCTGACTCGCATCTTAATCCATCAAGCTTCCAAATCCATCGCTTCATTGCACCTCTAGATAAATCCCAAACCTACGTATACACCAGCCTGCGCCATCGAGAACGCTATGCCACTTCCAAGCCAGATCAAGGTATGCCATCCGAAGGAGTGATGCGAGTGTTAAAGGACATCGCTGAGGAGAGGAGGACTGCAAGCGCCCGCGACTTCCTTATGCTCGTTGATCACATGCGTCGATCCACTGGCATGCAGTTGAATGCTTTGAAGGAGTTTGCTTACAGTAAACCAGTTCTGTAAGCACTAATATTGTCGATTTTTTTGCATATAGTCCTTGAACTGTAAGATTTCAGAGATATTTTGATACCATTTGACCAATGCTTGTCCCTCGGATTGGAGAAATCCTTTAAGAAAACCTTGTGATGTTTAAGGATAATATTTGTTGAGGAATATTATCAAGTACGGATCAGTGTGTGAATAGTCCATTAACAATAAAAAACCTGGCATTAAAAGGTGACTTTTGGGGCATTTTAGAGATCTGCTTTTTGATGCTGCAATCCATGCACAAAGTGAAGAGTCGGTTGAATTCATCGAGTGGTGCCTTGATGAGGAGCGCTTCACCTTCCCCATCGTTCAAATGAGCTTCCTTCCCACGCCATCTCTGGACTTCATCAAGAAAGTTGAGGTATATTATTTGCTTATTCCTTCATCACATAGACTCTTCAAAAACCTGAAATATTAACACCAGTGAAATAAAGTTTCACCTCGAGCCATTTTGGAAGGTCAACTTCTCCACATCGATGTGGCACAACTCAAAAGCGTTTGTTTTTGGAAGTCGCATGGACTTGGAAATCCAAGTAATTAAATATTAATTCATTCAAATTCAGCAGTCTGACGGTCGAAGGTGATCAAACCTTTAAGTAACAGCGCCTGTAAAGGAATGTAACGAAGCCCTTAGTAGTTCATCAAAACATTCACAAAAGTTTTTAACCAGCGGTAAAGAAATAGGTCGAAGTGAAATTTGAAATCTAGTTGGTGGTTTCCAAAATTTGTGAACTTAAACTGGGCAACTTATGGTCTTCAGTGTGTGTTCTAGCACTTATAAACTGGTGAATAGGTAAGCATTGCATGCATTTGCATTGCATGGTAAAACTATCATGCCCTTGTGTATTGGGAGACTGTGTTAAATTTGTTGGATGGATATGCGAGACAGACATATGAAACGTATTTGTCATTATTGCAGCAGACCCTCTCGAAGTCAAACCACAAGGCTCTCACAATGGTGACTTCAAATCTCCTACGAACCTACTGCGATTCACATCCTCAATGCGAGGAGGAAGAGGGTGTGAGGGAACTGATGAGAAGTCTTGAGTCAAAGACGCTTAATTATTGTAAATTTGGTGAAACCGAGGATTTAAACAAGGTAAACAATTTTTTGTGAAATTGAAGGCTGCCTAATGCAGTGAACTTTCCCTTACGTTGCTTGTAATGAATTCCTTCTACTGTCGAACTAGAAACGGAAGCACTCGTGTGGCGTGAGAGTCTCGTATGAAGTCGAACTAACCAGTAATGCTTTGACGATGGTGGTGTAACTACTGGCACTAGTCGGAGACCACACTTATCCTTCCTTACCAAAGAGTAAAGAGGCAGAGCTTTGAATGTCCAGAAAATCTAATCATTATGAAAATGATTATTCGAAATATTGTCCCTAGCATCCCGAGTATCGAAGTAGAATGCATATATTTTGGGCAAATGGAAAGGAAATAGGGTTTTGCCGTTGTCGAGAGCCAATTAAGTCAAACCGACAAAGTGTTGATTGCTCCACATTGGCGTGAGCAGTGTCTCCGCTGCTTCTCTCGATAGACTTCCTATGACAACGTAATTGGTGCTGACAGGAAACACCCACTATCCAACCCCACCGACCATCAACTCCTCTAAGTTTAAGCAAGTTCGTTTTGCAACAAGTCACTTATCTCTCATGGCAAATTTGAATGGATTTAGGGTTCCTTGAGTAGAGGTAGTCGTTGGAACGCAGATCTAAAGGAAGAATTTGTAAAATGGAGTAGAGCATTTACCGCGGTCCCACGCAGGTTGAGTTTTGCATAGGGTCGCGTTGCTGACATCTGTTGGTTGGTGCTTTGGAGAAATCTCACGGCAGGCGTCTCTTTTGCTGTTAATACCTTTTTCTTTAAAACATGTGGATGCGGAAGGTAACCGTTAGTCAGAGCCGTTCCTTTATAATCGTGGATGGTCCCATATGTAGCATTTATAACCTTTTTGGACTGCAGAATACAACCTTGCCCAAAGTTGGATGCTATTTGTGTCCCGTGACTTCTTTTAGATGAAAGAAGGCATCGTGCTTAAGTAAAATGCATGTATTTTTCAAAACAGAAAGGTATGGAAACAATTGGTGTGACTTGGAAGCCATTCCAACAGACGAAAGCATTGTTCTCGTTAAAGATGTCACAACTGAAACATTTAATGAAGCAACGTATTGCATTGACAGCTTTATTTAACGCGTTAACGTATAAACAATCTGATCTGTCTTAGCAACCAAGTTAAATACGTATTTTACGACAACATTTTAATTAGTACTGATAAAATATGGTGTTTATTAATGCTACAAAACCATCGGAGCCAGAAGTAGAGGTATTTATTTTGTTTTCTCCAGTGGTTGATAGGTGTAACAATGCCGTTACTAATCAGCATCCTTGCTGTTCAGTGCTTTTAAAGTTAGGACATGTTTACTTTTCACAGTAAAAAAGGCTGATGTCAATCACTAACTTTTAGGTTCTGGACTCTCTGAGGGCGATCGGAAATCTTGGAAGAGTTAGTAATAAGTCGTCTGTGTATCCTGCATTAGCGGAGTGCTTAAGTTCCTCCACCAAGCACGACCTGATCATTCGTGCAACTGCTGCTGAGGTCTTTCGTGGATTTCCCAGCGATTCTGATGCCGATGTAAGCCCATTTGGTTGTCTTCGATGTCCTCTCCGCTGATGCAAAAACTTAAATTTTACTGGAAACTATCTAGGATATTCTCCTGAGGACTTTTACTAATGCCGATGAAGATGTCGAGGTGAGAATTCAGGCCTATCGCTCGTGGGCTCGGCACCTAACTCAAGAAAAGCTCTCTCAACTACATTTCCTTGACCAAGAACCCAACGACCAGGTCAATTTATGAACCTTTTTGAGAATAGGACACCAAATTGCCATCTATTTTTACAGTTTACTATGCACTTAAGGTTACGTCTTACATTCTGAGCCATCTAAGTGAAGTTCGACATTCAAACAACCGTGCCAAGCAGGATGAGTCCCTTCTACTCACAAACCTTGATACTCCATTAATGAGGATGGTTGAAAGTCACACACCAAACGTCTTCAAAAAGTCCTTCTACAAGGAACGGCACGTTTCAGGGATTCAGGTTAGTTCAAGCACAGGATGAAACACTTTGCGGACAATAACCACATGAAAGTAACTATGTTTAACACTTCTCCAATTTAGTTTGGCGGAGGTGTGGATGTAACCGTTGTCTACGGTCCACAAAGTCTCTTCCCTCGTTACGTGGATCTCAACTTCACTCTCGACGTTCTAGGGCATTCACTCAACGTTCTCGAACTCGCCTACCACTCTGTTTACTCAGAGAGCCTTAACAGTTATTTCTATGGATTCAGAGATAAATATTCTTTTAGTAGAGGAAGGAGCGGGATTGATGCTTTGCCTAAAGTCGCTCAGCCGGTAGGTGGTAGTGCCATTTTCTTTCTTTCTTTCCTTTCTACTTTTTCTAATGATACCGAACCCTTATTTTCAGTATGATCAGTTGAGCTCAGTTGATAATCGATCGAGGTTGTCAATGCGACTGTTTGGCCGTGACATCGGCTACTACGACGACATTGAGAACTCGGAACAGTTGAGGAAGCTCCCTGAAATGCGACCCTTTTTCATGGATATCAATGAGACCGTGGCATTTTCAACAATCGGTGGAGTTGTCTTGCAAATTAACCATCTACTGGCCATACATCAGGACATCACAAATTACTATGGTTTGAATGCCAAATACGGCATCAACGTTGTGTGAGTTCAAATCGAAAAACTACTTTCATTCAACTGGAAGAACCCTTCATTCACTAGCATTGTGGGGGCGCAAGAATGCAGTAAAAGCTACCTTTAAAGTAAACGCATGACTAGGGTATTCATACATCAAACAACGCCAAAAAACGCAGGTGTTACACAACGCTTATGTAAACATTGGCAGCGAACCTTTGGATGAAATGAATGAGCTGTCTTGCAATACACTACGTTCTCAAAAACATCATAATTTTCTAACTTCCGTTTAGCTTGGATGCTGTGCATTCAGTAGAGGTGGGACTTAATGCATTTGAGGGGATTTTGGGCTACAACACTGAAGACGATGTTCAAGTGAACGTACCCATTCTCTTCACTGTTGACCTTCTGGATCGAATTAGAGAGCTGATGGGATTTGAAGTTGGACTCTTGGGTGTGGATTCTAAAATGACCGCATTCAAAATAAGGTGAGTTTTGCGAACTACCACCTTTACATTCCGTTCCAAGAGTGCTCTTAAGGACCAATAATCTGTCGTTTTTTAGCCGATCTGTGAAGTCAACTTCTCCTACCACTGGAAAAGTAGCAATACTGTCAGGTGGGGAACCTCAGTTGCTACGCAGAACACCATCTCTTCTCAAAATGCTAATTGGTCTCGACGCAACCCTGAATTCTATCCAAGATCCATCCACTGGCCTGATCATGGGCTATGCTGTGGAGGTGGAACGCTTCGATGGCCTATTTATCAGCTTTATCAAAGAGAAGCCGAACTTTTCTGGTCTCTTTCAGTCAGTAAAATTTGAGATCAAGCGCTACAGTGTTGCACGATCGGGTTTCCTGGAATCGAGGGAAGTCATAAATTTCCACTACCTGACTCGTGATTTGAAGGGCGAATGGTTCACATTAGCTTCTCTTAAAATGCCATGGAATAGCACTTACAGCTGCTCAAGTGAGTTTGTTCTACCCATTTAATCTTTGCTCAGGAGCCTACGTGAAATTTGACTAAAGCCCTCACTGTCGAAAATGTCCCTTTTGTTTCATAGTTAACTACGGTTCAGAGGGTGAATTCACTGGAGAGTTGAATATTGCCGACTGGGAAGCAAAAATTACGGGGACCATGAAACAGGTCGGACCTCATGACTATGAAGTTGCTGCACAGCTTATCCGTCCCGACTTTAGTTTGTCTGTGAATCAACAGGCCACCATTGGAAAGCTCTATGTCCTGGCCGCTGAATCGACCAGCAAACTCCTACCATTTGTACTAAAGTGTGAGTCTGATTTGTTTAAACTCCTCTTTAAAATTGTAGGAAGTGAAACATATTGGGGAGTGAAAGTGGCTAATGGCCTGCAACATCACTGTCCCTGTTGAGGTTCAAATGCTACAACAAAATGAGAAATAGTTAGGCTTAGCTTGTAGGTTTGCAATTGATAATCATAACGTCGGATTCGTTTATTGTTGCGAGCATATAATTTTGATGAACAAAGATTCTAAGGTAACAACAAGTTTGCAGTTGTACGATGAATTTAATGCTGTAAACACGGGCAAGTATTCTAAGTCAAAGTCAAAGGGAATGAGCAACTCGCAAACACCGAAAAAAAAGTCTTAGAATTTCGTACCCCTTCTTAAATAATGCTGCGTTTTCCATTGCGTGTAAAATCTTCACAATGACTACCTGAAACAGTAACTGATAGAGAGCATATTGAGTGAAACTTGTTGTCACCTACTAATAACACCCATTTTTCCAAATTAGATAACGAAAGTTCAGGTTATTGCACGACCTCCTTTGAGATCGTCACTCGTTTGGACTTAGGACAATCAAAATAGGGGCTGTAATTACGGAAAGTGCTTATATCTGTTAATGTTTAGTTGGATCATTGATTCGGTTGACACATCAAATCACTTCAAACACAATTTTATGCAACATTTTAGCCACTACCGTGTTCGCTACGACGAGTAAAGTGGAGCACATAAGCGAAGTGCATTTTCCAACAGACAAGAAGAAAATTCTCATTCAGACACAACTGGATTGGACACCACGAAATTACGGCGCCTTGTTTAGTCTTCAGGTGGATAGAGGCAATTCCGTTAAAAGGTGGACGGGTGAAGCTGTTGCGATAAACAACTTCGGGATCCCTCACCTGCCAGTCTACACGCCTATCTACAATTATTCATTGTACGTGACCATATATTATTTTGTCACAAAAAAATCCTATTTTTGTATGCATTAACGAATATGCTGAGGCAAATAACCTCAATGTTGCTACGGTGATAGAACCGTACGGCAGCTTTGTTTTCAGCATGTTCTGTACGATGTAAGTCTTTGAATACTGGACAGCGCAAATCCCATTTCTCCAATTATCCTACAACTTTTAATGAGAGCTTGATTCAATTTTAAAGCCAAGGCCTTCTAGCAGGTTAAAACTACCTAATTTGGGTTCTGTGCTGATGGTTAAAAGGGGACATATTGCAACGTTTTTCCACCACCCTAAAAGTCTATCTCACCATCTTTCATGACCAGTGGTATGCTAGTTTTGCATTGGTCGGGTAGTTAAAAGCAGTTCTTTTCTGATTGTAAAGTAGCAACTGGGAGGTCGGTAAGCTTTTATGCTAATTTGACGGTGCAAACTGAACCTTGGAAGGACACCAAACTCCTCATAAGGGATTTTTGATAATCTACCCCACCTCTAGATCCCAATCTGAACATTGCTTCAGAAGTTCGGTGAAAAAATTTATCGCCATTATGATTTGATGTCTGCATGTTGTTTGCAACAACAAGGTTCTATAACATTTATACAAGGAAGTTATTTTGGTCTGTTTTAGGTTTCTGTCCGCAGAAAATGATCAAATGTGAGTTGACGTAGCCTCCTTTACATTGCACTTTTGTTCTGTGGATGCTTAAAGCGTAAACCGGACGCTAATAGCTAAAAATCTAGCTGGAAATGTCAATATTTTAATCAGTGGTTTCTCACAAGGTTCTTTTAAGAATCTATCTTAAGAATTTCGTTCATTGATATGTTGGCCTTTGTAATGGAGCCCATAGCTTCATCAACAACAGAGGGCGGCAGGAACGTTTTTAATCGATGAGCCCTTCTTTTGACAATTTTAACCGTGCTTGACCAAACTTTAAACGGGAGATTTAATAACTTAGAATGAAAACTGTTAAGCATTTAGTTTTACACAGCTGACAGATTACCAATGATATTGAATGATTTAGCAATTTTTTGACAGCATTTTAAACTGCTACCGCCCGTGAGCAAGTTCCCATGCCCAAGTTTGAAAGTGTGTTGTCTACAAATGCCAACATAACATTTTACTGCCGAATTTACAGTAAATATCGAAGAGAATTGAAACAGGTTTGTTTTTGAATGCATGGTGCAGAAAACTCTGGTTCATTTTGTATGCAAGAAAAAGCTATCCTTCTAATTTCTGAGTCACAGCTCTACTGACACCTCGATGAAGGCTGAATTTCATTAGGTTTTAAATGCTTCCGTGTTAAGCTTACTCACATGGTCGGGCGCTCCAGACATACGATTTTCTCAACTCATTCTGCATAATCTATAAGCCTTCAACTACTGTTTTGTGCCACAACTAACCTTTGTGCTTTTGCAATCTCCGTTCCTTTTTGCGCTTTAAGCCCAAGCACCTGGGCTTTGGGTTCCTCAGCCATGGTGGCATCGGACGACAGCTCCTCATGGATTGTCGACACGCAACACTGGTTCGACGTCTATGAAGTTGAACTCATAGTGGGCTACAAGAGACGTCCATCTCACGTCAGTGGACGCACCTACATTCTTGACGGTGTGATGAATCGAGATAAGGAGGTGAGGTTTGATGGTCAGAGGCAAATGAGATCACGACTCTGAAACACGATAACAAAATCTGGAATGGCAATGAACTAAAGCACATTCGAAAGTTGCACAATTGCAATGAAACGTTAGTACTAGGCGTATTGAGGTTTGCCTGCAGCTTAGCTCCTAGGAACACAAAATGACGCTTACCATTTTGTAACCACTTACAGCCTCTCCTGACAATCAAAGGTGATCTGAGCATGAATGCTCTTGTTGTGGTTGATGGACACTTCAATGCAAGTCTTCGCTACTCTCTTATATGCCGGGAAAAAATTTACAAACTTAACGTATTCTTGGACAATAGTGGAACGGAAAGAATAATCGAGGGTGAAGTGCTCTGCAATGAAAAATGGCTTTACAAATTCAAAAATAGCATAGATATCGCCAATCACCATCACTCTTTCCACCTGCTCAGAGCTGACGACAATGACTTACGGATAGAGTCGCCTTATACTCTCTATATTGTTGAAGGGACAATTCGAGTGATTGTGAACTCAAGTGTCTACCTTGGAACTGAGCACATCTATGATATGTACAGAAGTGTTGTTATTACTCAAACTGAATTTGATGACCGCTGTCAGTTGAAGAGAGTTTCTGACGGTGCAACAGTCGCTACAGCCACACTGTTTCTATCACACGCTCCCAAGTTCCGCTTGCAGGTGGATCTGCCAACCATGACGGATTTTTCGCTTGACTTCGGCCTCGAATTTGAAAGAAATGTCAAGACTGTAGTCGACACCAGGGCCTTAGTGACCATGAATTCTATAAAACGTGGCTTTGAATTTTACATTTCAAACGGCATGGACGGGTTCCTTCCTATTATCTTTAATGGCTCTGTTCATGGTCCATTGGGCAACAAATCAACCATTGTCAATCTAAATGTTCAAAGTGATCAAAAAGGTCTTGATCAGGCAGACCTATTTATTCGGACTCACCAAGATGACGAACTCACATTTAAATTGATAAAAAGCTATGAGGAGGTCATCAATTCTGGCGAACTCTCATTGCTGTGTTCGCTTCACCCGGGAATTCCATCTCAAAGCTTTGCTGGATTCCTCTATAAGACGCAGGTTTCCTGGACTTTTACTGAGGAGGTATTTAGAGTAGAACAACAGGGCGAATGGAACGGTAATCGGTCAACACCACCGGGGATGCCTTTCCGCTACGGCATCAAACGCACTTCAAATCCTTACACCGGAGGTGGTGAACTTCAGGTTTACGCTGAGGATACAAATATGGGAAAGGCCCTTGGATACGAAATGATTGAATGTTTGTGCATGTACGAGATGGAGGATGTCAAAAAAGGTTCCATTGGGCTGGAAGGCAATGTACTGCTCAACTGGCGGAAGTATCTTGGACGTGGTGCAATAGGTTCACAGGCAAGTCTTAAGGCAAAAATAGACAAATCCAATGGAAACGGAGACGTTGAGATATCATGGGAACTACCAGATGACAATCAAACCCTTGTTGCCACTAGGGTGAATTACGCAATTGATAAAAACAAGTTTACCATTACTTCAAAGACCTCTATGGGAGAAAAGCAGGTGCATAAAGGAAAACTTAAGGTACGAAGTAAGGCCAGTGCTTGGGAGGTGGAATTAGACGCCAAACTCCTCGACTTCGTCTTGGAACTCGAATATAAGGGCGAGTTCAGCTCAACTCCTTCTATCGACATGGAACTTGGGATCACGAAAAATAGAAGAGATTTATTGAAAGCAGGAGTTGTTGCCAAAAAGGACAAGTATCCACGCCTCTTTATACATTTCTCACCGACTCACCCCTTTAAAGGTTTGAAACGGATTTGGTTGAAACTATTAAGTCAGACCATGCCACAGGAAATGGCAATCGGAAACTTTAACGTTAAAGGTTATTTCAAAACTGAACCGATTATAAAGAATTGCGAATTTAGCGTGAGGACAGGGGAAGATTTGCGATTAATTGAAACTAGCCTTTCCATCAAAGAGGCCAGTGGACCACGACACAAAGAGCATAGCCTATTCAAACTTTCTGAAGATGGTTCGAAGGTAACTATCAAAGTGGATATTGATTCCCCCTACCTACCAAACGGTCCTATCAAAGTCTTCGCAAAACATGACTGTTCTTCCGGCTCTGAGGTGAACAACGATTATGACCTTAAATGTAGTACACTAAGCAATTACACTTTGGTATTGAAGAATGGAAAGACATCGAGAGGCATTTCTGACTACCTCGTAGCTGGTTTCAATCGCATTTCAGCCGGAACCACTTTGATTGAAGTGCGTGTTGATAGTAAGCATGATATTCTGCTCAATTTCACTCGTCGTGCCAAATCCAGTGGTGACATTAACTTGACTCTCCAAATAAATGACAAGATGGTGGGAAGGATAGAAGGTGGCGGAAGTCTCGTCTGCAATGATGATGGATTCACTCTTGACTTAAACGGAAGGATAGCAACTGATAATACTCCCATTGCTTCCGTGAATCTTGAACTCTCAAACACGCCTACTCTGCGGTCTATCGATATGGTGCTCAAATCCGTGACAGAAAAGCTCGGTGAGCACAATTTCATCTTAAAGGCTGATGTTGGTTACTTATTGAATATTTTATCGAATGAAAATAAGGAGGAGAGCTCCTCTCGGCCTAAAGTCTATCTGCTCCGAATTGACAACCATGCACTGGGTCTTGAACTCATAAATTTGTCATCCTCTATGGTGACATTCAGCCTACCAAATTTACCGATTCCTGTCGTTTTCCGGTTGGCTTACGATCTACAGCAGAAGGGTGCTTGGAGGACAGTGCTGCAAGTCTATGAACCTATTCAAATTGAAGCAAGAACTCTTCTTGGCTCTAAGGAGGAAGTCTTTCTCTCTTTCTCTAACAAAGTCAACATCATTGATACGATGGGCAACTTGAGACTCACCAGTCTTCTTGGCGGTGAGAAGCTCAGCTTCGTTAAGAGTGGATGTGCGAATGGAATAAAAGATTGCATGTCAATTGTGCTAGGCGGTGATGCTAGCAGACGTGCTCGACTCAATCTGCTTTTTAGCATGGTATTGCCAAAATTAGATCACATAGAATCCATCATTGTGGAGACAGAATTCGCAGAGATGACTCCACGAGCACTGTTTTTAACATCAAAAGATCGTGAAATTGGATTTGGTGCCTGGATTGATACCATACAAAATGCAGTTGTCACGGAAATAGCATGGAATCGTCAACGAGGCGGCCTTTTGTTGGCGACATTTGGTAAGCAGTTCTTTGCTCTGCAAGACCTTGACAAACGCATCGATTTCGGGAGAGAGGGGGAAGTCTTTTACATACGAGCCAAAAACCTTCACAATGGAGCTATTGTCAAGTTTCTTGAAGGTACTTTGACAAGTGATAACAAGTTAGAGCTTGATTCGTATTTCTTAAAGGTAGGTATCGGTTTGCGTTTCTTACTTGAAATATACTGGCAGATACGATACATTCACTTTTGGCCCTTACAGGAACCTGTGACCTTCATTTACATGAAGGATTCACGGCAGGAAACTTTAAGATTGCACCGAGGACGTGGAGATGCATTATCGGCACCGGTGGTGGAATTGTTGATCGTTGAAGCACCAATTGACCAATTCAGAACGCGAATAACCATAACACTAAATCGAAATGGACGGTCACTTGTGATTGACACGATTCGAGATGATAGTGTCATTCGAAGAACCATAAGTAAGCCACGCAATTTTACCTTCCAAACTTCTCTATAGATTCAACCATAAGCGTTGATGGCAAGAATGGACAAATGTACTTCACACACAGTCCTAATCGAGGAGTCTATTTAAATGTATGTATTTTGGCTGTGAAGTTGAACACTGATTAGTGAGTCAGAAAAATAACCTCCTCTTTTTCATCTTCTTTAGTTCAACGACAATGTGATCTTTGGAATGACACATGCATTACGACCAAATGTAGCTGTGGGCAGCATTGCACTGCAATACAGGGGAGGAACAGTGAGAATGGAGGCGGACGTTCGCGCTACAGCAAATCCAATGAAACTTTTCGTTGGTGTACGAACTGCTCAAGCAGGTACATTCAAAACTGATCGTAGACCATAAGAAAAACTCTTCTCACAAATAACACTCATAATTAGTTAAATTAAATAATTAAAATGTGCTGTAAGATGTGCTTCCAACATTGTTGAAGCTTTGTAGCAGTGAGAAACTGGGATTAGTCTAAGTGAAGCAGCAAGTCTATCGAGATTGCAGATGGCGCTCCAGAAAAGTGGAAATACCACACCTACAAGGACACAATTTTGTCCTTTTAGAGGCTGTGCTGCAGGGCAATGGGTCGTGTATATTGGATGTTGCAGGAAACTTGCAACACACTTACAAGGAAGGGGAAAATATCCTTGATGCCGAGCTACTTACTAAAATGGATGAAGAAAGGGGAATATACGATTTAAATGCTTACTGGAAGGCATCAGCTTTGGTTGAACTTGTGGTGAGTCTCCTCGATTAATCCCTTAAACACCGAAGGCTGGCCCTTCCTGATTAAAGCCTTCAAACTTTTTTGCTTACACTAAATGGCTGTTTGCTTTCAGTTTGGTGGAATCAGAAGTGTGCCAGCCTCCAAGATTTCAGTTTTCATGGGAGAGTTAGTGGAAAATTTGCTAAATCTGGTGGTGGAGGAAGTCAGCGAGTTGAAGGATCTCTTCAATCAGACAGCATTGGAAGAAACGTGGGTGTCAACAGTGCAGGCCTTGAAGGATTTGATAGTATCTTTCGACACACCCTCGGTAACCGGGCTCGTAGACGTTTCCAACACCACTCTGGCGGAGAAGATTGAAATGCTCCACAATCAGATCATCAGCACCCTTGATCAAATGAACAGACTTTTTGACGCAAGTCTTTCATGCTTATACAAAATGCCACTTTTTAAAAAGCTCTAACGAATATTGGGTGGATATAACGTATTGTACTAATAGGTCGAATAAAAGGTAAAGTGTATGAACGGAAGCAAAAATTTATTGACAGAATAATGAAAAAGACAAATGGAGTGTTAAGGAATGGATGAGTAAAGATGTGACAGTTCGATTGCGATATAGTTAAAGGCTACTTTGCTAAAACTAATTTTCCCATACCTGTCCATTATACAGAATTTGGACCCTCGCAAGCTCTATAACCACGAGAAAGTCGCAAAGGCCCTTCAATTCCTTGATGCCTGGCGTTGGAAGTGTGTTAGGCACGCCAGGGCAATTTTCGGGACGTATATTTGGCTTAATCAGAATAAAGTCCGTAAGCACTTGTACTTAAGCAACACTATCTAATGAACGATTGTGCTTTTTATAAAGATTTGAGAGACTGCATTCATTCTGCGCAAAATTGCGTCCTACTTTTTGCAGAGAATTTGGTGGCTAAAATCGGTAATAATTTAAACGTTCTAAAATCGGTCATCGAGGAAGCCTCTGACGCCGTCAACAATGCCTGCGACCAACTGGAACAGAATGTAACCGAAATGAAATTGTTGCGTGATGGTGTTTCGACAGTCGTTTCGGAGTTGAAGGAAAGTGGTTTAGACGTAATTGTAAGTAAAATAAAGAGTGATTGTGATCTTCTCGGAAATTACTTTTTTATCCACTTCCCTTTCAAACACCTTTTGGGTGACAAGTATTTCACTTTCTCTGCTTGTTGAGTAAATTCTGCAAATTTAAAATTACGAATTCATGAAGCTTCCACCCCATTTTTGCTCACCTTGCGATCTTTGGCCTAAGTTTCGAAGAGGGACAAACCTGATTTTGTTATTTCAACTCATTCTTCAAAATCAAAGGTCACCGTAGCTTTTCAAGTTTCCATGATGGCTCATTTACAACAGCTCTGAGTCCTCTTAACGGTTATGGCGGAGGTAACCATAGGCTTTGCAGGCAACAACTCATCATGGCACTACTGGTGCAGAACTAGTGCTAACTAAAAGCATCAAGTCCAAATGCCAGCGTTATGTGGAGTTGGGACAAATACCACAAAGCTTAAAAAAATGCTTGTTTAGTTGTAAAAGACGTTGCTACACACTTCCCCGATAAGATGTCAATAAGGTGATTTGTAGTTGAACGCCTTGTAGAGGAAATACTGAGTAAAGAGCTGTTTATTTGTTAACTCATTACAGAAGTATGGGAGGGGAGTAGTTGGACCTTTGCTGGAGTCATTCAGCACAACGTTCTACAGCCCCTCTTCATTGCTCGAAAATATGAGTGTGAACGCCATCTCTGCAGATCTGACCAAAGTTACTGTAAACTCCACTATTTTTCTACCGCTATGGGTTAGAACTGCTGCTGGTATCGCCACCGCCAGGTTCGCCAACCTCCCTCTCACCAAGGTAGAGTGAACAAACTTTTTTAAACAAACCACGAACTAACTGAAACAGCCACTTAATTTTTGAGAATTTTGTTTTAGAATGATTTAGAGAGGCGGCTAGCTAAACTCTCTACAGTTGCAAGTCATCTCGGAGAAGCAGTAAAAGTGGTAGCTCTGATTCGTGAACGACTCCAGACTCTTCCTAAGTGTGAGTCTTACAGAGATTTTGGCCAAATCACGATGCGGAAGAGCCACGATTCAATTTGCTTTTGTATTCTTTGTTAGACAAATCCTGGCTCTTCCTTGACACAGCGGGAAAATCCCACATAATTACTTTTGACAAAAGCTTAATAAGCTTTGAAGCAAATGCGAATGATGTTCTGGTTCTAATCCACGATGCGTTGGAGGACGAAATTGCTTTTGCTGTTGAATTTGGTGCGGATGGAGCGTACTTTATGTACTACAAAAATCACACAAGCACCACTATAACTGAACAAGGACTGGTAAGATATTTTAGGATCCGTGTTTATTGGAACCCTTAGAACTTTTATGGTTGCAATTTCGTGCCCTATTTATGTACTCAAAAGCGCAGAAACTAAAGGTGCTCATCTACTTTTACTTTACCGAATGACAGATACGGAATGGAAAACGTGAGAATGACCCAAGCAACCTTGAGCGAGTCCGAGGGACTAACTTGACAGTGGAGATCACTCCTGTCTCCTGGCAACTAAATGATGGATTTGGGGATGTTAAACTAACTTTCTACCGAAGGGAGCGAATCCTACTTTTTGAAGCAGGCCCTCGGTGGTACGGACGCTTAGAGGGTGCACTGGCAATAACGCATCGCAAAGGACACCCCGACGTCACGGTCTCAGATTGGCTCAAGTCAAAAGGCGGTTACGAGAAGTGGTCAAAGAACCGGCCTGACTACTGCCAGGTAGGACGATTTCTCCGTTCTAATGATAAAGCTGAACACAATGGGACGTCACCGTGCTACAAGCAGCAAATGCGTCTCAAAAGGAAATGAGTTTTTTCCCAAAAGCTGGATTTCATCATATTTCTAAGTGATTAGATTTATAAGCTTGCACACATTTAAAAACATTGACAGTTGAAGAGATTAAGCTATTTACAGAGTGAATTAGAACAGTAGCCTAGAAGCAGCTTTACCACGGTCTCGGATAGGGATTAACAGCGGTAAGCACTGATAATGGAGCTCCATTTACCTGTTCAACGGTCAGAAAGTCAAAAGTAACCACCAAGAAGGAAAATTTTAGCTAGTGTTCCTGTATCCTTGTCCGAAGCTTAATGACTACTTTTGTAGAGCATTGATGTGACGAGGGATAGCGTGGAGGGCCTATTCAATAAACTGGCGGTCAATGAGGAGGAGTGCCCACGTGCGCCTTTTATGCAGTTGGCCTTTATCGCAAATCCGTTCTGCAAAGAAGGCGACTGCGCATTCGCCGCAGACTCCGTCTATGACGCTCATACTGCTCTAGCAAGCTGTATTGGCAAGGGATACGTCAGAAATCCATGCTACGGTAAGCGAGCGTTTATGACGATAAGAACTGCACGTATAGTACAATATTTCTCAAGTAGCTGAAAAAAAAGTTAGAAAAGTAAAATTTGAGTCATTCTAGCTGGTCAAAAGGGTCTGTTATACTTGGAAACATTTTTGCGATGATTAAGCAATAGAACCCATGGAAATTAACGCGGCCTAGATTTGGTTACTTCACGAGCCCAAATGTGGTGTCAAAGTTGTGGACTTTCTGTCATCGTAACATGCTACTATGTTTGATTGCGGCACTGAGTCCTAAAGAATAGAAATATCACAATGAGGATGTCAATGATTAGGATGGGTCACAGGTGGATAAAGCATTTTTAAGTGCCATGCATTTACGGACGACAGGGTGATGATCGCCTTGGCTCTCTTCCCTGTTAGGTAGTGCTGTTTGTGTCAAAAATAGGAATATCTCTTAATGTTAAGCAAAAGATCAAGACACTGCCAACTTTTCCAGGACGACTGTGTTTGATGTATGCACGGAGGCACTATCTTGAATTCCCTACTAAAGGTCAATCAAGTACTGTCTGTCACTTTTTGGCAGAGGCTAGAGTGCAATAAAGAAACGGAAATGGTACTCATCAATCCAGGTGACCGCTAACATGTCTTTCCATCCGTTTTTTAGATATGAGGCAGCGATGATGAAGACATTTGATTTGTAATCCGCCAACGAACTCAAAACCGTCTGGAAACTATTCAAAATATAAACGGTTTTCTTTTATTTGACAATGAAGCAGATCTTGCAATTACACGAACACCATACCCCTAAAATATTCAACCCAATATCTTACAAGGATCTTGACTTCAATTTGAAGGCAGATTATTGCAGTCTTTATATTTGCCAAACAAAGGTGAACTTAGGAACAGTCAAATCACCGAAAGTAATGGGTTGATTTGGAGGAGAAAAATAAAAATAAAAGGAAAAAAGCAAGATAAAGAGGCAAAACAAGTCGGCGTGAGACAATGTCACGTTGAGAATGTTGGCTTTCACAGCAAAGACAGAGCGAAGATCCGATTAGTTAACACACAAACACAAATACTTACAAAATGAATCATCAAAATGTCTGTTCTTGATCATGTGAAGGATAGAAATATACAGAGGAGAGACGCAAAATGTACAAAGAAGTATGGTCAGGCTACTTCTGCCTCACGGACCTGTTGGGCCCTGTTGTTCAGCCAAGAGGGCATAGCAATCAATGCAAACCCGAACCGGTCTGAATATACGCAGTGGATGAATTTCGCTTTCAAAACGACTGCACCTAGGAAATTACGTCAAATCGGGAGACATTATATTAGATGGAATAGGCTAAGTGACGTAAGACAACTTCTAATTATTTCCTAAGTTGTAGTTTAGAATTCAATCGCAAGGTGATTAGCAATGCTCAAGTGCCCACTTCAAAGCATGGATTTCTCCTAATATAATGGGTGCTTAACTATTACAACATAAAGAGGTGTGATTGTCTCATATTCAAACCGCCAGGTAGTAAAAGAATGAATGTTAGGTGCTAAGAGGTGGAATCTGTAAAATATTAACTTCAGATGCAATCATTAGTCTAGTGACATGAAGACGGAAGCCAGATCCTACTTCGTAAGTAGCATTATTGCGTAATAACCTAACTGACTGAATAAATCATTTTAAAATGAAGTTCAGCATTTCTGAGTCACTCAATTCGAGTAAAGTTGCAGACTGGCCCTGACCACCTCCACCTCTGGGGAATGGTAGAACTCACAGCCACCCAGTCACAACGTTTAGCGCTTAGTGTATCAATTCCTTTCCAATCGAGCGTAAAACCACGCCCTATTGATTGCCGAGATCAGCTCCATTTGTACACCAGGAGAGCGAATCAGTCATGAAGACTCACAGTCATATATGCTTGTCTATCGAAATGGTAATAAGCACTCCATCCGTGTACAGATTTACAAATGCGCTTAGTTCATCGGTTTCCATGACTGGTGTCAGCTTATCCTGCTAACCTGGAGCAAAAGGCCTTCCCACAGTTGCGACAGTGGTGTTTTCGCTCCGTGAGCGAAAAACGAGTCCCACAGGCGGGGGCGGCACAAACACCAGATGAAGGATCCTCATTAGACGAAGCACCAATGGAAGTGACGGATGTGGCATCAGAACCCGAGCCACTACCTCCACCACCGGGTACGGACCAGGCGAAAACACGGCCTTTGGCGTCACCGACGAGAACGGAGCGATGGTCGCGAGAGATAGCCAGAGCCATAAGAGGCAAGGGCGCCGTGTCAGATCGATCAAAAGCGGTGTGCACAGTGAAGTCAGCCCTCAGGGTCAGCTGGCGTCGCCACTTTACCTGAACTGCTTGAAGAAATTAAGTTTGTAGACTGAAACAGATCCCTTATTTAGAAAACGACATCAGCCATTAACATCATGCTTGCGATAACAGACCCTTATTCCAAATACACTATTAACCACGAGTTTAAAACAAGTGCAAACAACTTAAATAGATGCTACTAGTTAGTCCGTTTGCTAAAAATTGTCATACTTATAATTGAAGCTTCATAAGGGCGTTTGGAGTGGCGAAGAAAATACATTACCACCAAGAGTGCGTGCACCGTAAGCGCCTTAACCACAGCCTGACCTGGACTACGAAAAGTTTCCTGTTTCTTGGAGGGAAAGATGGTGGGCAGTCGCTTTTTGACAACTGGTAAGCATCAGTAAGCTGCTTTACTTTCCCTCACTTAAGAAAGGTGGACCGTAAAGTTACAATATGAGATTTGGTCATGCTTTTCAGATTGCTTAACCTTAACCAACCAAATCAAATGCCTATTTGCAAAAATAATGCAAATTTGAACAGCAAAGGCACCAAAAAGAGTCGCCTCACCACAACGATCTGAGGAAGTGAGAGATGGACAGGGGATCTAAAATTAAAACAATATGAGAACATAAAAACTCGACAAAGTGTTTTTCTTGAAATATCACGTGCCGCACCTTCGAGGTGGTACTATCAGGTGACTCCTCGCAGACGTAGTCCAGTCCCCACATTCGCACAAAACCATCTGAGCCGCCAGTAATGACCACGTGACCAGGTTCCCAGTCTCGAAGCTAAAACGATCAAAGTGGCGCGCACTGACTAGTGGCTTAGAGTTACTTCGCTTCCTCATTTCATGTCGTTGCGTTTCTAAGGCCTCGTCATTTAATATCGATACAGGAAGGTCATGTGTAATCATCTCGCATTCTTGAGTCACTGCAACTCACTTTATCGCACAAACAATGAGTAGAGTGAAAAGTAGGGTATATGTCGATGTCACAAATAGTAGACTGCGAAAATGTGGCATCCATACCAGAGGGGAACACATATAGCCACAGAAGACACCTATACTTACGGTGCTCATGGCAACACAGTATATTTGATTGCTCTGGTCTGGTGCGGTGTTAAGACATGCGATCAGGTCGCCAGTGATACTCCACAGATAGAGCCAGGCACCGGCGCACACTGCGATGTCCCCAGTGGCCTCACTAATGCAGACAGCAGCCACAGGCGCCTTGTAGGCGGCTCCACCGCTACCAGCGCCGAGCTGGCGGAGGAATATTAGGTAGCGAAGGTCCCAGACAATACAAGTGCAGTCTCGACCACCACTAACAATAAGGTTAAAGCTATCCGAGGCTGCGAGGCAAGTAACAACATCGGTGTGACCGTAGAGGCATCCAGTCAATTGGAGACTGCTCGCGGTGGTGCCGAACACAACGCCAGAACCATGCCCCTCCATAGAGGCATTCCAGTCAGAAGGACAGAAGGGTTTACCTTGCTCTTCATTGGGGCCACGTAGCTAAAGGTGGTGATAAGGTGACAATGGCATAGAGTGCTCCCTTTTATTTCGTTAAATATTGCTGCCAGAGACCGCTAGGCATATGGATTCAACAAATGGCCTAAACTCTATTTAATACAATACCATAACCATGTGTAAGATAACTGTATGTCAAACCATGGCACGTGAAATTGGCCAGCTTGAGCTCCTTAGCTGCTTCCAAAACAGCCGCCGTGTTCTTAGCTTTCATATCAGCATTCAACCAAGACTAAGGCCAACTGTAAGACTGGAGCTTCGCAATTAGGTAACTGTTGGTATAAGAAACGTTCAATAAGTTTTAAATCTTTCAAAATTTAGGAATTTTAGCACACTATTAAACTGATTTCGAATCCAGCCATAATAAATACACTGATTTCGCACAGTTCAGCCAGTTTTGTAAGGATTTCAAAGAATAACTATTTAAAGACGGTGCAAAATGTGGTATTACAGGCTTAAATTGTTTTCGAGACCAAGAGTTGTAGGATTAGACCGTCGAAAAGCCAATGATTCAAATAAAAATCGCTAAACCGCCTGATATACCTCAATTAGATTAGATGGATTAATAGCGCCTGGTAATAGCTGAAAAACAAAATTCCTACATTGGATTGACCAAGGGGATAAGGGAGCAGAGACGCACTTGCCACACTTTAACAACCCCAGTCATCCCAGCGGTAACAATGGTGGAGGCATTGGGAGCAGCAGCACAGAGAACCTGACTAGAGTTGACCATCTCAAAGACCTGCAACACTTTGTCCCCAAGAAGACTGCAGATGCGGAAACTGTCATCTGGGTAGCCCCAGGCCAGATAACGAGTAAAGTTTGGTGGCAAGAGGACCTGTATCGATGAGCAGGGAAAAAATCAGATTCTTTGAAGTAGCGTAGAATGTAAAAATGAAATGTTTAAGTTATATGGCTCAGGAAATTTTCATTTGCCTTTTCCCATTCCCTTCTGCGAGAGCATACGAAAGACATAAAATTTTGGGAACAGTCGGCTTGTGGTTTCATCAAAGAGTGAGCTAACTAGCTCATTTTGCAACTACTGTCCGAATCATGGTTTCCCCATAGGTTCAGTACCATACCATGCAGAGAACCCGAGATTGAGGCGGCATGACTGATAATGATACGAGAAAAAACTAAAACCAAGATTACACAAAGACATTTCGAAAAAATTCTGGGGTGAGAAGTAGATAACAACGGTTGCATTACTCAAAGGGCATGGCCTTGTATTTGCGTGAAATTTATGAATTACAACAAAAAAATGTAAGTAGCCCACAGTGACGCTATTAGGACAAGTTCTTTAGAAGTAAAAAAACGGTAGGAAATTTTTAAAACTCATCTGTCCCCATCTAGCAGACCTTGCAACAAATAGGGGCAAAAGAACACGAAAGCCCAAGTAGATTACAAAAGGTCATCAATTCTAAATATGTCTTTAAGATAGCTATGAAGCGCAAGATGGCGAAGTACACAAAAATATTTGCTGGTTGGGAATTTGGTCTCAGTTGATAAGTGATAGTCTCTAGCGAATCAAGCAAGTATCAACTGCTTTCGAAGTCAAATCGCTTCTTTAAAATCAAAAGCAATTAATTGGTTTGACTCATTTCGGGTTTCGGGCTTCTGCCACCTTACCATATTTTGTTCAACCACAACAATAGGACCAGCCGCAGCACCACCAGGTCCTGAAGAATCTCCACTAGCTCCACTGCCACTGCCACTACCACCGCCCCCTCCGCCGACAACACTACCACCCCCACCAATTCCAAAGAGTCCACTCGATGGAAGAATGAGGGTCGAGAGGCCTCCGGAAGTCAGCTGAGAGGTACTACCAAGGCCTGGAGTGCTAACAGCGGTACCAAGACCACCACCACAACCAGTAATGATGCTACTGCCACTGCCAAAAGAGAAACCTTTCAGGTTTCCCGGCTCTAACTGAAGGATCTGTCCCACGGCGTGCCGTAGTTCTAGCGAAGAGGAAGAAAAAATGGCGGGCTATAATTTACTGAAATGGTTTATGAGTGGCGGTACATGTAAATATAAGTATTAATTGTTGAACCAACTGTGCAGATAGACAGAGAACTAAGAGTGACTTAAGAACTGTCGAATCGGAGAGATGAATGCTAAAAGCCCATATCATTATGAAGCTGTAACACTGCTTCAAAACGGGAAGTGCCAAAAATACTGATCAAACCACAACAACAATTCTTGCATTGGCCTGTCTTCTTCCTCCCAAAATAACCTCCAAGTTACTTTCGTGATCAAGAAGTAATTTCTACGATAATGAATGTTGACAGGCAAATTGCTTAAACGATCTTCGAACAGGCTGAGACGAATATGCTTTTTGATAACTAAAAAGTACTTCCGTTTCCCTCCTAAGAAAATTTGCGTTGGACAAACTAAAATAAGGGAACCCGAAATTTCCCTATGTGGATCGTCAACTCCCATTTAAGTGACTGCCTAATCCTCTAAGCTATGCCTTCCATGATGATTGCAAACAGGTTGAGCGATAACATCGAAATTGGCCTTTCAGCCATTCATTGCCGGAATCCCACCACCTGGCGGACCTTCGATTCATGACGTGAAATATTAAGTTAGTAACAATAAAAGGGCGACATTTGGCCTTGTAAAAATTGTCTATAATGACAATCGGAGGAACAAAAACAACATAAAACGCGTTTGTAACAGAAATGCACCACTTTATTGTGGTGAGAAGAAAATGAGGTAAGAGAAAGACAACTTTTACTAAAGTATAAAAACTTAAACTAGATGGTCTACCAATGAAACGAAAACAAACCAATCAAACGGAAGGACGGGTTAGGCAGTCTTTGCAATGTACCTCTGGTAGTACCCAAACTCGGCTTTAAGCTTTCCAGATTATGGAAGAAGAAGGCAGATGAAGCCGGAGATATGCTAGCCCTTGAATCTGGAAGGGAACCGACGTTATTTCCACCACCAGCAGGAATAAGAATGCTTGGATGTGAAGGTGGCTGGAAAGCAGCCATTTTCTTGGCTGGATGAGGTTTGCGGAAAATTTGTCGAGGAATTTGACCGAAATTGTTAATGAACCCAACCACAGCACGACGCTCCACGGGATCGTCGATGGCGTAAATGTCAACATTTCCTTCGTAAAAGAAGTGATGAAAGACATTGGCCGCTTGTACTGCTGGCTCGCCTCGCTGCTTATAGCCGAAGATGAGATCTATCCAATGGTGTAGATTAGCAGATACGTATTCACTCTCCAAAGCCTGTTAGAAGGAAACACTAGATGTCAACACTATGCACTACGTCCATGGTTAAACAGGTCTAGTTACTTTTAAATCAACAGAAAAATGGACATAGTCTTATTTCCAGACCTTGTTTGGTAATGGGGTGAACCGACTGATAGATCGGCGCCCAAAAATACCTCGGTAGTGGATTTTATCGACAATGAGGACTGCAATATGCAATATGCAGTACTTTATCGGCACGAATAGTAAACTAATCAATTCTCTATTGTAAATAAAATGGACCTAAAGGGAAAGAGGTAAGTTTAAAAAAACCACCTGGTCAAACGCTAAGACTCACGCATGAGATACCGGTCTGAATACTTCCAGTCACTAGGTCAATAAAGTATTCTTTATTCAGACAACGTAAAAATTACCAAGATAAAAGCATTGTATGCGTCAGCCACAACGTCGATTTGTTTATTGCAAGCATTAAAAGAACAGACCGGAACAATAGAAGATTAGAGCATAAGGATTTTAAGTAGATAATATCGCTTTAAAAGCCATAAAAAAATTCAGCAGCTGACTTCGCGATGCTGCCGAATAAACTCGCGCGGATCTCCTTTAGCCCAGGGCGGCAGTAGAACGTGGTCTACCCGAACACCATTCTGTTTGCACCCAAAGTCAAAGTGATTTGAGTTGACTAGAAAGTCAGGTAGATAAAAGAACTCAGGGATGAGTTCGCGAACGTCTGTCATGTTGTGCTGGCTAGCGCTCAGCCAGGCCTCCTCCACGCTATGAAACATCCGATCTGGCAAGTCGAAATGCCCACCCTGAAAGGCCAGCAATAACAGGAATTGCGAGAGTAATGCTTGTCTTAGTTCTGTACGTTACCTCAAAATACCTCCAAATTGTTTGCTTTGAATATTTAAGTTTTGGATAAAGAAGGATAGCTTTTTGCCTACATCTGTGCCATGTCTTTGAAGGCGACTTAGGTGCAACATCAATGAAAAATTTGACATAAACAATTCAGACAAACAACAAATGCAGTTGTTGACTGACCGTTGTGCCAAAAACTAGAGTGGAGTGCATTATGTAAATGAATGGCACTGAGGAAGGAGTCCAAGTTACCTATTCCTCCTCGCACTAGGTGATTTCTAGACCTGTTTCGAGAGGACTCAACTGCAGAGGGAGAAACAATTTCAAGCATGCAAATATTTCAATAGTCATAGCTACTAAGGTGTATCGGACGTCAGTTTTCGGAGTTTGACCCCTCTGCATTCATTTACCGCATGGGATTCCCCAGTAGTGGCGCAAACGAACGAATGAACTAGAGTGCGTTCTCATATTCACCTGACAAGACCGTACAGCAAGGGCCTTTAAAAAATTATAGCTAATGTTCATAAGGAGAGATTTAAGAAGTTGCCGTCAGTAGCTTGACAAAAACGACCCGTCCATTGTTCTGATGAGAAAACTGAAGGTATATTTGGTGCAGAACCAAATATAATAATGACCACTTTCAATCTAGATGCACCAAAATTTGAATCAACGGTTCTTTTAAACGGAAAAGTCACAATACTGCTTTTGAAAACCCACGATTGTATCGCGTTGACCCATAGCGTGCGAGCTGGTTTAAATTTTAAAACCACTCGCCACAATAGTTGAAAAAATTTGGGGGATATTCTATCTGAGTGGTAAATGGAGTCCTAAAACTCCCGCTTATTTTGTATTGGTGCACTAGGTGAGAGCAATAGATTAAAACCACCTACTGCTGTTAAATGTGCCGAAAGTGTTGTCTGTAAAACCGATGAGAATCGTGTGAATTATGTACCTACTTTTACTCTATGCATACTTTTGCGATAGTAGTTGTTGAAAAGCCTAATCATCATCCAACAAACTGACCTGAAGTTTTATAAAATGTTGTGCAAAGGGCTCCATGCGCACGAGATAGGAGGCAACAATCATGGCAGAGGAGTAATGCGTGCCATAGTGATGGGGAGGGGTCTCACCAGAAGGATCCTCCCACTCCCTGAAACGGCGTTGGAACTGTGCCAGCCTACCCAAAGTCTGGGCTCCCATAGGTTTGGTGAAGTCTCGGAAGGTAGTGGGACGGGAGAGGTCTAGGTGTAGGGACGTGTAGTCAGCCAGCACCCAAGGGAATACAGGGTACTGCATTAAATCGTTGTAGGAGCGACCAGCCTGAGTGTTGAGATACATCAGGTATTGGAAATTGCTGATCTCACCACGCTATGAAGATGGAGAATCAGTTACACCGTGCACTACAGCCATGGCATTATAGGCAAGGAATTGATAAATCAACTGCAAATGAACCATGGTAGGTTATGATGAAGGTAAAAAGTGTAGTTGTTAAAACTGAGAAAGTAAGATTAAAAACAGAACAATACAAAAGCATACCACCCAGCGTTGAGTAACCGTTTTTTCGCCAAGTAAACTGCTCAACAAATGCGAATTCCTAAGAAGTACAAACAATGGACGTAGCAACAGCTAATGTACGGGAAGCTTCTGCATTTACTAGAATTAGGCAGTTAAGAATGCCAAAAAATTGGCAAGATTCAGGCGTTTTAAATGCAATCAAGTAATCTAAAGGCGAAGAAAGTGATTGAACAATGAAAAACATACGTTCGAGCAGAATAAAGGGAAGCGAATCGGTTCGTGCTGATGCTTGAAGAGGCAGCCGTAAAACTATGATAAAAATAGAAGTTTATGAAAATTTTTCTGGGCAACGATAAAAGCAGCGACATAAACTTTGGACCATCAAAGCTCAACCAATTATGAAAAAAAAAACATTAAACTACTAAATTCTGAAGTTTTCGATTTGACTAATAGAATACAACCAGGTATCAAACTACAACTTTTTGTTGACTAACCATTCGTAGACTTTGCTTTGAAAGTCCTTGGCAAACACCAGAAAGAAATTCCGACCATCAGCATTGAATACCTCCAATGCAGTCTGTTGTAGGAGGTATCGACGGCGATGCACCTCGCGGATCTTGTCATAAGCAAACTTGAAATACCTAATGTACACAGAGCATGGAATAAAAATTGAATCAAATTTAGGAAGGGTCTATTCTCAAATTAAATTACTCACTGGTTTCCCGAAATTTGGTCTACTGCGCCAGAACTGACCAGGTCTGAGGTGTAAGTTGAAGATGAATGAGCGTGTATAGTTTTTGTGGCAGCCATAGCGACAGTATCAGTTCCTGTGGGAACAATTGGTTTGTGTTGCATCCCTGGAGGAAGAGCTTCAATGCTAACGATTTCATGAGTGTTGGTGAGAGTGTATCCATCTATCACGTAAAAGTGATTCTTTCCAAAGAGGAGAAGCCCTTCATGCACATCCAGACCGCAAATTCGAGCACAGCGATAGATAGAAGAGAGACATTCGACTGGTTCTAAGAGGCGCATAAAAACAATGTGACCATTGAGCTGATCCAGAGTCGTAGAACCACCCTCAGGAGCAGACGAAGAAGCCAATTTTGAGGGAGACGACTGTCTGGCAGCACCATCACCAGATGGATGGTGTTGCTGAGAATGTTGTGACTGCAAAGGTGTAAGTGGCGGTAACGACTGAGGTGAGTGGTCATCCAATGTTAAGTCAAGAGACTCCGTGGAGGAGATTTCAATTGCTTCACCACGTTCCTCCTCGTCCACCTCTCCCACGGTTTCGACTTCGACAGAATTAGCTGAGGTATCGCAAAGCGCCTCACTACTAGAATCTACGAAACTAACACCGCGAGAGGTATTGCCTTTACTGTCGCGAAGGAGGCGACTGGTACGAATCAGGGTGTCTAAAAGTAATCCGATAGAGCCATTGAAGCTACGAAGAATGAAGTTTACGTCTAACTTTAGAGGGATTCAAATGAAATATTCAGTGGATCTGAGTTGTTTCTGAGCAATATATGACTCAAATTTGCTTAATTATTAATCAATCTTGCATAATTATGAGTTCAGTATGAAAATTCGATGGTAAAAATTACGAGATAATGGCAAATAGCATTTTCGTACACAATTTGGTGCTTGGCATAGTGTTCAATGACAGAATATTCAAATCATTCAGTGAATGGTGGGTGCGGCTTACAAATCAGATTTCGCTGAATGTAACTCATTTAATCTATGCAGCTACCCGTTTTCATTCTAATAAGAACAAGCAGAGATAAACTAAGTTCATTGAGGTCTACCGTTCCTTACATTAACGAAGCTGGACTCGGCCGCTAGCCATCATAGATCGACAGCAAGTTTGATGCCAATCCAATAAGTTACCAAAGTAACCCACTTGAATTTCATTAGGGTTCTCAGAGTAAAGTAGCTTATCAGAGCGGAATCTCAAAATTATTCGTTATATTTTTATTAAGCAACCACACCTGCCTAAATAGGGACAACTTTCAGATTGCTTCATTAAAAATTACTTGCATGAAGTTCAAATGAAATCGACCATTTTGAACTTGATCAATAAACGAGAATAATGAACTAGGAAAATAGGATTACTATGATCTAAGGTAAAAAAACCACCTTCTGATTCGGCAATGTCAGAGAAGGTTAAGCTTTCCCCACTGGGATCAGTGGTGGCGCTAGATGGTTCAACAACACCCACTTCCTCCTCCTTCAAATTCTTCGAGGTTTCGGAGCCTCGTAAAAGTCGTCTTCTGCGGTAGCGAAATCGCGCTCCCAGACTCTGGGATGCAATAAAACTGCGTCTTGTTGCGATGGCAGGTGTCTGAACACTTCCACTTTCCTAAAAATACAGTAATGCCACAAATGAATGAACGGCGGCCAAACGATGCGTTTACGACAAAAATGCTATGGGAATCACCCGTTTAAATCAGAAAATACCACGACGAAATGTGCATTGAATATTACTGACCTCCTATTAAAAGCAATACTGCCAGAAAAAAAGTTATTTACTTGAACTGCATATAAACAATAAGAATATTTCTTTGCAGCTCAATGAGGTTGTCATCAATGCACTCAGAAAAGGCGGACACTGGAAAGAGGTGTCTAATGCATAAAAAAATTAGTGGATGAAAGGGGCTTTCCTTAAACTCAGAGTGCTGGTAACCCTCATATCGAAGCCCAACGATGTTGAAAAGTGCTACATCGTTCATTTTAGGTGTTGATTTCCGGCTAAGCTTACGTAGGATGAACAATTTCAAGCAAAAGATGCCTTATGTTTTCCTCAAAACCAACTGCGACTTAAAACTCTTGGTTGTTTTGGCATTACTAATTTCCAGAGATTAACAGCACAAGGAAAATAGAATTAAAGACAAAAATGAGCCTAATGAGACCCAAATCCCGCCTCTGTATTACGTTTCGAACGGCGAAAGCTGATTAAAAAGTCTTGTTCTCCTGCTTACTGATTCCAATTCGACCTAACTTAAACTGACCCCTGCTCTTAATTAAAAGCACTAAGGAAAAAGAAAAAGAAGGCGTTGAAAGCGTACTTAAGGGTTCAGCCATAAGTCTAAGAAGGATTGCATTTTGGCGTACCTAACAATTAAAACCTAGTAAAAAACAGGCATTCTGCTGACGATATTTCGATGGAAATTGATAAAGTTGGCATATTTTTGAAATGATATCGCGTTGACAACACAGCTAATTCTTGCTAACTTCAATGTGTTGGGAGCCCTCCTGTTCAGCGAAGTTTTAATCTCCCTATAATACTCTTTTATTCGACTCTCCGTAAATAGCAATCGGTCTGTTGGACATCTTGCTTCTGCCATGCGGGATGGACTTCAAACCGTGCCGAAGCCCCACTTATACCCTTTTCTGTCTAAATACAGGTACTCAGACAAGGTTTGTGTTTTCCATTACAAATGGAGAATCTCAGAATGCGAAAAAATTCGGTTCTCAAAAATGCTTAGCAAGGAGAAAATGATAACAAAACATTGCAGCATCTAAACTTTCATATACTCAGGGAAAATGACCAGAATAATATCATGCCATATCACAATAATGAATTAAAAGAAGTCAGTCTTCTGAGTTGTCGAATGGGCATCAACACCAACAATTTTCTAGTAATTGATGCGATTTTCTCAAGTAACTTGCGAACTGACAGAATAAGGTCCGTACATTACTGAATGCAATAGATTGTTCGTCATAATTTACTAAATATCCTACAATTTCAGATCACAGAGGATTTAAACGATTAAAGGAAAAGACTAAGAAAACCGGTTCCAATCTTTCCCGATAAAGCTTGATTATGTTCGTTTCTGGACCTCTAAATTACCTCATTGACTGGAGAAGCGTTCACATCGTCATTCACAGCTCGAGTAGTTCGACTAATAGTTGGGTAGTGTCGATAGAAATTCGGGTTTGGCAGCATCCTTTTTCGCATCCGACAGGGCCCTTCAGTGGGATCCAGTTTCCACTTTACCACATCATCGTCGGCGCACATGGGGCCCCAAATTGAGCGTTCCTGAGTAAGATTATCCTCCACTTTATTCCATTCGATCTCCACTTGGCGCCATAGAAACGACGTATCCTATGCCGCAAAATAAGGAAAACATTAAATATTCTTGTCTTATATGTATAATAATTAAAGGTAACTTACCCTTTCTTGACTTTGTTTACCCCATTCCAGAGATTCTGTTACCAGAGTTAGAGGACTCTCAACCTGCATACTAATGCGCTAGAAATAAATTCAAATTAGGACGGTGAAAGATTCGCAAATAAAGGGATCAAAACCTCATACCTTCAAGGTGGATAAAGTGATCGATTTCTTGGTCAAAAGCGGCAAACCGATGGGAACTCTCGGCACGAGCACCCAATCGCCATCGCCACCAACACTGGTACTACCTGTTGTCACTGAACCCGAGGCATCAACAGATTCCAAGAGGCCGAATTGGCGTCCATTTCTTCGCGACTCCATCGATTTGGCAGGGCCAACTTCAGCTACTGTTGTCGATACGCTGCCCCCGGCACTAGCGGCAGCAGCGTTGGATGCCATTCGTAGGACGCTGGCACTCATTCGACCGAGCTTCTTAGATATCTGATGAGAGAGCCCCCTAGTAGGAGCTTTAGGTGGGGTGGATGGTTGATCAGCCCCTGTGACTTTGCTGTTAGTCGACTCGAGTTGGCGTTCGATTGTGGAAGGACCATACATAGAGAGAAGACCCCACTGAGATGTAGGAGTGGTTGCAGCGTTTTGAGAAACAATACCACCACAGCCTGTGGCCTCCGCATCGACGTATGTAGTCCATTTCATTATGCAAGGTCCTTCAAGAGTGGCAGACCATTCTAACAGAGAGGGAATTCCAGCTAGCTGGGATAATTGAGAATTTGGAAGAAGAGCCACAAAAACCTGAAGGAAAGAATGCTTCTTATTAGGGAGTTGGATCGCGGTAGATCTGTTTGAAAATCGAAGCAATACGCATGCAGTAAGACTTGCTAATTTCTACTGTCATATGTGCTAGTGCTGGAGAGAAAATATAGTAATATTTCATGTTCATAGCACTTGACTTAAGCAACAAGTTGGACTTTGAGGTGATGCAGAAGGTACTTTTCAGTGCTGTACGGAACAATTCAGGGAAAACAAGGCAAACGCAGTTGCTCCCTTTTATGCTATTAAAGAAATGGTCCAAGCTTTCAGAAAATTGTTCACGTCTATTCCTATAAGATAGTCTACTTGCAAGCGTGGACCCTATACCATAGAATTAGGTGAGCTCAATTGCGGAAAAACGAAAATAGTAGCAAGAATGGTTTAAGACAAAACAATAAACTTGTCAATAAGAAGAACTCTTGATTAGAAGACTTGAAACTGCAAAGACTTATGGTGTAAGGAACAAATAATAGCATAGCTGATGGTTTAAATATTTAAAAAAGAAAGCGAAATCTAGATATGCACATAGACCCGTCGGTGTATTCAAATAAGTCGCCTTAGTGTGCTACCTATTTGAGTCGCAACATGTATTTAATAAGATGATAAAATATCAAATATTATCTAAACAACTTCTAAATAGCTTCAGACCCAAGTGTGTACTATACAGAAACCAGAACAAGTCACTTAAAATAAAAAGTTCAAGAAGTTCAACTTCTTGAATGGTAGTGCTGCCAAATGCATTGCGTCGCAGAGACCCTTACTTCGTTACCACAAGTCGCCACACTAGCACCTGTTTCAGGAAAGAATATCGTACACAACAATCTGGGCACTATAAATCAGAATTCTGACAACTATATGCGAGTTGTGGATGCAAGCTTTCCAGATACCAAATAAGTTGTAGCAACTTGGAGATGAAAATAAACCTTTAAAGAGGTGAAGTTGTTCTAGATACTTTAGTAAAATGAAGTTAATAAAAGAAGAAGGGGAAAACCTTTTGATTCCATATATAACAATGTTCCCATAGTTTTAGAGCCAGAGTTGCTAACTGCTCGAACTCCTCCTGTTGGGCTGGTAGGTCTTCTTGCTCCCCAACTTCGTGTTGGTGCCGTTGCTGCCCTTGGGGCTGCTGTGGAGGGGAGCTACTCAAAAGAGCCTTCTCCTCATCATCGTCTGTTTCAAAGTCATCCGTATCAAAGGCCGTCCTATACAGGCCTGAGTCAGACATTTCTAATTCATGCATTTCATTCTGTGCTGTTGCGCCAACACCATCAGGCTCCTCGAGGTCCAAATTTACCCACACTTGGTAGTTCCTCTGGACGTGTTGAATAAGTAAGTGAGCCAGACATATCGGAAACTCAGTATCTGCGGAGTTGAAGGAGGAAAATATGAAGGAATTCAGAGGACTCTCCTCAGAGAGTAGAAGCTGGAGCATAGAAATAGTCAGTTTTTGATCTTTTTGTTTAAGAACAGGACGAGAAAGCTGGAAGAGAACAGAGCGGTTCAGGCTGCGATAGAGAGAAGCACGGGAGAGCGTCAAGCTCGGATCTCCCGGAGACGGGGACGGAGCAGATGGAGATTGAGGGAAAGGGTAATGACGTGGTGAACAACTTGATCGGAGCGTAGTCAGTAGATGCTCCTCAAGCATTTGGATGAGCTGAGTAATGAAGTCAATTATTTCGCTGATGGAACCCAGGAAACAGCCCTATTTCGTTAAAAGTAAAAAAAACAAACTGTATGTTTTTCAATGCAGAAAATTCTAAACCATTTTAAGCGAGCTGGCTTGTTGTAACTGTACATAAAACTGCGTTTCTACGTCTCCTAACTAAATTCAATTAGAAAACCTAAGTGGCATTTTCACTGGAGAGAAAGCAGAGATGGCTGAGCAGAGTGAAATCCGCAAAGTCAGCAAATAAACCCAGCCAACGGTAATGCTTTGTAAAGCAGTGTAGTCTTCTTCGGATATATAAAATATAAAGGCATGGCGCTCGTGTCCACCTAGACGCCGAATTGTGTTTCGTAAACGACACTGCGTCACAACGTCCCACTGGAAATTTCTGCAAGTAAACATTACAGGCACCAATATAGCGAAAAATAAAGACGTGCGTAGCAATACGAGAGAAATGGGAATCATTTAATGTCCCCTTTGTTTGGTGGAGGGTTATCGATACTAGTGTGGTAACAAACATTCGGGGTACAAACGACGACTGTCTGTTCAAGACTGCCTAACCATACAGCTGCCATCATATTTCGGATTAATGACTTATTAATCTTTGTCTAATAAGCACCGGAAGATGGGGTAGAGTGTACAAAGCTCCATAAAATGAAGTTAAAACGCATCTGAAAGCTTGTTAATCGTTTAAAAAGGGATGAGTCCAGGTTGTGAAGGCAAGAAATGCCTAATGACAACAGCGAAAGTGGCATCAGCAAGATGTAATAAAGTTTGTAAATCGAAGTTAAACGAGCCATGGGTGTAATGCCATCCCAGGGCAGCATGATAAAGTACACAGAAGAGCAAAGTCAGCTAACACATACCTGCCAGAGTTTGTCCACCAATCGACATGTGAAATAGGCAAGATTCTGAGGAATATGTTGAGGATAGCCTCTCGAGGGCAGAAGAAGACACGACTCTGAAAGCAGGTCTTTTGCTAGCATATATTCCATTAGATTCCGCATCAACATCGTCTGAATCTCATGTTGCTGCTTGGAAGAGCAGCTGCTATGCTCAGCCTACAAATGAACATCAAAGTGGATTTAGATTTCTAAAAGATACTGCAACCACATTTCTAAATAAAGGGACACCTACTTCCAACACCGTGTCGACCACATGGATGGGTCGATGGGCGGTAGGAGGCAGCGAAAAGCTGTCCACGACAATGGTTCGCAGAAAGCTCAACAATAGCTCATCCAATCGATGCCACGAAAACTCGCAAACCTCATCTGAACTGCACTTTTGAGTCTGGTATGTTGTCTGAGAGACACTGCTAATGACCAACAGGTCAATTAGACCAGTTAAAAATTCCGGTGAGAGACAGACTGTTTGAAAACCGAAATTGGATTGGTATAGGTACGAGAATAGCTGTAACATGACGATCGGCATGTGCTGGGTGGCTGATGCAAGTTTGGAAGGAGCCTAAAACGCAGGTACGCAGAAACAATGTATTGACGAAGACTGAACTGATGACCAAGTTAGTGAGACATTCAATAACTACCCGCATAAAAGCCGAGAGGATCGAAATAATTATTGTGGCAGCCTCAGGACAAGCGATGCTGTCAAAAAGACTTGAATTGTGCATTGTTTGATGTGTGAGATCCTTAGGAGGGCTGACAGTTTCAGAGGTTTCCAAAAAGTCCACCAATCCAGTTGAAGTATCGAGAGGATGTAAAGGTACTTTCTGAAGGAAGAAATCTGCAGGAGGAATGATTTGATCGCACAGACCAACGGTATTCTTCCTCATCATGATCACGTGAACAAGGTAGTTATAGAGTTCATCGAAAGTGAACTATGGATAGAGAAAGAGGAATTAATGATAAAACCACCTTATTAGAATTTTAGTGAACAATGGGCTTCTCTAAGTTTACCATGGAGGCAGGAACAAAGGGCGTTCGGATGCCAAGTAGAAGATGTATTAACATGGCGTAGATCTCAGGCATTCCAGCATTGTTCACTAGGAGAGCCGACAGAGCGAGAAATCCATTGACCCGTCCATTGGTATCATTATTTTCCACACGGGTCTGAACCGCCTCAATGGAGTACGTTGAGGAAAGTCGAGCTGAAGCTAGAGACGGTTAATTATACAATGAATGCATTGGTGGTGAGAAAAAATTAAAGCTAAAACAATCCTTGTTCCTGCATCTAGCTCTACAACAGTTCAATAGGGCTCAAAAGACGTCAACTGGTATTTAGGCATCAATCATTGACGCTATTCAATGACACTTTCACTGGATCAGCATCAGTGAAGGCGTAGAACCAGATCGGAAGAGCGAAATTCCTTTTAGCTAGAAAAATGAGTCACCCAAAGGCAAAGCATAAAATTTGGTGTTTTTAATCGAAGCGGAAACTTGTGATTAGTACGGTGAATGGCCAACGTTAAAACTGGGGAAGTGAGTGACCAATCTATTCATCAAATAAAGGTATAAAGGAACTAAATAGTCTGTTTTTATTTCGCTGGAATATTCACCATATACGAGCATTATTAGGACAAACAGTTAAGTGGAAAATTTCGGAATCCACACGAAGAACGCCTAAATAATGTAAGATGGTGGATCGGTGATTCACTCAGTTTGGCATTATCCGTGCCGTATCTGCATTCATAACAAATGTACACAGAAACCTATATAGGAAAGCAACCTTTGGGATAACTGATATATTGTATCTATAGCGGAGTATCCCTTTACGCGGATCCGCGTGCAGTTCAAAGGTAACGTTGCTGTTAGGGCATAGAGTAAGGAAACGAAAATTATGCTAAAAAGTCACCGCACGTTCACCAATTTCTACACTTCGCCTTAGTAATAGATACCGCTCTCTGTCATTTCAGACACCAAAAATGTTTAAAACAGTTCACCTACCAAATGGAATTCCTCCAGTGGCAGTCCCACCTATCTGTCCACGTTTCGTTGAAACACGCATCCATCCTCCACTAAAGAGATCCTTCCGAAACGCTACCACCCCAGGGAAATCAGTTAATTCGGGATCGGTAGAGAGCTTCTGTTCACCTCCAGAGAAAGTGAGGAGGGCGAGACAGAAGGCGCGTAAGGCATGAGCCGCGGTGGCATCACTGACGTGTGGAGACAGAAAAAGATGAAACCAGTCGAAGCCCAGTACGCTGATCATTCGATCACAGAGCCTGAAGAATGGAGACAAGGAGAGAATAATGAATGCACCCGATCCGAAGAGGCAGGATGGAGTTAGAACTCACTTTGAACACTTGTACTTCGGCTGAGAGAGGAGATGTGAGAGAAGCAGAAAACACTGGTTCCTCACAAAGATCAGGATGGACCGTTCTGATGGCAAAAAATCGTATACAGTTAGCTACAAGGTAATCTTATTCTTCACAATTTCCTTTTGGCATACGCTAATTTCCAACATTTGCTGATATTGACTCTAATTATCAATAGGTTGGATCCTTCTGTGCCTGTTATATAGTCAATGTTTCGACCTTAACCTTCGAGATTTCACGATTATTTGTTTCATAGAGGTCTATTCCAAAATAAGAGGCAACCCACAGAGTTGAACCATTTTAAAAGTGGGATTCGCAGTGGAATCAATGTGACGGTTGGATGAGATTGTTAAGTCTTCAGAACTTGGTCATTTAGTATTTTGGAAAGCTGCCTGCATTTTCATCTTGGTGTGAATTGTGCAGAACACACTGAAATCAGTCACAGCGACTATAGCGCACATATGATCAACCGCATGGAACAGAATTAAGCGTAATCATGGTGATAATGGGGCATTTAGCGCAAGTTGACAAATGAAGACTGATAAGTTCACATTAAAAGGCAAATGTGTAGAGAACACGATCTTACATTTGTTCAAACAGCATTCTAACCTCAGCCATTATCTAATTCCAGTACATGGTTGCAATTAGTTCAACGTTCAAACCGATAAATCTACGTTCAAAGACAATGCAACAGCAAAGGCATTGAAAATATGGGCGAAAAGCAGAACGTGTGTCGTATTTGAATACCTTGTGCAACCGAGGCCACCGTTTCATCAGGGATTTCGTCACTCCCCTTCGTCTGTTGTCTTGGTAACGTCCAAATCAAAAATTGACTGAGACTAAGAGAAAAGCAGGCCTATCAAAGCAGTGAAGATGGAGCAAATCGTCGAATGCCAAATTCAGACTCACAGCTGAAGAACCCCATAGTTAGGAGTTGTAATCAGGACGATTCCAAAGAGGCGCATGCACGCGGCAATCAGCTCGACGAAGTGGACACTAGTTGGGTTACTGCTATCTACCTCGGTGACGGCATCCATAATGAGAAAGACGAGACTATCAAACAGACAATCGTTCAACAATTTGGCACACTTTTCTGCTGATGCTTTAGCCTGAAAGAAAACATCGTAAGTCAGTTTGTAGTAAAAGAAGATTCTTTTGGAAAGACAGGCTAACCTCTACAGATGCATGATCATCACAAAGCCAAGTGAAATGCGAGGCAAGCTGGTCAATGAGGTGGGAGACAAGAGCATAATCAGTAGCGTCTTCTTTGTTATGGAGAGGTCGGCGTAACCACAGTTTTAGATCACACAGGAGGTCACGAAAAGAGTCCTCGTTGAGACCAAAGTGTGTTTGCTGTGAGTTTGGAGGCTGATTTACCTTAAAGTTTACGAAAATCCGAAGTTAGAAAAAATCTCGCTCCGAATTACATATAGTAGCAAAATTCTTCATTAGCAAAAAACGGCTAACTCTAAGATACTTATCAATGAGATAGCCACATTGAATAAATAATGCATTTCAGTTTCAATCCAATTTTAAATGTTGAAAATCTACTTGTTCTGACGAGAGTAATGTACTATAGATCATCTGGCCGCTTCAAAACAAATCCGAGCAAGGCGATAACCACTACTAATACTGTGAAATCATACTAACATGGTCAAATATGTCTAACGATAACTAAGTTGTCCGATTGTTTACATGTTCACAAATAAGTATACCAATTTTAATTGCCTGCGAAGGTGAATTTGTATCGCGAAAACACCCATGGTGACTTTGGAACATTTCAGGAATTAGTTTCAGAGACATTTTTAGCCCAGTGACTATCTACACCGGTTCATAAGAGCTCGAGTCATTAAGCTTAGCAACTAGCTTAGAAGTGGGCAAAAGAAAAAAGTATACACTAGAAATTAAGCACGAAAAAATGGGGTCCAAGGAACCTACCCAAGTTTGGGATGGTGGTGCAGGAAGCAGTTGATTGAGCGTGAATCTCATTACAAGACCCACAATCTCTTTATCGAGAAATTGATTCTTCTTTCGCAGAATTCCTGCCATTAACTAATGAAAGAAAACAAATGCTATTATATACAAAATAGCTAAACTTTTCCGGTTTATAGCAAAACTTCTGAAGGATGCTACTTAAATAACAGTAGCTGTTCATAACTAAGAGTTACCTGTAAGGCTTAGATGCCATGTGGCAGTGTTATGGAAAAACCGTTGAAGAGATGATGGGATTAATTGCTCATGTCTAACCAATGGTTTTCTCCTAGATGGAATGGTTGAAAAGCCCTTACTAAACCACATCACGTACGGACGACCTTGAAGTTTACAAACTTGTGGATAACGCTGAGCATGAAAATGAGTAGACAATTACCCTCTCGAGTTTATGGCAAATAAGTCTCCAATTCTGTAGTAAATGGTTGGATACACCCCACTGTTCACTTAATATGTGGAGTACTTCAACCCTTAACAAGCATGTGAATGGTTAAAAAATACCCATTTGAAATCCTCTTCCAGCTCTCAGAGTTTAGACGGCTGATAAATAATAGTTTACGTCATCACCAAGACATCGTTACTTATGGATTACAATACACACTCAAGGACACTATTAACAGGCTCTAAAATAGCAAATATTTGTCTTAATAAGGTTCAAGTTATCTAATAGGTGTTTTAAGGCTTTCCCAGTTATTAAGTGCAAAGATGTTGTCTAAATGCAATAAACTAGCCACGTACTTGATATCCATGCAGACGTTGAACCTCGGCGGCAGTGACATAACTAGCTCTGATAACACAGAATATTGCACGAAGTGAATTCCTTAGCTGTATTGGGGTATTAGCTAGCGCGAGAAAGGAGAGCAGCAGCCCAGTAGGATCGGCGACAGCACTGAGGAGGGTTCCAAGAGCACAGGGGCTGAAAACACGCACTCCCTGGTACCCTACTAGTACCGCGCCGAGACTACGGGCAGCTCCCGACAGCTGGGTGGCCAAGTTGCGTAGGACACGGATGGGTGTGAGATTCTCGCGAAGAGGCATGTGCAACTACGAAAAGCAAAGAGAATAGATGGAAGATATGCAAATGGTTAAGGAAATGTGGGTTGAAGGTGAGAGGAATAAATGGACATGCAGCCAGGAAACGAATTTATCCATTCATGCTGGACATTGTTTAATACTCCTTTTAAAAGTCAAACATTTTAGCGAGGCCACAGTTCGAGGGTGCCCGCGACCTCAAAGCAAAGATCAAAGTGCGCCCATAAGCAAGGACCAGTTTAATGGTATTCAAGAACGCTGATTGATTTGTCCATTAGACACAGAAAAGGAACGGAGAATTACTAAGTAACACGATGCTTGTGCATAAGGCAACTCAACCCTGAGATCTGAAAAAATTAAGGTAGAACGAGCAGTAATGTCCTTTATTCAGAACAGTATGGTTTGGAGCAGCAAGGAAGGAAAAAAAGAAAGTGTAGACGCACAAGTTCGTTTACACGGTAGTTAAGAAGCATTGTAGAAAATACTTATAATAAGCCAGGGTTATGAAGATCTAATGCAGAGCAAGGGTCTTCTTTTAAGGCCTAAAATATTGGCAGGTTGGTATTTTTTTTCAGCAAAGTATAGTAGATTCGTGCTTCGAGAATCACGGATTTCCGAAACTTCCATCAGAGCATAGCCAGATTGTGATCACGATTGTTTCGGTTACTAAGAAAAAATTCCATGAGTTCATGAGCTTCTAAGTGGAGAAGCGTGGAAAATCGTGTTAATAGAAATTCCCTTGATTATTGAGTGTGAGATGGAAGAAATCGCTGAAGAAGTTTTCGCGAAGGCAACCTTGGTTTCGTTTTTTGCTGAGATCCATCTACGTTATACAATCTGGTACACAGAAATGACCTATTTTACTCCGAAAATAAAAGGCACCAAGAAGTTTTCACTCCATGTGCCACTCGATTTTACCTTGCATAATGTGTGGGTGAAGAGGACAGGTAGAAAACCAGTATGACGTAGGAGTGACAAAAATTTACTGAACTATAACTGTGTGATAAAATCCGTACCTGTGTTAACGCCATGTTTTTAAGAATAAATTATTAGATCAGCTGTGACCGGAATTTAACTGCTTGGTGAGATGACGTGTACCAGATTTGGGAGCCAAGATCTGGAAGCAAACATCATCAATACATGCAACAACTCCGGCCAAACATCTACAATCCCTCTAAGTTCGGGGCAGATTCAGAATCCAAGCCATGCCCGTGCAAGGGAACATTACCATACACCAAGGCACGGACACTGGCATTTCAATGAATACAGCCACGCAGTGTAATGACCGCTTCATGCTCACGTAATACTAAAGCAAAACATGGATAAACGGCTCACGGTCTTATGGAAAAGATACACAAACAAATCTAAGAGACGAGATAAGCTATATCTTGGTTCAGATTCTGTTCATATTTTTCACCTGCTGCAGAGCGAATGGCAAAGCGAATACGCAAGTGGCGCCTGTGAATGCTACATAGGTAAACTTCCCCGGGGAAAAAAAGTGGCCAAGATAAGATGACTATTAATCCATACAAAAATGGGCTAAAGGGGTGGAAATGAGACAATAAAATCTAATGTAATAAGCAGGCAAAAATCCAGAGTAAAAATTTCACTCAAAAACACTATACACTGTTTAATAGGATGAATTCAGATAGATCACCAAATGTCTCCTGTTTCCTTTGGGTGGAAACAACACTAAACCAAACCAACTTCTAAGAGGAAAGCGAGAACAGAATGGACTAAAAAATCTGTTCAGATGGAGGCAAATCAACCCGAAACCAAAAACCTCGGTTGCAACGGATAGGGGAGAACTGTCACATCAGAATGCTACAGAGATTACACCTCCGAAGTAAAATCTGAATAAAACACACACGTTGAAGATGGAAAACCATGAAGTCCAAGGACAGTGGATAGTTTTGCTGATTGTATAGTCTGAGAAAAAGCCTATAATTCACAATCTCATCAACATGAATGCAGAATCAAAAGTAGACCTAATTAGAGGTATTTGAAAAACATTGAGGCGGAAAAATCGCAAATGCCTGTAAGAAACCTCTCACTACTTGATTGAGGTATATTAGACGAAATGAAGCGATTTTCCCCAAGGCAAGACCACTTTTATTCATTGAAAGTGGAAGGAATGCCAGTGTGCCTAATAATACCACTGTAAAGCAAATTACAGTCTGATTAGCCAAAAAAATGATTAGTACGCCATTTTCGAAAATTGGTGTTCTGATCCAGAGGGATGCAAGAGCTGCATATATCACAACGATTTTAAGTGGCCAAAAGTGGTTTCAGACAAAAAGCTCCATTGGTAAAAAAAACTGAGCTTAGTTTCTCCCATTCAGAACACAATTGTAATCAGGGCAACTGGAGACGCTCACCACTTTGCAAATCAGAGCTGCGTCAGTAGGATTGTAAACTCGACGAATACGAGTGATAGTTAGCGTCACATAGGTGCTTCCGCATGCTGCGAAACTCAACTTTTCTTCCGAAAACAACGGTTGAAGGATATCTTGGCCATCTAAATTCAAGAGTTAAAGTTAATGACATAGACTTGCGAAGAGAACGAACTGTTTTTCCCATCCGAAGTAGGTTTACCATTAAAAACAACTGAAGAAACAATCTCTGTGCCTGTCATGTCGTATTAATGTCACGTTTAACCCGATTAGTGGGTTTTTCAGTAAGCAAATTCAGTGGATTTAAACTTGTGAACTGCTACCATGACTCATAAGGGGGCCTTTATAACCTTGCAATGTATTGTACATGCTTCTCATTCGCAACATCAGTTGGAATCATGGCTGTAGCCTGTCCATTTCATTAGGTGAACGAAACGATTGAACTTTAAATCTCCGGCTTTAAAGTTCATCAAATAATTGCTGCAACATCTATAAAGCAGGCTGACAATTAATAAATAAAAATTATCCTGCTTTTCAGTTGCAATGTGTAGGTCATAATTTCTCCAATGTTGTTACTTTCCAGGTTCGAAAGACATATAAAACGGATTTTGTGATTTCATTCAACGAGTTTCTTCATCACAACTGCAACAACACTGATATGAGTGACACAACCGCTTCTCGTTCGAAAAAAACGTAAGTTTCAAGTCGAAACAGAGAAATTCGTGCTTAGTGGCGATACAGGACCATGGTGATTCCCCTGATTGCAAAGGATCCGAGTAACATCATACCCCTTTGTTCAGCCATCAGTCCCACGCCCTAAATAGTATCCACAGCTGGTTTCGTCCGACCGAAAACCTGGTCTAAAGAATCCCAACGAAACCCACGAGATGAACACATCCAAAGGAGCAAGTACACACTAGGGGGTGCTGGCGGGGCCTGCAGGCTGCCGATATATTCAGGTCCGAGAGCGGCGATGAGCGCAACCTGTCCAGCAGTCAGAGGCTCTTCCACTAACTGGAAGGGACCCTGACGCCAACGTAGACTGCAGGGCTGGTACTGGCACGGCGGAGTGCCCACAAACGCGCACACTGAGGTGTTGACGGTGGCCGATCCAGGAGGAGCAAAGAGAATCTGTAGGATTAAAAAGTAGCTAACTTATGATGATGAATAATCCATTCAGAGGGAATCGACAGCAAAAAGCATTGCATCTAAACGACCTATTAGAAATAAGAAAGCCACTCCATAATGCGAAACTACAAAATTTGATTAACAAGACATATGGACAGGGAGGACATAAATGATACAAAATGGAAGATAATTTGGCTCAGGCAACTTCGAGCGCCTTCGACACAGTTTCTAATGTAATCCGTAACAATTTTGATGCACAATTCCAAAGAATCCAGCAACGAGCAATCTTGCGGTACAGCGGCTAAAACATTCGCCAAATGATCTAAGACAGGTTAAATCAAACCCCACTCCTGTAAGTAATAGATGAACTGACTTTCAAAGCGAACAGTTCACCTCTTTGCAAGCCTCAAGAAATGAAAATTCAGGGGCGATGTAGAAGCGAGAAATATTTCACTAGGTCGAGGCAATTGAGCGAAACATGAGATGTCACCTCTTTTGGTTGCAGGTTAACGTGCCCTAAAACATTTGAAAGTAACCAAGGTGCATCATAAATCAAAGTCAAATTTTACACCACAACTAGTGTATTGCGTGCCGACATGCCTTAAATGAAGTCCAAATTACTGCGTGTCGGAGTCTTGAAATGGTATGCTTGTTACAATGGAGAAATAGGACGAAAAGACTCGTTTAAAATGTTTGGCCTATTTACGACCAGGAGGATGAGTGGAGTAACAACGACAATCTCGATTCGGCAAAGTAAAAATAAAGTGAAAAATCATACCGAAGACTCGGAGACGCTTCCTAAATAAGTGCATCAATTGCAGCGATCACGATTAAAGTAGTTCTAATTAATGTTGCGTAAAAAGACAACGCAGCCACTTACGTTTCCGCCAATATTTTCTTCTAGTAGCCAGTTCAAAATAAACCCCAAACCCTGCAACATTACTGTCAACGTGGCCTTTCTCCTAATTACAATGTTAGTTCTGTACGCCATTAGGTTGTGTCGGGCCTTGTAAGAGAAATTTGAGGCTCACTATTTTTATGTCGAACAATAAGTCGCCGAGTCTAATTCCGTTGGAGACCCACCACATGTACACACAACCTTCAGGAACTAAATTTGTGCATGCCTTGACGGCGTATAGTGACCTGTGCATCGCGCAGACCACATAATGTTCGATTCCACTTAGCAATAAACTACAATTCCTATTATAATTGAATTCAGTAAAGTGGCAATCTACAAATCGCAAGATTTATGTCAGAAGTAAGAAATTGAAGGAGGAACGTTAGCTAACTGTCGGCTACCAAGTTGTTTAGCAACTTACATAACTTCCATGGGCGGTGTGGGCACAAACAACTTGTTTCCACACAACCGAGATTAAGTTATCGACACTCTAATCTCAACTAGCCTTGGCACACAACAACAAAAATTCTACTTAGTCAAGAACAGAGGGTGGCTCTCAAACCTGATGTCAGCCATTTATTGGCGGTGCTTTCTACTGCCGTAGCTTTTCCAAATGCCATGTGACTATTACGGGACCTTTTCACAGCTTTAATGCGGCGTTTGAACTCGTAAAACGGACAGCCTTGAAGCACGCCGATACTACGTTATGAAGATTTGGAATGACAAGAGCAATATCGATCACAGAAAAACTTCCAGGTAGGCTATTCGACAGTCACGCCTTACAGTGCACCTTATCATTTGAATGTTTTCCATGTCTTAAGGTTAATCGAGTCACCACAAAAAGCCATACCTAAAACCAGGAAGGTTCCATTCTGAAAACACATGCCATCACAAAATGTATCCAACTGCTACTCCATGAAACAGTTTTTAAAGGCGACTTTAAATAACATTTTGTGGTTTTTTTACGACTGGCATCAAATCTTTATTGCCATCGGAAACACATTGAAAACAAGCCAGAAAAAAACAGTGTAAAAATTGGCACCAGGTTCGGGATTAAAACTTAAGGAAAATAGAGAGATTTGAATTTGATTAAAATGGAATGCGTGATTAGTCTCAACAGAAATCAGATAGATAAAAAGCAAGCATACTGTTACGATCAAAATGTGTCGGAAATGATCAATCAAAGGTTTGTGCTCAACGCTACGCAGCATAAAAACTTCAACTATGAGACATGAGAGCCGCCTGTAGCGTTTTTAAACCCTGAATGAGGAGGTCAAAGATGATTTAGGGAAAAAGCAAACCTTTAGAATTGCATTTATTTTAGCACCATGACCAAGAAGAAGCTAAAGTGATTTACTTGATTGGCCACTATGGAATTGTCAGCTCTGTCATACTGAGATAGTGAGTCACGCTAATCCCTTTCATCAACCCGTGTTCTGCGGTACTAGGTAATAGGCTCATTCACCTGGAAAACGCACTAGATCTCAATACAGGTGTAAAAGCAATATTGACTATGTTTGCTTGTGCAGATATTTTTAAGTACTATTTTCTGAATCCAAACTGTCCACCAATTGTCATCATTTCAGGCACTGTCCCAGTAATCTCAGGATCGAAATAGTAAAAAATAGAGATAATCTTAACCCAACTTCACGCGATCCATAATTCTTAGACGACTTATTGAAACGCATTAATGGGGTAGTAGCCTCTCAAAACGGAAAGCAGCCTCCATTTTATAGCCAAGTCTTCATTTCTCATGTACTAAGCAAAACAGAAAAATTATTGTACCAACCTTTTGGGTGCCAACAAGAGAGCCATCGAGATAGAAGCTGCAAAGACTGGTACGCACCACATTGGCCCGAGCAAAAACTAGAGCTACATGGCGCCATACGTTGGTGGTCCAGGTGGAGACACCGCTTGTAGTGAACACAACAGTGTGAGCGTCGTCACCTGTTAAGTTGGACGGGTCCAGAGCAATGTCTTTCGAGCGATGGTTGACACCCTCTACATGGAAAAGAGGCAGATAGGATGTTAAATAATAAAGATTTTTAAATTTTGACTGATGCCAGCGTCTAAGCAAGAGGCTGATTTATCACTTCCCGAGTATTTCTGCTGCACTTTTCAATGCTCTACAGGTTAAAAAACTTGAATAAGTTGAGCCAATTTAAGGTTAGACCAGCAACTAGATAACTCTGACTTTCAGCTCCTATGCTAAATAGTTCTGATCAAATACTTAAGAATCTTGAAAAATACGGCGAATAGGTAGATGCAAGGTAGGATCTTAAATTCGCTTACGCAATATATGCAACAAAATCAAAGGAGGTGATATCAATTAGAAACAGTTGGACTTTAAAAGAGGTCTATGACATGCCTGTCGGAAGCAGACGCTCTTTGGAAGAGACGACAAGTGACCGAGACTGTGGGTCTAAATGGATTGAGAGGCATATAAGTTGTTCATTTGTGCCTTGGACACCTTTGAAGACTGTCAAAAGACGCACTGGATGCGACACAACGGAGTCCAATGGAGGTGTTCCAAAGTTATTTACGCAGACCCAGGAGCAATAGGTGATTCCGTTAGTGGGAGGAAACGCGCGCTCACCTAAAGGATGGGAATCAAAATGTTTTCCGTACTGAGTATTCGAGAAAATCAAGAGAAAATGAGAAGTGTGCATCCAGTAAGTTTCACGAATATTTATTAATTGTGTGCTATTTCCATTACTTTGAAAGAAAGCATAGTGCAGAAAATGAATTTTGTGCACATAATGAAGTGTGTGCAGCCACTAATTTTCGAATATTAATTACTTTAGCATGAATAAGGAGCAAGATTTTTACAAAAGTGACTAACGAATAAAAGTTCCACTATCAGTACAAGTGTGTTGAGCCGACGTTTAGAACATCACTAACAATGCCGAATTTTCCCCGCATTCAAGTAATACAGATGAAGCCTTCGGGTTTAATTGGGTTTGCCGATTTCAACAGTTTTGATTACTCGGTCTAGCCCTTCCACCTCGCCTCAATTGAATAAAATACGGTTTCATTTGTCAATATCTAAAAACATAGCAAAGCGTAGTACAACATTACGCAGCAAAGCAAAGGCCATTGGTTATTTGCAAGTAGTAATCACGCACCCAGTGTACCTCAATTGGGAATAAACTTAGGGCAATCATTACTAAACCCACTTAACAATTTCTACTTCCAAATAAAGCACTTATAAATAACTCAAAAAGCTACCAGTTCGAGACTTTAACAAGCTTTCAATTTATTGATATGTGTTAATGCCTTCGACAGGATGATCCACAAAAGCGCCAGTCCTTCCACCATCGCATCACCACTATGCATAAAAATAGGGAATATTTCAACGTTTTCCGTGAAGTGGTGAGAAAGCATGAGAAACACAAAGTTATATGTCTTTTGTGAATATAATAATGAACATTATATTCCCCAAATTTATATGAGTGCTACGCAAGGTCAGTTCATTGAACATGTGAGACAGTTTCCTATGCTGGAGATGAATTAGAGCCAAGATCTCTCTAACTGGGTGGGATAGGGTAGTTTGCCTATTCCATCGTATTTGACGCAATTAATATTGCTCAATCTTTAAGAATTACAAAAAGGGCTAAATTCTGACCCCACACCCGTACAAATATTCCGATAAATTTATCAGCTCCTCACTTCCAATTGAAATTTATCGGCAGCTTTCTGAGAAAAATCATTTATTGCCAAGACGAAAGTGTCAGTGATGATGCGATTGGGTGCAGTTTACTACCTTGGATGAATTTTGAACCATCCTAGAGTAAATTGCTAAATCTTCCATTGACCTAGTGGTACAAGGGCTCAATATCTTTGAAAAGATCATAAAGTTACCACCAGGAGTAAAAAAGCAGCGATGATGATTTGCGTTTGCAACTCTTCTAAGTGCTGCATTGATTCAAATATACAACTGGTTCAAAATATGACATTGAGATGGCGTACCAACTCCTACTCCACCAGCACAAGTTGAACTTGCTCCACCAGTCGCCCCGTCACCACCAAATGATTTCACTGGTGTGACAATATGTTGAGGCGCAAGAGATGGTAGGAAGAGACACGCGAAACCCTCCATTGACATGTTGAACTCCACAAAGGCTGGTAGACATGTAACCCCGGTGGCCGTTACAGAAGAGGCAGTAGTGGTTGTGTACCGGTTTGCACCCCCACGCTGTCGCCATACAATTTGTTCGAGAAGATCGGTGATAGCAGGCAGTGCAGGGAGATGAAGAAGTGGAAGATCCTCAGCTTTACTGCCTCCCAATGCCGTACTGGCGTCGTCATCAGGTTTTGATTCAGAGTTGGTGAAAACCTTCATACAGGTGCCGTTAGACGATTGCTGATGCTCACAAAACTGACCAGAGAGACGTAGAAAATCCCTAGAGAGTGAATCGAATGGAAATTAGTTGTGAGGTGGAAACCGATTAAAAGGAATGGCACTAATTAATACCGCCACTAGTGAACTCGACATTAGGAGAAAAGAGTAGGTTCTAGCAAGGAGCTTCTGGGTATTCAAGGAATATGATATAAGTAGACACCAATAATAGAAATAAATATTGGGTGATGCAAAATCACATCAACTGTTGAAATGTGACAAATGATAAACGAAACCGATTTGCCGAGCGATAGAGGTAGAGCAGGTCGTCGTATACTAAGTAAACGGGTATAAGTGGTTTGTAGATGGTACTATCTTCCCGTTCAGATGTAACAACGTTATTTATCCGAAAAAGACCTTTAGTGAACTTTAAAAAAATGTGGCAATGCCCATTCCTAACATGAGTGTTCATTCTAACAGGACTGTTATTTTAAAGAATGGAACAAAACCCCACCTTCAGATTGTTTCAACAATTTTAGCCTCTAACAAAGGCAGATCAGTTGTTACTCACTTTGGTGATCAGTACTACACAAGGCTTTTCCTTGCCTGACTTACAGTCATTTTTAGTTGGAAACGATCTTTCAACAAGATCGTCTGCTGCAGAAAATTTTGCATTCATGTAAGCGAAACAAGTCTTGCATTCAGACATCCAAGTGCTTGAGCTTATGATTGTCTGCCGGTAACGACTTAGAACCTCAGACGGAATACATTCGACTGAACTTATGACCAAAAATAGAAATTGCCGAATTTTATGGAATAATTCAGATTTCATTTATTACAGCGTTGAATAAAAATATAGAGCACAATCAATCCGAATGCCTCGATTTGAATCCATGAAGGAAAAGTCCCTCCCCATAAAGACAGAGATGAAACGAGGCTAACCGACCATAAAAACGTCGAGAAACGGTACCTATTATATGTACAAAGCACAGGTTGCAGTTTTATGACTTTTATGTGTAATCGAAAAAATCGGCAGGGAGCCTACTAGGCTTTACAATTTTTTGACATTATGGCGCAAGAAAACTAATGAAGACAGAAGAAAATGGAAATGTCTTTAATCAAATTACTAATTTTGAAAGCGTTGGAAGCACGTAACTTGCGGATTTCAAAAACGATATGCTAGATTTCACCTGGATAGAAAAAAAATAATGCCTAATCCAAAAGACCAACAAAAATATCTTAACCGGTCAATACATTGATAAAAGGCAGAGGGGATGCAAATTGATTTGTCAAGAGCACCATCGATATTCTCGGTTGTAAAAAAATTTACTGCACAATAAATTGGGATCAATTGCACTATGTCTCTTAGAAAATATGATGAATGCAATACGCCTAAGAAATGTATCAAACCGAGTGCAAATGCCCAAGACGACGCATTCGTCGATATTGAAGTATTTGGCAGCAATTTAGGGAAGCATTCAAACGATGCAACGAATGGAGATTCCGGGAAGGAGGGCCTATAAAAGTGCTTTCATGGGAGGGTGTGCAAAATAATTCTTCAAATCCATATTTGTATTGAAACGGTGATGGAAAACTAGGCGCTAAAATGGCTGAGTACGTGTGCTAAATACAAATCTAGTCCGCAAGCGAACCTTCCTCGACAACTGGTAAAAATGAAAACCAATAACTGTTTTAAAGAAAAAAACTTGAACGAAGAATTTATTACTGTGAATAGGCTCTGCTGGTATTATAAAACCATAAAGATATTTCCTGAGAATATTTTCCGGAGGAACTAAGGAATCTGAAGGTGGTTGACTTATTTTATGGAATGTAAAGCATCGTGGAGGAATGCAATGATTCTATAACATGTCCAAAAAGCGAATGGTAAATGAGGAGGTTTTAGAGCGTTAGCATCAGCTAACATCATAGGTGCAAAAAGTTGGACATTTCCTTCGGAGCAGATAAATACCAAGGCAACAAAAAAGTGTTTGAAGGTTCCTGAAAGTAGGATAAATGAGAACTTTTGAGGTGCATGATTAGAAAATCAGGTCCAAAATCGACAGTGCTTTCTTATCCTACCCAAATAATTAAACTTAGGCCAGAAACCCACAATCAGAAGAGTGTGCAATGTATGCCCAACAGTGTCACAATGGGTAGATTCTGATTAAATTTTGTAAAAACGAACTCAGAAGAGATATCGAAATCTTGAGTAAATTGCCGTGACAGCATGAAGTTGCATTTGATAGGTTACAGTTGGAAAGCATCACCGATGACTACATTTCATCGAGCTAATCTCGAAGTTTTATGATAACAGGCAAAAATCTTTCCATTGACAATTTTACAGGCATGCCTTTTGATGTAAATACCGAATACGCAAAAAGTGCACGACTTGAGACTCTCAATAAGGCTCTGCAGACCTAAAGAGCATGTCTAGAAATCTAAAACCGTTGTAGTGGAAAGGTTTCAAATAAAATTAACGTCAAGTTAAATCAGTTCGATACTTCCAAGACACATTGGCGGAGTTATTCAAACACTAGTAAGAAGCAATCAGTATGTCAAGCAGTGAGTCTTAATGAGTCTGCAAAATGGGAAAAAATTACGATGGAAGTGCCGACAGAAGTAGATAAGAGGGATCGAAAAAGAGTCCTTCTTCAGTAAATTGGTCGTAATACCGTCAACTACTGAAAACTTGTCTTATAAATACTGTCACAAGCTTCGACTGTGAAACAAAGGCTAACAATGACCATCACAAAACACTCCCTCCACAATCCAGAGCTGAAACTCACAAAGCCTTACCGAAAGTCTCGAGGTGTGAGGGATTGAGCAGCAAGAAGGGAAAAGAGAGCAGCAACAGGTCCATGAAGGGGATGTTGAGAGGAGGCCAGTGCAGGTCGAAAGTGTACCAATAGGGCGCGTGGCATGCCCATGCTACCTACGCCAGGGTCGGTGATGCCTCCGCCGCAAAGAAGCTGCTGACTCCGTTCCGACTCGACTACAGCGTTGAGGAGTTCCAGACTGAAGTACTAGTGAAAAGGCAAATAGGTAAGAAGTAATTTTATGCCTAACAGCCATCAACGTTTCAAGGACAAGCAACGCATGCATATCCACCGTTCCCAAAACTAACACGTTCAAATGGAAATTCTACATGTTTTACGAGGATGTGAGCATCACATTAAAAATATCTCATCCTTTGACATGTAATTATAAAAAACCGGGATCAGCTTTAATTTGAAAACACAATTAGGCTTGGCTTTTAGAGTAGTTATTTTGGAACACAGGTGATGGAGCACACAAGACGTAAGAAGTAACCAAAAGATCTGTGCTCATGAAAATAACGCTAAAATTATACCAATGTTCCGGCTTGGGAGTTTTCTATCATGAGAAGACGGTGACGAGTTCAAGGCAGGTTCAGTGAAGGTGAGCATCGCTTTCTCTTGTTGAGTACATCTTTACTAGAAACGTCCAAATATAACAACGCAAGCATCAATGGTATTATTAACATCATTCCTTAGGGATGCAACTTTCCAGAACCGTCCCTATTCGTCGTGCCGTCATTACTGTTCTGAGCAAAGTAAACCTTCTCCGCCCGTAAACCGATTTTTCACCAGTAAGCACCGGACATTTTAAGGGGAAAATTGCCAAGTTTATTGGAGGAGAATTCTGAGAACATTCCTTACATTTCTTGTAGAGATTACCGTATCTGAGTGTCCACAACGCGACGTGTTGCAATAATAACACCAAACAATGCAATTCGTTTACCAAGGAACAATTAAAGAGCATTACAAATATACGACCTGTATAGAGTCGAATTTCAGACCCGAAATGTACTTTGCTAGATTGAAAATATACTCGAATGGCATTAATGATGGGTAAAATGATCAAACAAAGCCAAAACAATGAAAGATCCACAAATCTTCTTCTTTAAGTTACTCAGCCTGCTTACCTGCAAATTCAGAGTGGCCGCCTTATACCCTTGAACCTGTACTATAGCAGGAATAAGCCTCAAAATAGTAAGAACGGCTCCAGTATGAACAATGGAGGGAGGAGTGGAGAACAGGCGTCCACTGGATCCGTTTGTCTCACTATCAAGCGCATTTGTATCTGCGTCCAGGGAATTTCTACAGCAAGATACTCAAGCTTAAGACCGCTAGCACACAATAAACAAGCAATAGGCAGTGCAATGTCTTGCCTGTCAAACTCGTCCAGCGCCATGCCAATGAGGTAGCGAAAGATGAGGCAAACATCAAGAAGAACCGTTGGAATGTCGGCAAACTGATCCATTTTTGTCGTCTGTTCCAAAGCCGATGGTTCCAGGAAGGCCGCTCGAAAAGTCGCCAGCAAGTGGTTGTCGAGATTAGGGCTGATTTCACCCGCTGCATCACCACTGTTGGAGGTAACGGTGGAATCATCGAGGGACGAAGGTTGGCATTTAGGTAAAACACTGCTTGTTGGGGCCGAAAATATAGCCGTCTCCTTATTGAAGCAGCCCAAAAGACGGAGAGCCTGTTCCAAGCTCTCAAATTGCAACTAAAAGCAAAATAGCCGTTACCACTAAGTATAAAATTATAAGAAAAACTAATGAAGCATGCGGTCAGGTAGCACCAGAAGGATCACCTGGGTCGCATACGGAAAACGGAACCGATGAAAGACCTAAATGGGCAGCCAAAACAATTGGAGCACGAAGAAACCTTAACGCACCTATAAATTGGAATCAAATTCATGCGGATGAGAGATTTGACACCATAGGCAAAGGCTAGATTTGTTTCTATGAGTTTTTGTACAATGAAACAAGAAACAACCTACATACGGAATTATCTTCCACGAAGCCATGAAAAAAGGTAGTGGACGGAATTAATTAGTACCATCTTTGACGGTTTCATTGTCCCTAATTACCATCGTGGTAGACAGCACATGGTGAGCAACTACAAGTGTTGTCACTAAAAGACGTCGATAAGCCAGACTTTTGCAATTAATACCTCATAAACATTAAGTCTACTACAGAAACGCGGAACTCCGAACATACCATCACGCCCTTTCATGACATCATAATAAATTCATAAAGACTCCGACGCTTAGTTGCATATTATGCCACGATTTTATGTTGAAAATAAAGTTGGCACAGCAATACCGCCTGTGCCAGAACAAGTTCAATTTCCATAACAGAGACTAAGGAAACGGCTGCAATGATGCCCTAAACTTGTCTTCGAAGCAGAATAAATGCTTATCAACAACCGATAAGGTCAACCCATGAAGGTGTGTTTCAGAGTTTTGCCAACAATGGTCCTAAAAATCTAACCTCGAGCAGGTCGAATACATTACTTACGGTTAGCTAAAATGATAAGTTAAAAAGTGGATAAAAACTGACAAGTTTAAGTTGGCAACATTTTGCGTTTCGAAGTCAGTAAATTATAGGGAAATGCTTAATTGCTATGTCGGGCAGTCATAGTGCCTAACGAATGCTAGCTTAATGAACACGAACACATGATCGTCTAACTATTGAAATACTTGAACTTTAAGCCTAGCAAAATTTAAGCCATTACTTTGTTATTAAAAACAACCGGTTTTCAAGAGTGCACTAATATCATTTCATGGACGCCTTAACACAGGTGCCAGTGAGTGCCAAAATGATAGTTCTGTCTGAAAGCAAACGAATTTTGAACTTGCTGCCAAAAAAATTGGGATTTCTTGCAAGAAAAGCGGGTAGCTTCACCTATTTTAACAACAGCCTTCAATTAGAGAAGCAAATTTCAAGCATACATTGTACAAAACTGGTTTAAGGAGATGGGACGGCTAACTTCAGTTATAGGCAAATCAGAATGATTGAAAGGGGTATGAAAAGTCTTCACGACACCGAGGAGAGTGGTTAATCTGATGACAAATAGACAAATTTTATGGCCCCACAAACATTGCAGTTTTAGTCCACCAACCAGGGAAAGAAAAGGTAATTAATTCATACCTCAACAACAAAATGTTTGGCACTAGCCGGTTCGAACTTCATGGCAATTGTGAGCACTGCGATGACACCCTTAATGAGCAAAGTCAGCTGGCATTTCTTATCCATCCCCAAAATTGCCTCCGCTTCGTCACTGGGTAATAGGCAACCATTGAGAAGAACAAGTTGGTGAATGATTCGCACGGAGCCGTTGCATTTGCGAAAGATGGTTCTGCACCGATGGGAATCACGTAGAACGTTACAGAGAAGCCGCAGTACCTACAAGTACATTTCTAAGTACCGAAACGTGAAAGGACAAAATCCTCCGGCGTAAATTTGACAATGAGCTAACTTCGATTCGAAGATCAACGGTTGCCGAAGGAAGAACGTCCAAGAGGCCTAGAAGTTGGTCTTCCGTAGGCGAAACAACCAAGATCTCATATAGGAGACCAAGGGCATGTTTAACAACCCTAGGAGGCAAAGCTGGATTAGGTAAAAGACGGGCGAGGACACAGTGTACTCCTTTGAGAGTTGAAACAACGAGAATGTCGGGCGCGGACTGGTAGACAGCGGCGGTAAGCAGACGCAAAATTGTGACAAGAAGGTCAACTAGAGGCGTATCCGCGGCCTGATCCGTTAGATCATAGAAGGAGGGTTCGCGAACAGTCAATGCGGCAGTAGAAGTAGCGCCTGAATTGAGAGAAGAAGCGGAAATGAGTGAAGTTGATAGAAACAACATGATTTCCCTTGCTTCGACCAATCTGAAGGTGAGTATGACCTTTACCGAGGGTTTCGTGTGTTCCATTTAAGTGAAACCGCTTATCAGTCACTTTGCTGTTTGCTTCCATATAAATGGAATTGAAACCAAAGCAAATGGCTATCCTGCAATCATTACTTCAAGTTTAGTGAATTTTTATCCAAATTTAGCTATATACAGGCGAACTACTCCCCCGTTAAATTTCTTGGCAACGCCACCAGTAGAAAAGAACGTTTCCATAATAAGCATCAAACGGAATCATGTGACGAATGTCGGAGAAAAAGCAGCAGAATGGCATTTAATGTAATGTTTTCCGTGCAAAATAAAAAGTTACAACGGCAATTACTATGGTCGACTAATTAACACTTGCTAAAAAAGACTCACTTTTCCAAGCAGTGAAATATGAACACTTTAGGATAGAAGGAAGCCCAAAATAAGTCAACATATGGATTCAAGTGACGAGAAATACGTCAAAAAAGTGGCAGTTCCCTAGCAAATCAAGAGAGACACAAGTGTTTGACACACTATTACTCTAAACGTGTCGATCAAATCTCGATACTTGACTCATGCTTTGTATTATTCAAAAACTGACTATAGTTTTGGACCTAACTACGCAGTTCCATGAATGGTACCCCAAATAGGTAAGAAAGTCAAATGTAGCATGATAAGTAACGGCAAAATTTCGCCAAAGCTCACCAGATCCACCGTCCGAAAAACGAAACATAGTGTCAGCGCATCTCTCTAAGTGTTGCGTGGTGACTTCCAGGATGCCGACATTCCGATAGAACTCTTTCATTGTCGGGAAAGTGATAATCAAACGAAGCAGACAGGAGAAGGCGTACTGTAGACAGGTGGGATACCTGTCGAGTGGAAGAAATAAGGGGAGATTGTGAAATGTGTGAACGAAGAAATTGTAAGTTAAAGTATGTTAAACATACCTGCAGTTTCTTAGCAAGAGCGCAACACTGCTTATCTCCTGCAGCGGCACATAACAGAGGTGTTCAATAAGTGAGGCGAATACATCGAAGAATGTTTTCTAAATGAGTCAAAAAGTGGCGTTCAGCCCATAAGCATGGTGGTATAAACGAAGTTACGGCTTAAACTCAGACTTTTAACAGGCAGTAGAGCAAGTAAATTCAATGGCTTCGAAGAAATAAGTTAATGCACAAATGTATATATATGGAGACGTCGAAAAAACAGTCTTGGTGAGAACTGCTGATTCCAAACATAGTCTGTACCATCAGCAATGAGGGTGCAGACGGGATTCAGTTAGATTAAACTGTTCCAAATTGAAAATTACCAAAGGTAAACAATTGACGCAAAACAACTCAAAATGTTAGGCATCAAGTTGAACAAGAGATCGCAGTAAAATAAACCGTTATAAAGCCTCTCACATAAATGTATTTAAGAATTCTAAACACAACAGGCGCATTTAAAATCAATCCGGCCATTCTACCTTCTATTTTTTTAGATAAGCACAATGAAAAAATTTAGCCTCCTTGTTCCTTATACCGCTTCGAGGAAAAACAAAGCACCAGACCTAGGCAACCCCAGTGATTTAAAACGGATGGCATTCCCAACAAACGATCTACAACCTACCAATCTATGCGGATTTTATGTTAGGGACCAGTCAGGTTGCCTCAAACTGTAGACTAATGAACTTCAAAAGGATACATAGCGCAAGTTCACAAATATTATCAACGCCTCAAAACATTTACACTTTACGTGTGCCGTAAGGGATTCCTTGAATGCTGTGAGAAATGCTCAAGATTTAGGGATAACACGGTAGATATTGAGAAACTAAGCAGAATGCCATTATTTTTGGGAAATACAATTTTAACGGTGCAGTTTGTGGCTATAAGCCTCTAGGCGATGTAAACGTTTTCATGGCTAGCTCAAGAACAATAGGACGAGATTTTAAAAGGAAAATATTAAAATTAAACAATAAAAGTAAGCTGAGCGAGTACCTGAACTGAATCGGGCTTGGTGGCGATTACCTCAGTGATGCTGCTGATGAGATGATGTTTATCGAGAATGAAATAGTTCCCCGGCGAGCGCTCGTGAAGATCTCGTATACGCTCTAACAACTCATTGCAGAGATTCGCAGAGCGCGCCTGAACAAAGGTCACTTGCAATGTGTCAATTGCCCGAATATTTCGGATGGCCTCCCCTAGGCACCAGCGAACAGAGGAAATCGAAAAGCATTACTCTAAGGCTTGATACAACCAAAAAAGATTGTCTTGATTGTGAAAGAGACGGCACTGCTCATTATTGAAATAAGCCTCAAGAAAGGGTTCTAGATCCTCAAAGTATACACAGTATTCCAGATGCATTCGTCCACGACAGCAACTTGTGTCCTCACTTTAGGCTTTTTCCAAATAAAGCCTCAAGCAAAAGTCGTCACTCAATACGAACTCGACTAATCAGTAATGCTAAAATGAACCTCGTAGCTCCCTCAAGTCCTAAGAAGAGGCATCAATAGCCACAAAATGGTGGCTTTATTGTTATTGTCCACATCGATGATTTAGTAGTTCTCCAAGACTACCTGACATAATTTTTGCTGTCATCTTTTCCTTCAATTTAAGCAAATCTGTGGTTTGGAAAAGTAGTCAGTGGAAAAAGAGGACCAAAAGCAGTCCAGTGATCTATGTGGTGGTGAGCTGTAGCACTGTAATCGTATTCCGTATTGAATCGCACTAAGACCTGTTCCATCATTTGCAGTTGCTGTGTGAACAAGAGCAAAGCACTAAAGAAAGACTGAGCCCTCCACAGAACACTGAACAAACTAGGATCAGAGTGGCTTAGAAAATCCAAGCAGCCATCCTGCATGTGTCCAATAAATGTTGGCAAAAAAACTTCACAATCACATGCTTTAACCAACTATTGGATTTTAGTTTAAAAGAGCTCCCAAACGAACCACCAGCTCCAGGAAATGAGATTACCAAACTTCTGTAAAAAGACGCCATTCAAAGGAGTTACTGAAGAGGAGGGAGCAAGCACGGGTAACCTGACCATAATCCTTCCCTTAGAACAAAATATAAGTAGACAATGCAACAAACCGTGACCAGTAGACGGGAAAGACCAAAAAAACACAGGAACATAAGCACAAGGACGTTTCGTGTACTGGCTAATGTAGCTCAAGCTTATTAACAGGAATCCTGATTACTGCTAGTAATGTGCGACTGTTTATAGTGGTAATTTTCATTAGACGATCGGCGAGGCATGAAGAGACATTAGCATTGGGAACCAAGCGCTCACAGCAATTCCCAGGAGGTTTAATTTTCTTTTTAATTACCTGCACTAACTACTTTATTAAAAGAAAGAATAATGCGAAAAGAGTGTTTAACAGACTTTCAGTAAGTCTTCTGCTTTCGGCAGAGGGACGTAAGAATTGTAAATGAGTTATGTTTATTCAATAATTCACTTTTGCTAGCAAAAAAGGTTGTGCTACTTTCCCATCCAGGTGCTTATAGGGATTATTTAAACGCTTTAATATGACGTAGCTAAATACGGAATTTTAATTTTTTCAAGCTCAAAATTGGTTTACAGTAAGTACTTCACCGAACGCACTCAATGCAAGTTTGGTTCCGCTTAAGAGTGCGTTTTTGTTGAAATTCAGCAAAACTTGGTGGCTAAAAGGGATTTGCAAGTGATAGTTGTTAATACTTTAAGAAAAGATGGTATTCATACGAGAACTATGCCAACAGGAACCATCAATGTGCAATCAAAAAAAAAACAACGATTTCACCGCAATATACAATTGGGGTAGCAGTACAGGAGACGGTGAGCCGTATTCTAGTGGCTCAAAACTCAGTCAAAAATTCAATACCAAAACTCACCCTTGACCTTGGGAATGGTAAGCTGAAAGCCGGGAAGTTGGAATACTTCAACTATGGCACTATTCTTTGCACGTAACTCTTTTGAACCCACGTAGATGAGATCACCCAAGAGGCGGGTTAGGCGCTGGCAAAATACCTGTGCTTCGTCACTCTCCTCCAATTCGTACCTGAGCAGCAGGATAAGAAATCACGGGGTTAAAAGCACTAATTTAGATGGCATCAACATGTTAAGCTTATTTTATCGCACATTTCATCTTGACGAGCATTTCTGCATAACGGCTGCAGTAAAAAGGATCCACAGAGATTCAGGACTTATGGCCGATTTAACCGAATGGTGGATGAGATGTGAAGTGGTGACATCGTCCCAAATGTTACCGACTGACTTTAAAATTAGATTATGCGTAATGGCATTCATTACTGCAGCACAACTTTATCAGATCAGAGGTGTAGCGAAGCAGCCATACTAAAGAAAAGCCTTTGAATGTTCTATCTCTTTGAACAGGATGCCTTAGAAATGATGTAATCGCTTTATTTCCATCATCGGCTAGTAAAGAAGGGAGGTTCGAAGAATAGGAGCAAATCCTGTAGGAGCTAAACGCATCTAACTTAGCAGGGAGCATCATGTGAGGCATACTGATTAGCACGCCTTACAGACAATGGATGACAAAATTAGTGAAAATTAACGCGACTGGGATCATAAGGGCCTCATCTGCTCCTTAAGGTGAGTCAACATTGGCCAATATCTGGAAAGATTACGAAACTGATTCACTGACCTTAATGACAGCTCATAAGACGTATTATTGAAGTGGATGATAACGAAAGACAACCAATAAGCCTTTTGCGACAATAAGGGCTAAAGTTAATTGCAATGAAAGACCGGAGAGCATGATGAGAGCTTAAAAGTGCATCCAAATGGAAGATAAATTTAATTTGTGGTTATCCATAAAGAAAGCGATCCACAACATGCAACATGTCAGCAAAAATGATAACATTTGTCCTTTGCTACCGGACATTAAATAACCTAGCTTTATGCTATGAAAGACAAACTTAAATATGATTCACTATTTGATGAACGGGAAAATCGAATGTTCCTGAAACAGTGAAAATAAACGCCGTGAAACTTTTCGTCCAGATAAATGTAACATGAGGTTAAGCTCTTTGCCAGTTTCTAGCTTTCCACAGATTCGGCTGTGCCACATTCAATACCACCTCTTCCAAAAACAACATCGCTGAATTCAACCTTCTGGACAGTTTCAAAAGCGAAATATTCCACACAGACGATAGTAAAAGAAATGAGGTATGAAATTTAAAGTTAATAGCACGTCCACGTACCACAGATTCTTCTGAAAAAGTGGGCACGAATGCAACCCCAGCTCCTTATTCACAGAATATTCAAAGCCCCAGCCTACTAAATTATGTTTATATATTTGCTGATAGCTGGAAAACGACTCCGTTCATGTTTTCGACTATTTACTCATGAAAAGGAAAATAGCAAATGAACGCTTCCATGTAATACGCTATGACATCGATAAACTCCAATACGTTACGACATTTTTTTTTCCTTAATTACACGGAAGCCCATAAAGAAACCGTTGCTAAAACTGAAGATGCCCTACATCTGACTGCTACCTCCAGCACATGAGCACCTTATGGAAGTTAGCATATGTACACTGAAGTGTAAAGCGTTAGGCTACTTCAATTTCAACTCATCATGCAACAGACTCTACCGGAGAATTTCTGTAACGATCAAAAATTAGATGCGATATAATGCATCATCACCATCTGGGTTCGTGGCTTAAGAGGAGCAAAATTGAAAGAAAGTGCCAGAAAGAACAGTCAATGCCCTTGCTCTTTTCTGACTGACTGAAGCGCGAACGAGATCGAAGAATTTAGGTCACCAGCACTCTTAGGTTTCGCCAAGAATTTCCGCGTTCGAAGGTTAAACTCTCAGAGGTTACACTGTAACTTTTGCTGGCCATGCCAAAGACGCAATAGACGCATATCTGGGTTAGTGGTCACCCTCATTTCAACTGTCAGCTACAACAGTCCTCATGCAACCATTTCATTTAATATGGAAATACCCCGCGCTCAGCTGACCATCGACAGCAGTGAAAAGATTCCAGACCATATGCTCACCCTACCAATTTTTACGTATAAGTTAGGCGCCAAAAATGCTACAACATCCGTTGGTATACCCAACCCAGCACAGCCTTTGGTTCCAATGCATGATTGACATTCTGATACCTCGTCGATACGGATGGAAAAACGGCACAACATGTCATTCCTTCTTTGTCTAGCACAGTTTGCAATGTAAACTTGAACTCCAATGCATAAACATGTTGTACTGTGGAAAAACGCTGATGTTATGAATACACGTCTGTCCGTCTAAGTAACACGGAAAAAAGTCTGTCTAAACAAAGTTTGAATTCTCACAAGACGAAAAGGAGAGTAAATAATGATGGAAATTGAAATCAGCAAGGCTCGAAAAGGAAAGCATATGGTTTTTGCTTGACTTCAGTGGAGAATGAAAGGCAAAGAACCAACGTATGTATAGTGAACGGCTTGAATGAAAAGACAAATTAGTACAGAGATAAACTGTTCTGCAGGCCAAAAGGAGAACAGGACAGGATCGAAGTAGTTTATTTGAAACTCCGCACTGCGATGATAAATACGGCTCTGCGGGAATTCAAACAGTAAAGCCTGCATGTCCAAGGTGCTGACATTGACGAAATTAACTTAGCAGGTCGATAAAAGAAATATAAAACTGAGCATATTCAATCCAATCTGTCTGTTTCATTACCAGACCAATTGTCAAAGCCGAGCTTAGAAAACGCGAAAAATGCAACTCGTGTGCATTATTTCTGACACTGTTACAACATCCTTTGGTTCCTAACAGACAACAGCTTAAAACATCTGTTTGGTTAAATTACTGAAAAGTACAACACCTTTGAGGATGTTTGCTTAAGCCTTAGTCTCAACAACATTGACACTCGAACTTCCGGATTTGGGTTTTTGCTGGGTGACGCGACCTTCAGGTCGTATCGGCACCTCCTCTACCGTTCGGTACTTTGACAATAAACCTTCTGCACCAGCAATATACCTTCCTTCCTTCCTTTACGAGAAAGGCTCAGAGTGCTACAAAAGTACGCTGGATCGCATTCGAAGTAAGAAGACACCCATTAAGACCAACAGCTCGAATCCATGTGGGATGTGTCAAAAGGGGAGCAACGGAAAGCTAGAATAAAATCATCCAATATCCCATATTGGAAAGGACCAAAAGTGCAACCAAGAGTAAACCAATAGTTGCAATTAGGTAAATGACTTCCCAAGTCTACGCCTTGCAACGCACGAAGGCAGTATTACAGCAGTAGAGAATGTGTTCACAACGGGCACGCATTTTAAACAGATGTGGTTTTCGCTGGGCGATTGGAATACCTTAATCTTCACCAACAATGCATCGTTTAGGTAGTGCAAATTCAAATAAGCCTCTGCAAAAAGCGGATTTCCCCTAGTGTGGGAGTTGATCGTCTCAAAGGTAATGGTAAAATTTTGGGTGTTGTAGTACGTTATTAATCAACTACTGGTTTATAGAATCATTGAATTTCAAAAAGTGATTCTTCTCTACCAATGTATCACAAAAATGCAGTCGTTTTGAAGAGAATTGCACCACGCCTTGCTTTTAATGAATGAGATTACCGGAAAGACAAGACTTCTCCGAATAAAAATACGATGTATTTGCCCGTAGAGGGGCCTGTCATTTGTTGTAATAACAATATGAGTAACTTCATCACCTTTCGTGCGTTCCAAAGGGCATAAATTTGTTTTTCCCGACCTTCCATTCCGCTACATCGTAATCTGCCTTCACTCAACAGTCGAATGAAAGTGGGCAAAGATAGTTCGAGCCATGTGCTGCGTGTTTGTAAATTAGAATCAAGAAGCAACTTTGTTTTGAAAGGCAAACTACCCCATAAAATGGCAACCAACACAGAAACTGGTTAGAAGATGAAAAAAGAACTAGCGAAGAAAATTTCACATCCTTAATGGGATAGCAGGTCACTCTGAGGTTTGTCACCTCAATTTTAAAATCCGGTTGCTTTAAGATAGAAGTGCAAGAAGAAAAGGCAGGAGACATACTAAGCGAAGCAACAATAAATTTTGAACTTAGAGCGAATGAAAGAGGCAGACGCTAATTGTATTCATATGTCTATAAAGGCGGATACTTATGCGTAGAAAAAGCAATAAAAGGACAGTAAGGAAAAGAGACGAATAAGCTCTGTGAGACCATTCACTTGTGAGAAACTGCCAGCATCGCATCTGGCATCTTAATTCAGTAAATTGTACTTAGATTTGGTTAATTTGCGTTCAATGCCATGGTGACACAAACAATGCCCTTTGGGAGGCAAGGAGGATTGGATCTGTCTCGCATACAGAAAGCCAACAGGCATAGAAGAACACCAACAGTGACATACTTCAGACCTGCCGATGGAAACCATAAATTACCTACGATATTCACTACTTCAGAATTCGGTTAACTTGTTTTAATTGGCTTTCGATCGCTGCTTTGGCGAAGCGAGCTAATAATAATGAATATAATAGATGCTTGAAAGCCCACACAAATAGTGGACACTAGTACGGAGAAAATAAGGCCATGAAAACAAAGTGTTTGACAAAGACGAACCTCATCCGTCGATACATTTGTGAAGGATGTAAACTAAAGCAGCATGAAAAGTCTCAATAAAAAGCTCACCAATTGAGCTTGGAATAGCGTGAATTCACATCGTAATTCAGTACTATATCCTATTGAGGTCCCATATCACGATAAAAATACGCGCACGAACTCTGGTGATCCTAACGTGGCGAACAACGCTGACATGATCATAGAAAACATCAGGAAAAGCCAAGTGCTAGATTCTGGAGGAGTCGAGGTACCAGTAAAACGAAGATAACTATCAACTGAAAATGACATTATTTGAGACAAGGTTCGAAGGGTGGAGAAAATGCGCATTTAATACAACTGAATAAGGAGTTCAACGGGTCATCGGTGTATGCGAGGCACGCTGCTACCCTATTCCTCAATGTGGTAATTATGGGCACGGAAGATGGGGAGGGTACAAAAGAAGTCAAACATAAAAGCGCTTGCTTAAACTGTTGATCGCCGCTACAGGACTAGCAGTCGCCAAGTGAAATCCTCGTACCGGCACTTAGGAGCTAAAAGAACCCTTTGGTAATGGCGTAAACACAACATTAAAACGCATTTCGACACAATTTCGACAAAACTAACTTTTTACCAAGCTTTCAGACTAATCATATTGGCGATAATATTGTTATTAGTAGGATTAACGCCTTAAATGTTTGAAAACAAGTGCTTCTGTGTGATACAAGGAAAAAAGTACCCCGCCCCAAGAAAAATAGGGCCAAATTAACCTTCCAATTGCAAAAACCAGTTTCGGATATAATTTAGGGAAAACGCAGAAAGCTAAAGTAGGCACATTTGATCTTAAAGGGTCATTAAGCAAGTTGAAAGCGAAGAACTTGGCCTGCTTACTAGCAAAAATTCAGATAAGGGAAGAATCGTCGCGCGCGGAGCCTTCTAATGACTAGAACCAATGTAATTTTCAGCAAAAAACAGATGAAACATGTGCGGATTATGCTTGCTCGAACACTACATTCCGTAAGTAGGAGGGAGGCATCAGTGAAAACGAACTTACTTAAGTAAATAATCAGTGATTGTACTGTAGCCACCAGCGGCATGAAAGTCATCCAACAAGTGGGAAGTTGTCGACGAAGATTCAGACAGTATTTGGAAAAGAGATGACAACGCCTCCATAGAGTCGGCTTTGGGGAGCTGCATTTGTTTCAACCGCTCCACGTAATCGGTAATACATCCGGCATCTAAAATGGTAAATCCGAACATCTCCAGATATAGGCCGAAAAAAAGCGACACACAAGGAGAAGGAATAACTGACCATGGATATACTGGATTACGTGCGGTGTTAAGCAGTTCTGTGCCAGAGTGGTAAGAATCGTGCAGCTGCTTTTGCGCCAAAAGGCGTTTGCAGACTGGCAGGGGTCCACTGCCGCACTTAGAAGGTGTCGTAAGGCGTCAGTGTTGACCATTTCCTCAACAGCCACTGACGACAGACAAACATGCTGCAAGAGCTAAAACAAGGAAGCTAAATAGTTTTAGATATTTCCTACCTGGGTGAATTTACACTGTAAATGTGACCTATCCTTTAAAGAATCCGAATTTGGAAGAGCAGGCAGGTCAAGAAAAATATAGAGACACTTGACAAGAGTTGAAGGGACGCCGGCTGCAGACATGCATTCCAAGAGGCTTGCGCTGCAGGAAAGTTTCTCCAGAGTGAGAAGGAGAAGATTACCGCTCGGCACTTGACTAAAAGAAGGACTTGTCGATGTATCTATAAGCTCCATGGAATCTGACAGCCCATCTTCAAGAAAAGCTGCTATTAATTTGCTTCCATCCTCTATAAAAGTGTAAGAACACAAACGGAGAACCTGAAGTTTGGTCGATGGCACGGATCCGTATTTCTTTCACAAACAGACTTGAAACGAAAGCACAAAAAATGTGAACATCAGGAAAGTATTCAAAGATGTCTGGGAAAGTAGAAGAGTGGAAAATCTACAAAGTAACATGAAAGGCAGTAACTATACCTCGTTAAACAATGGGAGGGCATCGTATATAAATTCTTCTTGTTTCGCAGAATCACGACACTTTTTGCAGGACAAAATCAGTTTATTGAGCCTGCACACATTTATTTGATCACTTTCTGATAGCTGTTTACATGGTTTTTGTAAACTAGAAAATGACTTCATACTGCAGCCCAAAATATTAAAGTGGGTACCTTTGATGAAGGCCTAGTGAAATCAGCCACTAGGGGAGTTTATGTATTACAATGCCTAACTATTTATGAAAATATTATCACATTTTAATTTGTTTATTTTTGTCTGTATGCTTAAAATTCGTTTTACTCATATGCCTTACTTTGTCATTTATCAGGCATTTTCGCTGCTTTATAGGAAATGCTTGGATCTTCATTCGTTGGTAAAGGTATAATTTAACATCATTTGTTATGTACGTTCACTGATGAAACTTAGAAAGTAGTTAGCCACCTTGGCTTTTTTTCAAATTCCTTAAGGAGCTTACCATGGTATCGCGTTTTGCGAGTCAAAGAGCATTTAGATCCACATTTTTATTATAAACAAATTTTGCCTAAGCGTCTACTGGTCAAAATCATTGGCATAGCCATCGTCGAAGGTTCGGTAACTATTTGCCATGAATTGAAGGCGCATGAGGCAACCCTCACTAATCTTCTTGGCTGGAGGTGGTTTAAACTTGGGCAGGCAGTCACGCTCGCAAGTCATTTTTATTTCCTCTCCGCGTTTCGAATAGTAATCCGGAACTCGGTAGACAAATTCATTAAGCAGACGTGCCGGATGCCTTTCCCAAAAGTCGGTCAATTCCTCTGATCGCGGAATCAAATTGTGGCGATTTTCATGGTAGTAAGGCGTGTAAAAAGTCTATTTTAGGAAAAGCAGATAATTTTTAAGCAATGACAATAAAACTACTCGATGCTGCTAAGTAAATTGTCGCATTTCACCGATTACAGGGTAAAAGTTCAAAAGCATTTTAGCTAACTTAAAATCACCACTGTAAATAATTGTCTTGAATAGGCCTCATGAATCATTTATGTTTACCTTTGATCGTCGGTTAGACTAGGTGGGTTGCTTAACTACACCGCTCTCGATTGCGTTCTAGCAGTCACGGTAGGGTTCAGATTGCCGCACACGCGAACTTTAAAAGCTATTACCTTTCTAATATTCTCCACACAGTCATTTGGCGAATTATACCAGTTGTCCTGCCGAAATCCTCTTCTATCATGCATCCATAACCGATAGGGGTCCAGTGGACTTTTGTCTGGGAGGCGTAACTTCCAATGTTCTCCCGGTTTGCTCGAAAAGACACGCTTTGAATCCTTGCCCTGAATTTTAAAAAAAGGTTTATTCATAATTATCCGGTCCTGGTGTTGTAATTTTTTCTTCCTCAGCTGACAAATTTCAGGCGTGCCACAAACGTACATCACCCCGTCTTACACTATTATCACTTGTGGTGAGAACGAGAAGTACCAGTTCTTGTACCCAGTCATATGGCTCCAAATTAGCCCCTGCAGTTTATGTATAATTACAACCAAGCAAATCGAACTCCCCTCCATATTTTGTTAACTAGCGAACGGAAGGTACTTGAACTAACCACAGTGGAGTTTTGAAAATACCCAGGATGATGCGGTCCAGGAAGGCAAATCCTATAAGTGATCAGCATAGAAAAGTCAGTCGTTTTGCACCCACCATTTAATACGTTTTTGATCAGTACAGTTCTCATTCTCCTTTACTTGGCTTCGGAGAATCTCGACTTCATTTGACATTTTGACTTTGTCAGCACGCGTCGGTTATTGATCTGCCTATGGAGTTCCTCTCCTGATCATTTCACCGATTTGAAAGAGCTTCTCTTGTTCGCGATTAATTCAACTGTAGATAGACCTCATGTGTGTTCATCGCCAGTCATAAGAGCGCTCACGTCGGATTTTCTGTCAAGCTGCGTAGGCAGATTTGGGCTGAAATTATGCAGAGGGCTCATATCTGGTATTGCTTTAGCTGTTAATATTAGTGCTGCCGAACACCAACCGGAATGAATACTTCCGTTCGAGGCTACCACAGATTTTTCTATCCACAATATATCTTTTCTTCGGTTACACTAAGATTTGGCACTTTGTAACAGATGAGGGTAAGTGCCGCGCTTTCTAGTACCGATAAGGTAGCACATCCGGTCTCTCAGACGTACTCGTAGCTATTAGTATGGATCGGAGAACATATATCCCAGCGATGTTACCCAAACGGGGAATCGCAATGGTCACAAAGTTAAAATCAAGGAGTTGAGCTTAGTATGTCTACCTACAACCATATCGCGTGTTAGGAATATGTCCTACATGGTATTTCTGAGTACTGCTGCTCTAGAGAAGTCGCAAAAACTACCAAAGAGCACAAGAATGGTTACGGGTCAAATATTTTAGCTATTTTAGGGTACTTTGTGCTTATTTAAAATCTGAAGCCCTGCAAGAGTGCTTGTTTGAGATGTCAGAGTGCATTAAGCAAGTTTGAAACTGCCTACGGATGAACAAGTCCAATTGTTAAGAATGGCTTGCGCAGTGGTCAGCATTTAGTGCAATCTGAAATTGTTTACATTTGTCATAGGGCTTTAAACACTTCCTCCAGGCAAAAGAAGTCGTAGTACGACGGCGGAATATGAATGATAGGCGTTCAGAAGGCCGAGGGGCTAATGGCATGGTCAAACGGCCATGTCGCCTTCCAGGAACGTAAGCTTGGAGAAGGTATTACCTATGGAGGGCTGTAACTTGGTCACCAATCAACCGCGTCAGTCGGTGTGCGCTTTGTGCTGTTTCGTCCTGTTTGAAGGCAGGAAGGTGAACTGAATGCTTTACTGTATTTCAACGGCACTTCTAAGAGTGCTTGTCGTAAAGCAGTCATTCTATAAAATGATGCGGATAAAATCGGTTCTATGGGGACAAGGCGTGCTCTACTCAATTCTACCAGACTTGCAGCTATTCAGTGGGGAGACATCTCTGCATTAGTATCTTCAAACACTTACGAGTAGGGTCGCAACTGTTAAAGTTGGCTTTCCTTCTGGGTGCGAACTTATGTTTATGTAAAATTAATGATAATCGCCAATTGTCCTATTTAGGGATAGAAATCGTGATCGTTTTTAATATAGCGCATCTAGTCCCCAAGAGATGAAAGCGGTCAACATTTCAGGGCCACTGGGCTATTGGGATGTTTCGTAGGTCATACAACCCAACTGGACCTTTATCCCCCATGGAACCAAAACTCAGAGTTGAACGGTCTGCTGTCCCGATGTAAATCAATCTATGAAACGCAACTTCATGTGGCAAGTTGTCGAGGCGGTTTCATTTAGTCCAGATTGGGTTTAGCAATGCTTTTAACTGTGTCTTCGAAAATGAACTTAAAAGAGTCCACAAAAAAAATTACTGTTTTTAGGACTTAACTGTTCTAGGTCCGCACCTATAATTTCGTAGTCAGTCTTAAATCAAGCCATTTCTAGCGTCCCTTTAGTCACTCCATAGATTGTGGTTATTAACTTAATCAGTTATGCGTGTAGTCCCTAACCCTTCCACACGTCAGCTTTGCCTGTCTCATTACAATGATTCTCTTCCCCGTCAGGGAGGGCTCAAGGGGCTGCATTAGTGGCACTTTAACAAAACCTTGATTTCGATTACAAATGGTAAGCCTTAGTGAGGGGAGGAGAGTACGCAATTCATATGAAAGGGTCAGCGATGACCTCCTTGAGGAAAGGTTAAAAATTAAGCCCATCTTTGGCAACTATACAAATCTTGCTGGTAACAAGGACAGCAACGCAAATGATTGCCATCATTAACTCTATGGCAATGTCTATAGTACCTGCATGAATGTCTCGATTATATGAACACAAAACACCTCTTCCATCGACTGGATTGAATCCAAATGGATAGGTGATTGAGCGGTAATGGAGGAGTAGGCGCTAAGACTTATCATTATGAAAATCTTTCGAACTACAATGAGTTTTTACAGGGCTGCTAGATAACATTTACCTTCATCATCCGATCATTACCAGATCTACAATCCATATCCAACGAAAATGCCAAGAGCGATCGGTAGCATTACAGTCAGTTACTTTCTCCCATTTCCACAGTTTTTTGAGAGCCAACGCATTTGGTTAATGGGTGTTTTCCTCACGGCACTAACCACCTTACGTTGGTCTGCTCTGGCGATTTGACAAGATGAGCAGTGAATACGCACATCCGAAAGACGAGAACAGCTAAGCTCTCTTGATTGTTATTGGTTTGACGGCCTGCCCCCGTGTGGCGGATACTGAAGGTCCAGCTCCCACGTTGCCGCCGTAAAAGATGGTCACTGACTCATCCCAATAGCCCCAGACTTTTTCATACGCCCCCAGTACGTAGTTCTCCCTAGTAGTGATGCTTCTTTCGCCACTAAAAACTACACAGAGACAACTACCTTTCCAAATATTCATGTTTTATATCATAAAACTCTTATGACTAAACAACCTCTCAAACACGTCCAATTTTTCCCACAACAACGCAAAAAAGACCGTCTGATAAACTCTGAAGAAAGAAATATCAACTCCCTGGTGCCTTTATTTCAAGAAATACTCTCATCACCTCCAAAAACAAATACCCAAGAAAGGATAGATATTTGTTTCACAAAAAGGGCCAATTTCATAAATACGAAGTAATGACCAAAGAAATGGAGAAGTTTGCAAATCACAAGGAGGGAAAAAGAGACATCACGAGAAGAGGAATGGCCAGATTATCAATCTGCTCGGTGTAGGCCTCCGCCAGCACCCCAAACGCCAAAGGCAGTACTCCAGTCCACCAAGACCAACCGTAGTACGCAGCAAGCCCAACCCATAGTAGCATCTGCAAGACATTTAGAGAATGATGCTCAAAGTGTCTACAGAATCTCCTCAATATATTCAAATCCCGATAGGCAATCACAAACACTGATCGAATAAACTGGTTGCGACATTGTGCAAACTCAGTTAAACAGAATCGGACAAGTAGCGTTGATGTTAGATGCTGGGACTTTTAACCGCCGGGTTTCACACAATCTACAAAGGACAATCCGACTGACCTCATCTTACGACCACATGAATGCCAATAACTTAAGCAAGACTACAATCCACCACGCTTTAAAATGGATTATAAAGTGAATCGCGAGACTGACCCACCATAAACCAGTGTCAAGGTGTATGGAAATGCAGTTTCCGCTGTATATTTGCTGCATTTATTGGGAAAAGTGTTAGCAACGCCAAAAAGTGCAGATCTACTTTGACCTTCGATAAAAGTTGAAACGAGAGTAGTAAAGGTCTCGCAAAAGATGGAATTAGCAAACTCAGAATAAAAGGTCAAAAAGCAAGAAAGTAGAAATTCGTTCACTATAATCTGTAAGCAATCAGCTGAATTGCATAAACTTGACAAATGATGGGCCAACAGATGTTGAAAAATAATCCGGAAGCAGGCTTGTGGTACAAACGAAATAGCGATAATGCCAATCGCTCAGCGGAGCTTGGCAATGTGGAGAATCCAAAAAGTTTAAACAAGTCCTGACAAAGCTATACTCAGCAGAAAAATGGACAATAAGCCAGAATTATTAGTCTCACCTGAGACATGAATGATGCGCAGGAGCCAATGAGAGTGCGATGAGTGCCTGGCCAACGAAACCACAAGTGGCCCCACCGACGACCAACCAAAGCCGCTACGCTGTCACCCAGCGCAATTGTTATAACACCACTCCAAGCCTGAGGTGACATTGCTGAATGGAGAAAGGAGTCAGAGTCTATCTTCTGCTATAAGGATTGCCTTAGAAATTAGACATAGAAAGGAAACTGACACCCACGGTAGAAATTCCTCAAACTTTAATGGATAATCTGATGAATAACTTTTTCAACTTCCTGTGCGGAAATCCCTAATTTTGCCGCCTATGGCTGCGCGTCACAGAAATAATGAAATGGAAACAAGTTAAGCTTAAAGGAGAAAAACCCCAAATGATTGGTGTCGTAACGGCACGATAAACAACTCTATCAATCCACAACGCCTAGCCTTCGTGCAGAGTTCCTGAGCACTCTGAATACCAGCAAAAAAGGTGCGAATAGCTTTACCAAACTGAACTTTGTTTGCAGTTTTAAAAAGACCCTATCGCCATTCCCACGCGCTGCAGTTTCTCGTCAACTTTAAGTGCCGATTTCAGAAAGTTGTGCATACATCCGCATAGGTAGATGAGTACTATCGGACCGCTATCTTCCAAGCAGTTGAAGAATATGGCTTGTAGAACATGAAAGTCATTTCGCTTCGGCCCAATAAGGTGAGAAAACGACTTCGTTGCGTTTTTATAGCCTTGTGCATAAATTCTATACCTTTGCAATACTGCTAAGATGGTAAAATCAGTGTTATTAAAGGAAAGGCCAGGTGAGCAATAATGGCTAGTTGCTGTCACATCCCGTTCTGCGACTCTAAACCAACCAGTTCATCCCGAGTCAATGACTTAACTACGAATGCAATTGCCTCCCATTTATCTTCATGACGTCTGGAACAGAAACAATCCAAAAATTTGAGAGTCTACGACTTACGATAGTCTCGAGACCACGAATAGCAGAAATTCCAAACCGGGAGACTCAAACCAAGGAGCAAAGCGAAGGGAGTGAAAATGAGTTCACCACTATCTCGTGAGTCTCTAAAGGGTCCCAGTACATCGTTCAGGAATTTGGATGTAGCTGAGGGCTAGAAAAAAAGCAGTACAAACGCCAAACTACTTCATTTTGACTCCAGCGAAAGAATAGAACTGAACTCTATTGAATATTAAAACAGGATGGGGCGCCAACTTTTTGCGTTATAATGGAAACAAAGCACAATCACAATGGTTAGGCAATGGCGCCAAAGAAATTAAGCCACAAAATCAGAATAAATTAGTCCAATCCACATATCAAAAGTTAGTGTAGAAGGTAGAGTTAACTTTCAACGTCTTTTTTAATTCAGCTTATTACGTCATTGAAGGCAAAATGATGGCTTGCCTATTGGAAATCAGGTCCAACTTGTAGAGAATGAAAATAATGGTATTGCCCAACTTAAACTGTGAAATAAGTTTAGGGAGTAAGGTTTATGTGTCAACTCCTAGGCGTGATGGCGAAAAAAGCGAGATTAAGTCGTCATAGCTCCCTAGCATGGTTAAAGTGAGAAACCGAAACCGGCTGCAACAAAGAATACATCCCACTCAGCCAAGCACCGACTTAGAGCCCGATAATTCCAAATTCCAGAACAACAAAAAAGTTGAGAGCTTAGGTGTCGCATAACCATGACGTGATTAAAGTAAACAACAGTTTCTTTGAGGAAAGATAACGCTCACCCCACTTCGGCGAGTCCAATCAACAAGAAAAAACACTAGAAGGACGCAGGCAGCAGCCACTGAGAGGAGTTTGGGGGAGATCAGTAACCCAGTAGCATAGACAATACCAGCCTGAAAGTGGAATATTTTACGTAGAGCAAGAGGTGTTTTGCCACCCTCACTACCCTCTTGACTCAAAAAGATCACAACCAAGATAGCAGCAATACACAAAGGTGCCCAAACTGTTGTGACGAGCAGGATATTCAGCGGAGTAATCAACCCTTTGACAAAATGAAGGGGCTCAAAGTGGAAGACAGACACGGAATCAGGATATGTCTTCTCTTCCACCAAGCGGCTCGCGAAATCAGAGAGCAGGGACCATAACCAAATTACAGAGATAGAAAGAGTTCCAAAGGTCACGCAGCTAGGTCCCATTTTGAGGCGTTCAACCGTGTAGATACAGAGCAGAGGAATGATGAAAAAAACAGTGTTGGTGTGAAAGGCGAAGCAAATTTGGGCGAGAAGAATAGCCTCCCAAATTGTTAGCGAACCCACATAGCTGGAGAGAAGTTCAAAAGAGAGGAGAGAGATGAAGAGGAGGGTAAGAAGAGTATTTAAGTTGAGATTCAAATGGGTAATATAAGCACATATAAACCAGAAAGACAAGTGCATGACCGTTGAAATTCCCGGGTTGTAGAGGAAGGAAAGGAGGATGAAAGCGCCAAAGGAGGCGCTGATTAGATTCAACGCGACGATCCCATTATGGACAGAAAGGATGGTGGGAACGGGCGCAATAAGCCAAGCGCCAGCTGGTGAGGTGGAGGCACGCGTTCCAGGTAAATGGTGGTTACAGCAGATGATGAGGTGCTCCGAAAGCAGAGCTCCACAAAGGAATGTGCAGATCGGGTGATTGGATTTCTTCACTGCAAGAACAACGAATAGACACCATCCAACGAGAGATTCGGACAAGGGAGACTGTAACCGTTCTTTTGAGATTAAGGATTCTCTGAGTGTACCAACCGGTTCCTTCGAAGAGTTGTTTGCATTCGTAGAGTCGCAGGTGCCCTAGTACACAACCACTTGACATTTAAAAGAAAAGCAAATAGGTCAGACCTAAATAGTAGGATGATACTCATTAAATTCTAGGGGTAAACTGGGGATATTACAGAGATAGCGCCCTAAAGCGGGCAATTATTTGAAGAATATATAGGCAATGGCATCGGAGCACAATCGGGCCAAGTGTCCAAGATTTCAAAATATACAGTAAATTATTTCGTGGCATTAACGGACAGCCACTTTAGGCACGCATTTTCCACACTTGAATGCCCAAATCGCGAGAAATGTAGAAATACGTTAGATTAAAAGCGCATAAAATGTCAGAAGTAATAGCAATCCAATCGTCAAAAAGCATAATCTTTACGTAAAAACCATCCCACACCATAAGTCGACGAAAACCATCCGGAAGAACCCCAAAAGCCGCGCCGCGGTCCAACAACCACTACACGCCGCAGACTCACGTTTCAACCAATCCAATCAGACAAGGTTACTTGGTTGAATAACCAATTAAAGGACAGAAAGAAAGAGAAAGTTAGAAACTTATATAAAGTCAAATCGTACCCGTTAAAAAATCCACTTATCGATTCGTAAGATTTAAAACAAAATCAATGTTGATTAGCCTGATGTAAGTGAATAGGGTGAAGGCAAAATGTGTCCACTTGTTAACTAACCTTAAAAAGCGCTCTAGTCCTCATGACTCGCATCAAGAGTTAGAGACATCGCTAACGTGTTAATAATCTACAATCTGTTTATTAAATATTTTAACTGGAAGGCAACATGAGTTATGCACTTCCCAGCGTGCCCTGTCAGTCTGATTGGAGGAAAAGCAGCGAAGACTAAAAAGGAAACGCCATGCCTTCCCCTACCCATTCCGATTTTCGTTCCCGACATCAGGTATGCGTACACCCGATGCGGCAAACAGAGAGAGAGGAAAGTGCTTAGAGGTCGGTCAACCGCGAGGCAGGCGGCGCCGGAATCTGCAACAACCCCCCAGAAATATCCCCCGCCATTCATGGTATGCATACTTAAAATCAAGAGAATCACCGTTGAGCTGTCCTAGAGGTTCAATGCAATGAAAATTTCTTGGGAGGAATGACAACAGTCGCTTCTGTAAGTGTAGCTTCCTGAGGCTTCCCATAGGGTAAAAGAAGGCATAGGCGAGATTGAGTTTACGTATTCCGAAGACGACGGGGCAAACGGGGCCTAAGCGTAGCTCGAAGGCCAGCCCACGTGTATAGGGGCCAGACAAATTCTAAAATGACCGCCAAACGTCCGGCAGTCACATAAAAAAGCATTACAGTAAGAGAGCAGACAGAAGTTTTTTAGTGACCTGCAAGGCTATTTCAAACCCAGACAGCGCCACCCGTTTTTCGAATTACCCCAGCTACTCATACGCCGGCTAGAGTCATTTGGACTGTGATGTGGTCGTTAGCCAATCCACTCGGTAAATCGTCCTATCCCCAGGTGAAAAGGTTGACACATTTTCTTTTAAATGTAAATTCTAGTGAAAAACACTTGGAAAGCAGGTAGAAAGCAAATGCTTACGATGCTGTAACTCACCATATTACTTTTTAGAATTTAGCATTTTTGAAATGTGTCTGCGCAGAGTTTTAAAATTCTTTGTTGATTTTTGTTTGGACACTTTTTATGGCTAATCCATTAATATATCTATGATAACCCTATATAATTACGGAACTACTTGTTTTTCATAGCCAGTATTGCGTGAGTTGGTACGTTCTGTTGCTTGGCGTGTCGGTGGTGTGATAGCGGATGGCTCTTCATGTACCAAACGTTCAGAACTATGTGTCCATGCTAAAGGAGGGCACGAGGGTAAATTTGTTGCTTCCGTTAACACAGCCTTAGCACTTTGAGGGCCTTGAAGAAGCTGTTTACCGCAACATAGAAGCCTGTGTGAGTATAGCTAAAACAACGCGTTCCACCTACGGTCCATGTGGTCAGAATAAGATAGTCATAAACCATATTGGGAAGCAATTTGTTACCAATGATGCCGCTACTATACTTAGAGAACTTGAAGTTCAACATCCTGCCGCGAAAATGTTAATTCTTGCAACTCAACAACAGGAACAAGAAGCTGGTGATGGGACAAACTTGGTCTTCCAATTAGCTGGAGCACTTTTGGATAACGCTCGAGATCTTCTTAAGATGGTACACATTATGTGGTTTACTACCTTTGTAGGGTTTATCTGTTTCGCAAATTGTTGAGGGTTATGAAATGGCCGGGAAGAAAGCTCTTCAGTATTTGGATGGTAGGATAAGGAATTGTGCTAATCTCTGTCAGATATTGTTGTTAAGGAGATAAGCGATCTGAAAGATATCTCGGAAGTCGCCCCTATTATTAAGACCTCCTTGATGAGCAAACAACTAGACATCAGTGAATTCCTTTCACATCTCATTGCATCTGCTTGCAGTAAGCATCGATTTCCGGCTTTATTCTTTCAATAGTTTCTATAATGCCTGATGATGGTAATTTCAACGTTGATAATGTCAGAGTTCTGAAAATTTTGGTAAGTCATATAACTGGTCAATCACTGCTCTTGTGTCTAACCTACCTCTGCCACTACAGGGTTCCGGTGTGACTAGTTCCACAATGGTCGAAGGAATGGTGTTCCGCCGAGATGTTGAAGGCGATGTTCACTCCGTAACCCAGTCAAAAATCGCCATTTATTCATGCCCTCTTGAAGCCTTGCAAACCGAAACTAAGGGCACCGTTTTGCTTCATACAGCTGATGAGTTGAAGGAGTTTTCTAAGGGTGAAGAGAACCAAATGGAAAAGGTGTGCTTTTTATGTCCCATTTCAGAACTTTTGCCTGCTTAGTTATCCCGTGCCATTTTTTACACCTAGATAATCAACAGCATTGCCGATGCTGGTGTGAAGGTTATTGTGTCTGGTGGCAAGATTGGTGAGCTTGCGCTACATTACGCTAACAAACGTGGTCTTATGCTGGTACGTCTTGTAAGCAAGTTCGATGTGCGTCGCCTTTGTCAAGCCACTGGTGCAACCGTTCTGCCTACGCTTACTGTTCCATCTTCTGAGGAACTGGGCTTTATAGAACAGGTTCGCACTGACGAAATCGCTGATACAAATGTTGTAATTTTTGAGCAAGGTGCGGGTAACTTTACTTGTTTGTTTCATGGTCACAAAAAAGACTTGTATCGGCTCTTTGATACATTCTAGGCTCAAGCAAGAAGCCTATGGTCACACTGGTAATCCGTGGGAGTACCGACAACATAATGGATGATATTGAGCGAGCAGTTGACGATGGTGTGAACACTTACAAGGCCTTGACCCGCTGTAAAAAGGTCGTTGCAGGTGCTGGTGCCTGTGAAATTGAGCTTGCTCGCAATCTTCTTTCACTCGCTGACACTATACCTGGATTGGAGCAATACGCCGTCCGTGAGTACGCCCATGCTTACGAGATTGTGCCCAAGGCGTTAGCAGAGAACGCCGGTGAAAAGGCAACGGAGATAATCGCTCAACTGTACGCCAATCACCAAGCGGGTCAGATTCATTCAGGATTTGTCACCTCGGAAAAACTAAACCCCTCCATTTGCGATGCTAAGGCAGCTAATGTCCTCGACCTTCATGGTGCAAAGTATTGGGCTATTCGATTTGCCACCAGCGCTGCATGCACCGTTCTTCGTGTGGATCAGGTACGTTCGCTGTGGTATTTTTTTCCCTTACTTTTTTATTACAGTATAAACTTTTCCCCGTCATAGATCATAATGGCAAGGCCAGCTGGCGGTCCCAAGCCTCGCGATCCGCGGGCTCCTGATGAAGAAGAAAGTTAATCTTCCGGATTCGCATTTCCTGCTGTTTGTCTTGTACCTTTCCACTGTTGCATTGTAATGAATACTATCAATAATAATTCCTCACGGAAATCTATTCTGGTTCTTGATCGCCTGCTTCGTCGGCTGTTAAGGGGTGTTTGCATCTCCATCTTGATGTGAGTTGGGAGTGTTGTTATAGCCTAGGGACGTCGATTCATGAAAACTTGTGCGCTCTATTGATGGTATGAAATTGATAGACTTGCCACCATGCTATTAGTGTTGGCTGGATGTCGTCTTATTGTTAAAGATGTCCGCAGAGGTTGTATTATGCCGTGTACTTGGTGAGTCTTGTTGGCTCTTCAGATTTTGCTAATCCTGTGGTATTGGATGTGAGCTCTCAATAAGGCTGGACATGCTACTATAGGCTTTGGCGGATTTATTTAGTATCATCTAAGTCGTCGAGTCTTTTTAGGTATTGTAGTCAGCGCATTGTGCAATTTGTACTGTGGTTTCTAGTCCTAACTAGTCATCGTTGAAATGTGTGATTGCCTTCGGTTTTCCGTGTTACATTTGTCAAAGATTTCTGATCATATATTTATCTAGCCAAACCTGTGAAATGTACGCCGAGGGCGATAACTCACGACAACCATCGGACCTCAATTTCTCATTAAACGAATCAGCAGATGTAGATGATGAGGATACTGGCGCGGTGGATCCCTCTTTCCTCTCTTTTGTGGAAGATCAGGCAGAATCGGGTGGTGGGTCCTTCGCTGCTGAAAACGATGTCGAAGTGGAAGACCCTACTCCTGATCTGTACGCAGTCCTGGGTGTCGCCCGTGATGCCAATGAGGCCGAGCTAAAGGCGGCGTACAGACGTCTTTCTCGTATTCTCCATCCGGATAAACACACGCGATCTTCGGCAGCCGCCGAGGCTGCTTTTGGGCGTCTCACGGCCGCTTACAACATTCTCAGCGATCCTCACAAGCGAGCAATTTACGACCAATACGGCTTTAGGGGTGAGATTTGAATCAATATTAAATTTGCTATTTGGCATCAATGGTATCAACTTCAATCGTGTTTCATCTTTCTGAGTATTTTATTAATTCACGATTTAAAGGGAATGTTATTCATTTTCGAGTTGTCAGCACTTGTGCACTCACAGCAAAATTTAGGGATGTAGATTACGATGCTGAAAGTAAATAGTATTGCTTTTGCTCGTTGAAGCAAATATAGATCTCTGCGCTAATAAATATTGAGTCGTAAAAGTGGTTTTGACGAACTTTAAGAGATTACTATTGGAATATGCACTTTGAGATTCTGTGACTTCACAAGTTTGATTTGGTTTTGGAAGTAATAGTTTTGGAATATTTAAAAGCTAAACGCGCCTAGTGCACTTTCTCTATATATTGACTCCAAGGTTCAAATCAGCAAAGGTAGATTGATTCTTGGTTCTTGCTGCTGTTACAGGTCTGCGTATCCAAGGCTGGGAGCTGGCTGTAAGGGATAAGTCAGCGCCAGAATTGCGTCTTGAGTATATCTTGCTGAAGCAGAAAGCAAAAGAAGCGGAAAGTGAGCGTCTACTGCAGCCTACCTCGGAACTATGTTGTGGAATCGATATGACCGACTTCTTTGATCGCTACCTCAAGGTTTGTTTATCGTTTCCTGTCTCTTTGGTATTGCTATCCGAATACGGTTACTTTAAATCCCGTAGGCTTAAAAATGGTCTTTTTACAGCTTCTTTCGCATTTAACTTCGAACAACAGGGAAATCGTCCTATCTTCAGAAATCATTACAAAGATCAATTTGCTCTTAGGAACCACCAGAAGAACGCCTGCTCTCACCCGCCCTGTCTGTTTACGACGTCTCTCTCTCTCAGTCGGTAACTGCGCTCCGTACACCTCATAATACTGTCAGTCTTGTCGGCCATGTGACAGCCCACAATGGAATCGGTATTGGTACACTTTTTAGTCTATGGGTGCATCGCCTGTCACCCAAAACACCCATTATTGGAGCTTCTTCCACTGAGGCGATCGTAGGTTTGCTCCTGGACAGTCTTGCTTTATAATGCAGGAATTTGTTGTTATCTTTCACTTTTTAAGGTCTCTTACGGTCGTGGAGGCTATGGACTTGGATCTTCTCTGAAGTTGAATAAGGAGCTTCATGAGCGAGTAACAGGGTCTGTGGGTTTGGAGGTCGCCTCAGTGGATCGTAATAACAGTGCTGCTTTCAGCCTCATTCCTGGTTTCTCATTGGCCACCAACATCGAGGTAACACCTCGCATTGTGACCCGGCTGCAGTACAAATTCAACCTTGGCGGTGGTTTCTCTAGTGAAGTGTTTTGGACTTCAGAGAAGGGTGAGCGCTCCTGCCGAGTGCAAACTCATCTCCATCGCGGTACTGCCTCGCTCAAGGTTCACTTTGAATCTCTTGTCGATTGGCCCTGGCTGAATCCCTTACTCAAGCCATCCACCTCGAGCTGTCAGACGTCCAAAAAGTCCTCTTCTGACTGGGAGGCGAATCTGGACGAGGAGGATGATCTTGTGCTAGAGACAATACCCCAGAAGGGACGCATTTCCGCTTCTCTTAGCTGCAACACTTTTGATCTGTTGGAGTTGCGTGTTGGCGCCAATTGTGTTCTATCCGAGCTGTCTAGAGTCTCTAGTGAGATCGGCATCAGTTGGCTGCGCGGTTTGAGTATGAAATTGGGTCTGCATCGAGGGGATCAATCCTACATACTGCAACTTAAACTATCAGACACCTTGGATCCTGCTGCTTTCAGTTACGGTGTTCTGGTCCCAAGCTTGACCTACTGTCTCATTCGTAGTCTAGTCTACGAACCATGGGTTTTGGTACAGTTAAAGAAAGCTCAGGAAATTCGTCGCCAACGTCTGCGAGATGAATTGCGAAAGTTGCGAAACGAGGCCCTGGCGACACAAGCCCTAATGCAACACACTTCGGCTCGTGTGGCACAAACCGAGAAAGAGTCCAGGGGTCTTGTGATTGTTTGCGCCCTTTATGGACAAATATCTCCAACAATGCCGGGAATTCCTCTTGCTGCTGATGCGGGTGGGGCTCTATCGATTGATGTGACAGTACCACTGCAGGCGATGGTTGAGAATCACCAGATTCGTTTGCCCCCTGGACGTTGGGCTGATATGCAAGGCTTCTACGACCCATGCGCAGGTCTGGGTCGTGCGGCATGCCATGGAAGACGCTCGCTACGTCAGCTCTTTGTCGCCTACACCTTCAATGGATTGCCTCACGAGGTGTGTGCTGATGAGTTGGGAGGTCTGGCGATCCCCATGAGCAAGCACCGGGTTGATGTTTTTTCTGAGCATTGAGGTGTTACTCTTTCCCTCGCCTTCTGCTCGCTCTTGTAAATTCTTTTTTCCCCAAATCTTGTCTTTTCTTAAGCCCAATGGAGTTGTCTCAAATGTAGTCAACTTTGAAGTGTTGAGGCACTTCAGCAGGTATTTTTGTGCACCAAAGTAGATTGAAGTTTCAATTTTGTTTTCACTTGAATCTCAGAATCTCAAAGCGATGTTATTGTTGAATGTGTCGCATTAATGTCATGCAGCGGTGAAAGTTTTATTTCTGCTTCTACTTTCCAATGTTGGAATTCAGATCTGCATTGTTGCATCTGACGTTGGAAGTGGTTGGTAACATTGCCTTTTAGTAAGGAAGTGTGAGTTGGTAGATGAGAAGATTGGCCTTAGCGTTTGGTTGAGGGCTCTCAATTAGGCCAGAGATGCATGCAACCAAGGTGCTCGTTATTTGCTAAAGAGGCCGTATGTGGTACTGTTTTGTTTCCAGCATCAGTTGGTGTGGCGTTGCAAAGGCTTGAAATGGCTTAGCCTTCAGTGACAAAGCAGGGCGTAATCTGAGTGGCGGATTTCAACAGGCATTTTGACTACTAGTATCGAGTTCCGGGAAAAGCACTACACCTCGAGTGGGTTGTCATGAAGCGGTGCTTAAGTATTTTAGACTGAGGGGACATCGAGCTTGCTCCTATCACAATTTGGTGGTGTTTGTGCATAAAATCGTCCTAATATTATTAAGCGACTAAGAGGGTGTTAGTAAGCTTTGGTGGGCCTCTTCACTCACCACGCTCACTACAAACAAAAATATCGGTGGTAGGAAATCTCCATTAATTGGGCTTCATGACCACTCTCGGGTGGTGTCAATCTTTTCACTTGTAAACTTATCTTGATATGCAACGGCAAAATCACTCATTGGTTTTGGGTTCGCTTTCTCTGACTGCGCCGAAAATAAACAGACGCACAACAGTACTATGCAATGGATCTAAAAAGGGAGAGTGAAGTCTCTTACAGGGTACCTTTTTGACTTTCTATAAAAGGCGTTGTAAAAGGCTGAATGAGAAGGTACTAACTGTGGACAACTATCTATTAACAAAGTCGGACAACACAGATCACAGTTGCCACCAATGGTATCTAAACTCCCCATCCGTTATAAAATTGACTACCACTTGGTCCCCTTAATATGGACCTTAGCGAAGCCATTACGCCACTCACTCGTCAGTTATGGAAAGTTATCTAGCTGTCTGCGTATTGGCTAATACGTATCACGTCCACTGAAGTCGTCGAGGGTAGGACCGACGGTTAAGAATTAGACCTTACTCAAGGTAGTGGCACTCCTGCGCTCCACTTGCTCGACATATGTGGTAGCTTCGCTGGGGATTAAACTTGAATAGTCCCTACAGTTCAGCGGATCCCGTCATAGCTGAACCCGAAAATGCCCTAAATTTTATCGTACAATGCCTACGTCCATGTAACGCTTGGTCCAGAGTCTTGAAAACATCTCCACCCGCACAACGATTTAAAATTGTTCTGTGTTTTACTTTCTTACTTCAAATTTGCAGTTATGATAAAGTAGTAGGTGAGATATAACCCATTCCGTCATCAAAGGAGGCACTCTTTGTGCTTCTGTGTCGAAATCCTACTTCCGCATTAGTAGATCAGTGGTTCACTTGGTTTACACATATGCTCCCATGTCTGCCATTATTTCAGCTTCTTAGAAGGGCGAAACTTACTTTCTTATGATTAGTTTTAGCTAGGCTGCCCTTATACATATACACAAATGCATGAACATGCCAATATGAATGCAAATGTCAATAAATCTCATTTCATTCGGGCATTACTGAATCCTATCTCACATTCATAATGTAGGGATTTGATAAAGCCCTTGTGTGAGTAGTTTACGGAAGCGTTCTATGTGAAAGAAATCGTTAAGACAAAGATAAGTTGGAAGAAACGTGAAAGAATTAGTAAAAATGAGGCCGGTACAGGGGTCATACGTATCTGGGGATGCTAAATTGGCACAGAAATGATAAGGTACCCTAATTAAGAAGGAGGAACGAATGAGTAATCCAAAGGCGCAGTAAACAGAAGTAACGTTAAAAGAGTCGCAAGTTTAGCTAGTTGAAGTCTTTGAACAGGGAGAAGGCAGGCATTGAACAGATTAGCTGGATGATACAAACTAGAGGTTGAAGTGTGTCGATAAGTTCTAAAACATGCAAACTTACAACCTGTTCGCGTTTGCAATTACACTAAAAGAGGCAAGGGAAGGCTGTCAGGATGTTTACCCAGTCAGATTATGCTACTACCATGATTAAGATAGGTCGATTTAGGTTGAGGCGTATTGCGTGAATGAAATTTTTGATAAGTCAGTGATCATATTAGTGTGAGGTTTGACAACGAACTGCGAAATAATGCGAATTCGTACCTAATGATTTGCTAGTGATGAAATTAGGTAAGGAGTAGTGAGGCAAAGTCTCATCAGACTCATTTGTGGCGCGGTTACACTAGTAAGAATGGCGAAACCAATCTCAAATGAGGTTAGCTATGGGCGACCAATGAAATCCGTAAAACAGGATGGGTTGACGCTTGGCCAATAAGAAGTGAGAATCAGTGTAACATAATGGCGACGAGTGTAACACTAAAGGGTCACATCAAAATCAACTGATTATCTAACGGCAACAGGGTGTTGAATGTAGAACTGCAGAAGAGCGGATCATTTCAGGCCTAATGTTCATTGGAACTGCTCTATTCAACATGCTTACGCACAGCATCAACACAAGCATTCCAATAATTGTTTTCCAATGTTTGGCTTCCATTTCGTCGATCGCCCCATCAAATCTTACCGCTACTATTGACTACTACTTAATCATATGGACATATAAATTCAGATTTAGTCGGTCTGTGGCTGAAACGTATCCAATCGAATCGACCTAACTGGAGCCACTGAGCACCACTGCTGTATGTGATGACACACTAGTCCACATTCATTTGCGCTCACCTACCAAGAGAGGACAACTACATTGTTGCATCCTTGCTCAAGCGCCATAGTTGAATCGAACCATTAAACTCATCACAAAGCCTGTTTCCATTCGTAGTCGATCTAGTCATTGCAATATTCCCAGTTCTCAAGCTGCCTCCACACGTCAATATGAACATTGGCTTCCAGAGAGGAGGATGACAATGTAGAGGATAAAAATGGATGGTGGATATGCATAACACTTTCGCAGCAAGGAATGAGAGCCATAGCGTACGCATTCACTGAACATGGTAAAGTAGACTAGAATGCAACAAAAAATAAATGGAAGTGACATCCCTCTACCCCATTCATCCGTTCTTCCATTCACTTTAGGCCCGTGTAATTTATGATTATGATAGACTTGGTGCCCTCCACCACCGACATCTTGAGCTGTACATCAAACAGTAATCGACTTACAATCATCTGAAGCTTATTACTCATGATGGTCAACATCAACGGTGCTACGCACCATCCACTTCAACTTTTATGACTACATTCGTCGAAAATATCGTTCGCTAAGACTCAATTTTTACAGCAGTGCTTTGTAGATGATGCAACCCTGTTTTCGTATCCCTTCTTTCTATTCGCCGTCACCACCTTTAAACTAGCCTGAGAATCGGAGAATAGAGCACAAGTGATCAACAACAACCTTGGACCTCTTCGTTCTTCCTCCTTCCATCCTCAACACTAGTACGCTCTGTAATGCTACAGATGCTTGAACATTAGCAAATCTCAACATTTACAATTTCATCGGTAATCTCAATCGCCCGAATATCCCCAAGCCCAAACATTAAAGCAAGTGCATCAACAAGTCCTTACTTTATTCTGAATCTCATCAATCAGTCGCCCCAAATACATCAACATTCCTCGTCCGCTACCATTCCTGCTTCCTTCCAATGGCATCCGACCTTTCATTCGCCTCCGACTCAAATATCGGTACTTTTTATCTCTGATGCGTTCAGCCATCGAGTGGGATGACGTGCAGTACAGTTGATTAGCAAAAACAGTCCACCAGTTTTGACAGTTTGTCATCGCTACCGGCACAATCACAATATACGCTTCATATTGCTAGCTGAAATAGTCCGCTTTAAATCAAATTTCTGGTCTACAAAAATGCAAGAATGTAAGGATTTCACAAACTAATCTACACTGTTTCAAACTTGCAAAAAAATATTCATTGAGAGATGCCAAGCAGAATTCCACCCATGCCTTTGCTCCTCAAGAAAAATAACAACGATCCCGCAGAGTCCCAAAACCTCCTGCAGTGTTTTAGCTCCCACATCCACAATGACCAATGGCGGATAACCAAGCAACGGATCAAGTAATATCAGCGTCTTTACATAAAGACAATGCTGCCAAAATCACTATTAAATATTAACAAATAAATACCGATACAATGATCAGAAAAGACGCTCCTCAGCCTCTCAAATTCTCAATCCACATTTTGTAGAAATTTTCGGATAGCTTGGATACCACAAAGAGGACAATTACGAGATCTCGCCTCACGTAAAACCTAAGAAGAAGACATCAAAAGACATATGCCCACTTTCCTTTTACTCGATTATCAGTAGAAAGACAAAGCAGTGCTCACCCAGGACATCGAGTTAGTTCAGTTATGGTGCGAGAAATTGGCACTTTAACCATTTGCTTGGCGAATTTTGTATCCTCGAAGTAAACCTGAAAAAGAACAAAAATGTGAAGAGGAAAAACTTATTTAGGACTGGTGCATTTTTCGACGTCAAAAACTCCTTAAATCGACCGATCCATAATGACCACTCAACCTCGAGTTCCTTCTCAGATGTCGTGTAAGCCCTCTCCCTATCCCATGGTGGAGGTTCAGATGGATTGAGGACGTGCTTGAGGCATTCGCGGATGCTAGAACGAGAACAGGTTGACTTTAAAAAAACCATTTTAAGGCAAGACTGAGACCCTTAGCCTTGGCGGCAGATGGGAAAGACTAAATACCGAAACGCAACTAAATGAGCATGGACAGTGTGATGGTGGATACTTTAGATGGAAAGCGATGGGCAAGTGAAATATTAGTAAAAGTAATGATGACCAAAATGCACAACTGTCTCACAGTTGTAGAAAGAACAATTTCATATGATAAAGCAGCTAGAGAGATAAGTAACTACGTTTTCAACTACCGTATAAAGGAGACAAGCAAGCTCTAAAGCTCTGTATTAGCAGAGAAGCCCAAGGACAACACGTCTAATCAACGAAAAAGAGAGATGAATTGCGGCTTCCCATATCAGTACCGTGTACGCTGCTTCACAAGCACTAGATTATATTCCGAACAGTTGACTAATGTCGCAAGAAAATTAGGTCCTATTTTATAACCGTCACGAAAGTAAAAGTAAAAAGCAATCGAGTTTCTGCTATCAACTGTAGCTCATAAGGGATGACTATCGGATTAATTGGAGGAGCGTAGGAGACATCATAATACAACTAACCCCTCCTCCAACTTCAAAAGAGAATTAAGAGGAGCATTTTTTGAACGCACGTAAGATACTCAGCTACATCCTGCACAAAATCGGTCTGACTGAACTCAGGGTACATAAAAAGAACCGGCCAATGGATGAGGTTCATGTGATCGAAGGAAATCTCAACGGCTGCGTGATCGGGCAGACCCACCGGTGGTTGCTCGAAATCAATAACGATTCCACGTGCCTGTTGGAAGGGACGTAAAAGGAAGCAAAAGCTCACGACAGTTGGGACCAGACATTACTTAAATGGTTTAACAAAATCGCAGCTTAAGTATTCTAAAATTTGTTTTTTATCGACCTAATTAAACCGTGCAATATTTAAGATTTTTGCACCGAAGGAAACAAATAAGCATTTCAGAAGAAGTAGACTTTCAAACTTTTGTGTCTCAAGCTCAACAGTAATTCATTTGAATTTTGACGCCAAAAATAGAGGTGAAAGACACTTAAAACCAAATTACACCTACATTCTCAAATGGTCATAACCTGTCCTTCACCCTGCAGACTTTCAAATGACAGTGGCTCACTCGTTACTTCAATAATGATGGCTATTCCGAATGTGACCGGTTAAATAGTGCAGAATGCAAAAAAAGCGTTGAGACGATAACCAAACTGGACAAATGGCAATTGACACTAAGTCACGAATGCTCCAAGCTCGAGTAATCCACAATAATGATGAAGTTGCACAAAAGATCTTGAGTAACTTTAGTCTCGCCTACAACTCCGTTCTCCAACCAGCCCTAAGAGCCTATATCTCTTAACCAAAATTAAATTAGACTATGGGCAGAAGTGTGAGGCCGTAAATAGGACCAGAGTAGTGAGCATTCAAACCGCATTGATGAGACAGATGCATAACAAAATTACATACCGCGAGCTGTTTAAATGCGCCTGACAGTTTGCAGTGACTCTCCTTCACTGCACTCTGTTTGTCCTCATCCTTTATTGTCATTGCCGCCTGCAAATCTGTCGCTTTTGCCTTCAGTTCCAATAGCGTCTTGTTGTTGGCCACTACTTTCAGGCCGGCCTCACACACCTTCACAGCCTCCGCAGGTTTTGATAAAACCATCAACGATTTTGCTGCCTGCAAATAGGCTTTGAGATGAGTGGGATCCTGTTTAATCGCCCAATTACAGTCCTTCACACAAGAACCATGATTTTCTATTAATAAATAGTCCAACTTTAGAAAACGGAAGACCTACTTATCATCGCTTGTGCGATTCCTCGATTGGTGTAGAGTACAGCAAGTATTTTCTTATCGGTGGGCTTAGCAAGAATACCCCCGGTGTAGGCAGTGATGGCTTTTTCGTAGTTTTTCTGCTTCACATAGTAATTTCCCTCCTCCCTAAAGCTTTCTGCATTGGCATTGGGGTCGTCACTTTCGTACTTGAGAGCACGAAGAGCCTCATAAGCTGGATTGCCCTCCATGTCTTCCGCAGAGCGAGCAAAGAAGGGATGACTGAAAATCTCCTTCTCATCCTCTTCAGTAAATGTCGACGTAGGCGGCACATTAGTAGAGGATTCCGCCGCCATCTTGAAAGTATAGGTAAGGTGCCGTTTAATCGAAGTCACAAGAAGTGGACCAACTAACTTTCAGCACCAAGGAAGGTGATGATATAAAACTAAGACAGTAGATGAACCTCTTCGTTAGAGATAGGCGGAGAAATAGAGATGCTAGGCGAGCCGCAAAGGTTGGGAAAGGAAAAAATGGTTTAGTAATTCATTCTCGATAACTGTGCAACGTCGTTGAATAAGCGCACTGAAATGGCCCTAACGAAAACTTTTCAAGATATGGGTACAATCTTAACATATAGAGGATGAATTAGCAAAATATAACGAACCTGATGGACGATTCAACTCAAGCACAGAAATTGGGGCGTGACTGCGACTCCAAGAATTTCGAACATGGCGGAAGTTACACAAGGGGTACAAACGACACTCATGTATGGGAATTAATTTGCTAATAATTGCACCACTTATCATCGCTTGGCATTACTTTTAATTATTTACGGTTTGTATGGAGTTTAAAGTACTTAGGCTATATACGTTTGTGATTCAAGGGGCACATTTCCGCTAAAAATTTGCAGACTTTAGGTACTTCTTTAAACCTAACAGTAGCATACTTCTCCGCGAGAAGATTACTGTTTATGTGTGGAACGTCCCGCTAACTTAGATTTTGGCGTAGAAAGCATTAGCGTGGCTTGATGCTTGCATTCAAACAGAGGCTCCGTCCACATGGCAAAGGCGAAATGGTCATCATAGTCTGCATTTAATGCAGGTAGTCAAATATACAAGGCATCACAATAATTGCGATGGGGAGGCAAATAATCTATTATTAATTATAAAACTGTGTATCATAAAAATGCTCTCCTTCGTACCTTGGCTTGCATACCTTTGACTTTTAAACCGCCTATGGATTGCATATCAACATTATCAGTGTTCACATATGGCTCACGAGCTATAAGGTGATGCAATTTTACGGTGAAGTGGAGTGTACACAATTCCAGAGGTAGGGAAGAATTTTTAGCCGCCAAAATCTGACGGTTTTTTGCCACCCTACGCCTATTGAGGTAGCATTTCCTCCTATCACTTTACCCACTTTGGTCCCAAAACCGGTTTAGACAATAATACGCTGCAAGAATCACGCTTCCGTGCTGATATTTAAGGGCTTTGCGTGTTCGTTTGGACTATCCCTTCGTTACCTTCTTTTCAAGACGGACTATTCACGAAGCCATTATTTTTAACAATGCACAAGTCCCTTAACGGTATAAGTTGAAAAAAAAACATGTGAGTAAATATGCCGTTTTCTGCAGGAAGGCACAAATTTGAAAGCCCCAGGTCTTCCCACTTTTTTAAAGTGGACTGTTTTATGACACTAATGTAGTGATTGTTGCCTCTGTCTTGCAACTTAAGTTGGCAAAAAGAGGCTTGGTTCTCAAGAGCATGCTGTCTACTGTTTGTCCATATACTGGGCGACAGGTACAGATGTGCATGCTGCAGAGCCCTTTTCTCACTGTCCTTGACCTAACTGTGACCTTTATGTCTGCAATCACGGTCACCAAAAGCGTACGCTTCACTTCAACAGCTTTCATCATGCGACATTACCTTTTTTTGCAATTTTAGAATCCACTTCTGCTAGTGGAAATACAAAGATCGGGACGAGCACTCGAAAGGCTAGTAGATGGATGGAGTAGATTGAGTACCTGTGGTTAACTGTCCATTACGTGGCGTAAATTAGTATCTTAGACTAAATATTACAGTCGAAGGTTACAATATGGTTGAACTGATGAAGTGAAAAGCTGTTTTATCTCGTCCCGCTTTTCCAGAAATATAGGCATTTCACTTTGGTTTTAGAGTTTATAAAAAATGCAATGATGACACTATGTGGAACTGAAGTGTCATAACTGTGAACAATATGAAGATAATAGACCTTTTAAACTAAAGCCTGTAGAACATAAATGACGGATCATATGAAGTAAGGTGTCATCATACTTGGTTACTGATCCAATTTCTAGTTCGTGATTTTTGTTGCATATCTAAAGCTTAAGGCTCCAGTCAATTAGCCTCACTCAACTATTCAAGTAGTCTATAAAAGGCCGCATCAAAATCATCAAAAGCGTCAAAGCAAGAGCTTTTTTATCTTATTTGGGTATCTCATTTTTGTGTCTTTGATTGTCTGCAACAAACAGAATTTTCCCATGTCATGTCGGGGTTGATGCTGTGACGACATTTTTCAAAGTTATTGTTTCACGCATGGGAAATGTTGTCGTATTGCAGAAGTGAATGCAGGATGTGTGAGATAGTGTAGCAACGGTGGAAACTGCTTCTGTTGGAGGGTAGAAGATGCAAGGACCTCTAGGACTTTAAGCAGTGTCAAACCAGCAAACACAAAAGCAGATATTTTCAAAATTGAGTAGGCAAAAATGGTGACACCTGTCAAGTTACTCGCTACGATAACCTTCACTATTTCGTTAACTACTACGGTAAAGTGTACTTGTAATACTTTGTTTATGTGGCCACTTGATGTCTGGCGGTTACTTTAATATTCGCCTGTCTCTTTGTCTGCGTCAATTCCTTCTTATCCTCCTAGAATACGTGCATTTTAGCCCAACCTAGTGCCTTCTTCTACCTAGTCAGACGTATCGGGGCTGCACAGTACCCACCGCCAATTGCGACTACAAAAGTTGAATGGTGGGTTTGCTGTTGCTTTCACCAATCTTTGGACAGTAGACAATTTAGCTAAAATTATAGGCAACGTGTAAAAATTTCACTGATCACCTATTCGGTCTTGACTCAACGCAAAGGGTTGCTGGAATAAGTGAAACTGTTATCTGAATGGCGCCATCTCTCACAAACCCGTCGCCGTTGTTGAGACTCACAACTTGAACAACATTTTTTTTATAGGTTGTAAAGATCAACAAAGCATGACTTTTTTGACATGTGCCTGAAAAGCAATGGATGAGGGGAAATTCTACGATGTCGTGTGCAAAGTTACAGCCCTTCTGTCTGTCGGACGAAGGATGACTGTGTTTATGCTTGTTTGTGCTCAAACTTTGTTTAAATTTTGTAAACCAAAATGATGGCTGCGAATCTAGTACCTCGTCATTTTGGTTTGATCAGTGTAGCAGTAATTAGTAGTTGAGTTCCTATCATGGACTCCTTTGCCCCAATTAGGATATGGATGATTCCAAGGGTTTAGGGTAATCCTAAAAACCGCGGATCACAGGCCTCTCCAAACGGACATCGCTAACACACCAACCGATAACATCAACTCGGATAATGTCAGTGCAGATCCACATAATGCCTACAACGACGAGCCAGCATCCTACCGCGAATGGCGCCTGATGCTATGACTCCAGAACCTTGTACTGAAGTGTTGAATCCACTATTTGACTTGTCTATGCATTTATGGCTTAGGGTGTCTACGAGAACTGCCTTTGCCTCCTCAACTCTTGCTCTTCAACATAGTGCTACGTATGTCCATAAATTTTAAAAAATTGTCCAACCCTTGGGGGTTCATAATCCCAAAGTCGATTAAACCTTCGTGACTAAGTCTTCCTCCATACCAAATCTGCATCTCCACTGCCAGTAGTGCCAAGCGAAATGTCGATGTTTGATGTAGTGAGATTGAAAATGTTCCCTTATTGACAGATCTGAGGGAACCGATCAACATGTATTAAGAAAATTTCAGCCTATTTAAAATCAGTGCAACTAAGAAGACTCATTTAATAGCCATCTCAGATAGTTAGCAAGTTATGCAGATTTATTAAAAGACTTCTTGAATGGTTGGACCTCCATAGACCAAAGTTTTTCTTCTTTATTTCTTCCATTCAGGAGACATTTTAGCATGGAAATACTAGAAATGACTCCTTTTCTTCTTGATGAAATCAGATGTGCCCTAGACAAGCAATTTTGAGGGTATCTGATCTGCCATCTGTGAGGCCTCCTCCAATTTTGTGGCGTTAGCACAGATTGTACTTCGTTGACACTTAAAATGCAAAGTGTTTGATTAATCACAAATGATGGCGCCAAATGTGAGTTACATCTGAGTGTCAGTCGCGACTTTGAGAGGAAGTGTAGAAGCGAAACGGTTAGTACTTTGTCTAAAATTCTAATTCATTTTGTTCGTTTATTGTGTGAAACATTGTTTCGACTATTAGCAGCCCGAAGTTGTGGTCAGTTCCACGTCTTTAAGTATAGTCATTAGACTGCGTGCTAAGTGCCATGTGCGGGTGGCGAGGAGGCTGGGGATTGCTTTGTACTTACGTAGGCGTCATGGCTGCTGAGCCATGCCTCGGTCTCCGCCTCGGTTATGCATATCCGATGCTTCCACTGTGTCTTCTTTCGCCTTTAATACAATCTCTGAGAAATACAATGTTGATGGCGAAAAGAGAACCTCATCCTTCAGAAGTACTGCCATAATTCGTGCTTCTGACTGCTAAGGCTTTTCGTGACATCACAAAGGAGTCTACCACTGATAAGCTATGTCTTGATGACCCTTAACGGAATAGTTAAAGTGGCTTTGACTCCTTACGGGTACTCCAGGCTGGTGCTCTGATTTAATGATATTAACAGCAGCAGTGCTATTTGCCGTTAACAGCTTGAAAGACCCTGCCACAAACCTGTTTACTCTGCTCGTATGAAGGTGCCCATCCTCCATCTGTCTACACAGTTGCGCAAGACTTTGACAGGTGCACGACTGCACAAATGAAGTGGAAAGAAGGTGGTAAGAAGAAAATACGCACTAAACTTTATTCTAACGAAATTGACCAGATTTTCTCCTCCTAGCTAATCACTACCTTTAGGTCAATGACTGGTGATAGACATACAAGATGATTTAAACATTCTTTCTCCCATCAATACGCATGTTTAAAATACAAATCCAATTAGATTGCCATTGGGGCCGACGCAAGCGTCTGGCCTAGAGGGTGGTTAGAAGCGGCATTGAAGATGGGGCGAATCTATTGTAAAACTTCATCTATAATTTAGCTTTGGATTTCAATTATGCCGATGATTAGGATCCTGCCTTTGCA